TAAATAAGATTTGGTTCAGGTCACCTAATCAGTACCTAATTCAGTAGAATGAGGTGTGCCTGTGTTGGAATTCAACAGACACTGGAATGGAATGGCTGTCATACATTTAGAGATGCTGATTTAAGAAACATTTCCAGTGGTCTCTTAATTTTTTCCAGAGCTGTATATATATATATTTTTATATATGTGTGTGTGTTTGTGTTTATATATATATATACTATATACTACCATTCAAAAAGTTGGACACACCTACTCATTCAAGGGTTTTTCTTTATCTTTACTATTTTTTTCATTGTAGAATAATAGTGAAGACATTAAAACTATGAAATAACACATATGGAATCATGTAGTAAACAAAAAAGTGTTAAACAAATCAAAATATATTTATATTTGAGATTCTTCGAATAGCCACCCTTTGCATTGATGACAGCTTTGCACACTCTTGGCATTCTCTCAACCAGCTTCACCTGGAATTCAAGGCACACTTAACCAGCATGGCTACCATATCATTCTGCAGCGATACGCCATCCCATCTGGTTTGCGCTTAGTGGGACTATCATTTGTTTTTCAACAGGACAATGACCCAAAACACACCTCCAGGCTGTGTAAGGGCTATTTGACCAAGGAGAGTGATGGAGTACTGCATCAGATGACCTGGCCTCCACAATCACCCAACCTCAACCCAATTGAGATGGTTTGGGATGAGTTGGACCGCAGAGTGAAGGAAAAGCAGCCAACAAGTGCTCAGCATATGTGGGAACTCCTTCAAGACTGTTAGAAAAGCATTCATCATGAAGCTGGTTGAGAGAATGCCAAGAGTGTGCAAAGCTGTCATCAAGGCAAAGGGTGGCTATTTAAAGAATCTAAAATATATATTTGTCACTACATAATTCCATATGTGTTATTTCATAGTGTTATTTCATAGTTTTGATGTCTTCACTATTATTCTACAATGTAGAAAACAGTAAAAATAAAGACCCTTGAATGAGTACGTGTCCAGACTTTTGACTGGTACTGTACGTTTTTAAGGATGTGCGGATGACCACAAACTTTTCTAATAACCCCAAGCACACATCAAAATCCACAAAGAAATTGTTAATTGAGCACAAAATCAACATTTTGCAATGGCCATCTCAGTCTCCGGACTTGAACCCCATTGAAAACCTGTGGTTTGAATTGAAGAGGGCAGTCCATAAGCGCAGATGAAGGATAACAAGGATCTGGAAAGATTCTGTATGGAGGAATGGTCTACGATCCCTCCCACTGTGTTCAGTCTCATAAAACATTTTAGAAAAAGGCTCAGTGTCGTTATCATCACAAGACGAGCAGGGGCATCAATTGGGTATGACAGGGTAGTACCCTTCGATTATGTAGTGCTTACTTTAGAATGTTGTAGTATACTGTAGAATACTATACTAAACACTGTAGTATCCCTCGATCATGTGTAGTACTTACTATAGAATTGTGTAGTATACTGTAGAATACTATAGTAAATACTACAGTATTATCCGCAAATAAAAACTGTAGTAAATACTACAGTAATGTACGCAAAAACACTCGTTTTTTAAACTATAGTAATACTACAGTATTTAGTTTGCATGTACTCCATCCATTCCCATCCCCCATGTCTCAATTTGTGCCACCCATGAGTGAGAAACCTACATACCAAGTATAGACCATATACAGTGGCTTGTGAAAATATACACCCCCCTTGGCATTTTTCCTTTTTTGTTGCCTTACAACCTGGAATTAAAATTGATTTTGGGGGGGTTTGTACACAACATGCCTACCACTTTGAAGATGCAAAATATTTTTTCTCGTGAAACAAAACAAGAAATAAGAGAAAAAAACAGAACTCTTGAGCCTGCAGAACTATTCAACCCCCCAAAGTCAATACTTTGTAGAGCCACCTTTTGCAGCAATTACAGCTGCAAGTCTCTTGGGGTATGTCTCTATAAGCTTGGCACATCTAGCCACTGGGATTTTTGCCCATTCTTCAAGGCAAAACTGCTCCAGCTCCTTCAAGTTGGATGGGTTCCACGGGTGTACAGCAATCTTTAAGTCATACCACAGATTCTCAATTGGATTGAGATCTGGGCATTCCAAGACATTTAAATGTTTCCCCTTAAACCACTCAAGTGTTGCTTTAGCAGTATGCTTAGGGTCATTGTCCTGCTGGAAGGTGAACCTCTGTCCCAGTCTCAAATCTCTGGAAGACTGAAACAGGTTTCCCTCAAGAATTTCCCTGTATTTAGCGCCATCCATCATTCCTTCAATTCTGACCAGTTTCCCAGTCCCTGCCAATGAAAAACAAGCTGTTCTCGGGGTGATGAGAGGTGTTGGGTTTGCGCCAGACATAGCGTTTTCCTTGATGGCCAAAAAGCTACATTTTAGTCTCATCTGACCAGAGTACCTTCTTCCATATGTTTGGGGAGTCTCCCACATGCCTTTTGGCGAACACCAAACGTGTTTGCTTATTTTTTTCTTTAAGCAATGGCTTTTTTTCTGGCCACTCTTCCGTAAAGCCCAGCTCTGTGGAGTGTACAGCTTAAAGTGGTCCTATGGACAGATACTCCAATCTCCACTGTGGAGCTTTGCAGCTCCTTCAGGGTTATCTTTGGTCTCTTTGTTGCCTCTCTGATTAATGCCCTCCTTGCCTGGTCCGTGAGTTTTGGTGGGCGGCCCTCTCTTGGCAGGTTTGTTGTGGTGCCATATTCTTTCCATTTATTAATAATGGATTTAATGGTGCTCCGGGGGATGTTCAAGGTTTCGGATATTTTTTTATAACCCAACCCTGATCTGTACTTCTCCACAACTTTGTCCCTGACCTGTTTGGAGAGCTCCTTGGTCTTGATGGTGCCGCTTGCTTGGTTGTGCCCCTTGCTTAGTGGTGTTGCAGACTCTGGGGCCATTTCAGAACAGGTGTATATATACTGAGATCATGTGACAGATCATGTGACACTTAGATTGCACACAGGTGGACTTTATTTAACCAATTATGTGACTTCTGAAGATAATTGGTTGCACCAGATCTTATTTAGGGGCTTCATAGCATAGGGGGTGAATACATATGCACACACCACTTTTCCGTTATTTATTTTATTTGTATAATTTTTTGAAACAAGTTCTTTTTTTCATTTCACTTCACCAATTTAGACTATTTTGTGTATGTTCATTACATGAAATCCAAATAAAAATCCATTTAAATTACAGGTTGTAATGCAACAAAATAGGAAAAATGCCAAGGGGGATGAATACTTTTGCAAGGCACTGTATTGTGCTCCCCACAGGTTATAGAAAAGAGCAGAAGCACTGAACTACCCATTCGCACTCCAGTCCTACCTGCCTACCGGTTATGGAAAATTTGCTCTTTTAGTATTTGTCCAGTAGATTGTCAAATATATTTAAACAAAAACACTAAAAAAAAAAACAGTAATTGCTATAGTATTACAATACTTTTTATAGTATACTATAGTATTTTTTCATATGTGTTGAGTTAGGAACAGCTGCAGGAAGAGAGGTGCATGCCACCAGACAGTACTTTAGGGCCTCAAACAACTTCTCCAACGCAACAGTAACAGCGCCAATGTGCATATCTTATAGACTATGATGAGTTCTAGAAATGTTATCTAATCTGGACACTTGGTATTCCAGTTTACAGAGCAAATAATATCTACACACTAAGTACATTAACAAATTTACTTCAATAAATTATATTGCCTCAAGTCATACGTTCTCATGCAGTATTCAAGTATGCACTAATATGAAATGTAGTGGTGAGCTATATCCTCACAAACTGATTTATGACCAGATCATCTAAACTATCCCTCAATGGTAACATAAAAACTGGAAAAGCCCATTGGTCATTCTGTCTTTCCACTTACCTGAGTATGTTGTTTTTAGGTGAAGGGACTCAGTCACGAGGCCAGGAAACTCAACCAGATCAGAGACTTGGTGCAACTAAGCTGGCTGCTTTGAGATTCATGAGGAAAGCAACACTTTGTTCCAGTGTACAGCCATGTCATAACCCCTCCCATTGCACCTTGGTGTCTTTGTTTCCTTCTCTCCTCCTCTTTTTTCTCATTCTCCTCCTCTCTACTTCCTCCTTTTCCTCTCCTCCTTCTCTTTCTCCTCCTTCTCCCACATAACTCACTCAATTAAAGAAAACAAGTGTTGTTAACCTAATTTTCTGAATGTTTGTCTATATTTTATAGTTTTATCTGTGAATGTCTTAGGCCTTATAGCCTATTTGAATTGTATGTTTACATATTAGACCAATGTATGTATTTGATTGATTATTACCGATGTAGGATCTTAATTTGAGCCAGTTTGCTACAGCAGGAAAATAATCTTGCAGCAACAGGAACTTATAATTTTTATGTGGATTTTAATTAATGGACATTTTTGTAGGGGTTGATACATTTTTCGTAAGGGAAAATCAAGTCTGACATTTTTAAGTGGAAATTACAAACTTCAGAAGCCTTTTTAAACCTCAAATATACTACATGTTTTAAATGTCCTGCATTGCAAGAAAGTTTTCCTGCAACAGGGTGATCAAATTAAAATCCAACATCTGTATGGCTTTTGTTTCAACATAATGTTGAAATTATATTGTGCCTTTTTATTTGACAGTATACTGCAGTTCGGTGTGGCTTCACACAGTCAATGTTATCCTTTGTATAATAAACACAATCCAGGCATTACACTGATCTCACTTCTAATATTGTGGTCTTAATTAGGATGCCTATGTGATGTCTATTCCTTCTCCTCTCATTAATTCCGATAATAGAGTGTTTAACTATAGGCTCTTCAATTACCATAGAAAACATGCACCAAATCTGTCAGTACAATTCATATCACAACTGAATATCTTATTTTCACAACACTCAGACTGAGATGTCATGTTTTTATTTATTTTTCAAGTTCACCCTATCAGCGACCTCATCCGTCTGATATTCCAGACATGCGCATTACAAACTGCAATCTGACCACAAAATCGGGAGAGAACTACAGAGCAGGCAGGACCGCAATGGGACGAGGGTGATTTTATCAAATCTATCAAAAATCGCTGACAAGATGTCCGACGCGAGTAGAAACCCCCAATCGATACGCATCTGGACTTATTGAAGTGGATCCGATACACACAGAACCTGCAGAACTCCCAAAAGTCAATACTTTTTCCAAGGGGAGGAAGTTTGTTGTGTCGAAGGAAATATAATAGCCCGGTAAGGCAGGAGGAGACTGCGGAAAGCGGCCAGAACAGGGGACAGTCAGAATACAAACCCACCCACCCAGTCAGCCATGGAGGAGTTTGGGTCAGCGTTGGAGAAGAATGTGGCCGATTTAACAGTTATGGACGTGTATGACATAGCCGCGGTGGTGGGTCAGGAGTTTGAGCGGATCATTGATCAGTATGGATGTGAGGCTCTGTCCAGGCTCATGCCAAAAGTGGTGCGGGTGCTGGAGATCCTGGAGGTGATGGTCAGTAGGAACAGCGTCAGCCCGGAGACCGAGGAGTTGAGGCTGGAGCTGGACAAACTACGGCTGGAGCGGATGGACCGGATGGAGAAAGAGAAGAAACACAAGAAGGTCATAATTAGCTTACATGATAAGATAAATAATAGGCCTAGTTGTAACCAAACATAATTGATAACAGTAGGCCAAATGATAGGCATCCTAATAGGCTATTATTGGCCTAATAGCCTAATAATGTATGGTGAAGATATGGCAATAATGGTAACAAAAATAGAAAAGTTTAAGAGAATAAGAAGACAACTAATTTGCCATGCCATCATGAAAAGAATGCAATGAGATTATTATAACAATTACTTTGAAAAGTGTACTAGGCATTTTGAAAATATAACTGATATCCCCAAATAAAATAGGACTCTGACAAGAATGACACTTGATTGACTGAGGATAGGCTACATTGTTATAATTAGGCCTACCTCCTTGTACCGCTGCTATGCCCGTGCAATGTAGCAGAAATCACTTAAAGATGCTTTGGAGATAGAAAAATGCTCTTATTGAATATATGGTGTCACAACACAACTGTTCACTTGACTAGTGTATTACAGTGCACAAAAAAGCATAGTAGGGCTATAACGTCTTTACATGAAGGCATGTGCCTCAGCGACAGTCAGAGTTGGTGCACTAAAAAGAAAAATGTCGTTGCTGGTCTGGTGACAGTGACATGGGGGGAGTTAAACTGGCCTGTCATTGGTTGACTGAGATGTGTCTCCTGACTCAAATAAAGTGTGTCAACGACATAAATGACACTTAGGCCCAGAGAGCCATCTATATTATGGCCCCTGGAAATGCTTAGGATGATATGTTTAAACTTAAAGTTCAAATAAATGCTTTGGAAATGTTCAGTAGAAAGTTTAAGTAAGCCAGAGAAAGTACACACAAAAAATAAATTGGGTTCCTCAAGCATTCTTTGGGAAGGGTGATAGTTCTATGTGGAACCATACTGACCCAAAGAAAAGTCCAGTGTAGCTCAGTTGGTAGAGCATGGCGCTTGCAACGCCAGGGTTGTGGGTTCGATTCCCACGGGGGACCAGTACGAAAATGTATGCACTCACTAACTGTAAGTCGCTCTGGATAAGAGCGTCTGCTAAATGATTTAAATGTAAGAACCCTTTGAGCCCTTCAACGGTTATTTGCAGTTCAAAAAAGGGGTCTTTCCTCATTTATTGATAATTAAATTGTAGTGGCGGTGGCTCATTATAATTTTTTGGGGCGTGGTTTGTTCACAGCTCTTGATGTGCATCCAAGAGTGAGAGTGTCATTCCAGTTTATCTAATCTGTTGTGTTAACGCTATTGTAGCACATGGGGATGTGTGAAACTAACTAAGAGCTTCAGCACTCGGCGCTCCCCTTCTGTGAGTTTGCGTGGCCTACGACTTTGTGGCTGAGCCGTTGTTGCGCCTAGACGTTTCCACTTCACAATAACAGCACTTACAGTTGACCGGGGCAGCTCTAGCAGGGCAGAAATTTGATGAACTGACTTGTTGGAGGAAAGGTGAGATCCTATGACAGTGCCAAGTTGAAAGTCACTGAGCTCTTCAGTAAGGCCATTCTACTGCCAATGTTTGTCTATGGAGATTGCATTGCTGTGTGTTCGATTTTATACACCTGTCAGCAACGTGTGTGTTTGAAATAGCCGAATCCACTAATTTGAAGGGGTGTCCACATACTTTTGTATATATAGTGTATATATTACCATGGCCAGTGACAGTGTCTCGTGAAAGACTCGTATGGCCTTGTATCAATTAAGAACGGTTGACAAATAAGTAAGTAGTTCTCAATTCTTTCCTCAGGGACCCCCAGCCGTTCCAGAGCTAGCACACCTGATTCAGCTTGTTAATTAACACAATAATAAAATCTATGGAATTTTTCAATATAATATGGCTATTAAACTAGAATAAAAAACCCTGGATGGTTCTACAAAGAACCTTTGAGATTTAGAAAGATTCTTTATAGAACCATTCTCAATAAAGGTTCTATAAAGAACCATTTATAAGGGTTTTATATAGCCCCAAAAATGGTTGTAAACATAGCAGAACCCTTTTTTTGGTGCTATATAGAACCTTAGGAAAGGGTTCTTTATAGCACCATACAGGTTCCATTTAGAACCTTATGAGCAAAGGCTCCATATACAGTTGAAGTCGGAAGTTTACATACACCTTAGCCAAATACATTTAAACTCAGTTTTTTACAATTCCTGACATTTAATCCTAGTAAAAATTCCCTGTCTTAGGTCAGTTAGGATCACCACTTTATTTTAAGAATGTGAAATGTCAGAATAATAGTAGAGTGAATGATTTATTTCAGCTTTTATTTCTTTCATCACATTCCCAGTGGGTCAGAAGTTTACATACACTCAATTTGTATTTGGTAGCATTGCCTTTAAATTGTTTAACTTGGGTCAAACGTTTCAGGTAGCCTTCCACAAGCTTCCCACAATAAATTGGGTGAATTTTGGCCCATTCCTCCTGACAGAGATGGTGTAACTGAGTCAGGTTTGTAGGCCTCCTTGCTCGCACACACTTTTTCAGTTCTGCCCACACATTTTCTATAGGATTTGGAAGACTCATTTGCGACCAAGCTTTAACTTCCTGACTGATGTCTTGAGATATTGCTTCAATATATCCACATAATTTTCCTTCCTCATGATGCCATCTATTTTGTGAAGCGCACCAGTCCCTCCTGCAGCAAAGCACCCCCACAGCATGATGCTGCCACCCCCGTGCTTCACGGTTGGGATGGTGTTCTTCGGCTTGCAAACAACCCCCTTTTTCCTCCAAACATAACAATGGTCATTATGGCCAAACAGTTCTATTTTTGTTTCATCAGACCAGAGTACATTTCTCCAAAAAGTACGATCTTTGTCCCCATGTGCAGTTGGAAACCGTAGTCTGGCTTCTTTATGGCGGTTTTGGAGCAGTGGCTTCTTCCTTGCTGAGCGGCCTTTCAGTATATGTCGATATAGGACTCGTTTTACTGTGGATATAGATACTTTTGTACCTGTTTCCTCCAGCATCTTCACAAGGTCCTTTGCTGTTGTTCTGGGATTGATTTGCACTTTTCGCACCAAAGTACGTTCATCTCTAGGAGACAGAACGCGTCTCCTTCCTGAGCGGTATGACGGCTGCGTGGTCCCATGGTGTTTATACTTGCGTACTATTGTTTGTACAGATGAACGTGGTACCTTCAGGCGTTTGGAAATTGCTCCCAAGGATGAACCAGACTTGTGGAGGTCTACAATTTTTTTTCTGAGGTCTTGGCTGATTTCTTTTGATTTTCCCATGATGTCAAGCAAAGAGGCACTGAGTTTGAAGGTAGGCCTTGAAATACATCCACAGGTACACCTCCAATTGACTCAAATTATGTCAATTATCAGAAGCTTCTAAAGCCATGACATCATTTTCTGGAATTTTCCAAGCTGTTTAAAGGCATAGTCAACTTAGTTTATGTAAACTTCTGACCCACTGGAATTGTGATACAGTGAATTATAAGTTAAATAATCTGTCTGTAAACAATTGTTGTAAAAATGACTTGTGTCATGGACAAAGTAGATGTCCTAACCGACTTGCCAAAAGTATAGTTTGTTAACAAGAAATTTGTGGAGTGGTTGAAAAACAAGTTTTAATGACTCCAACCTAAGTGTATGTAAACTTCCGACTTCAACTGTAGCACCAAAAAGGGTTCTGCTATGGTTATAAGCCAAATAACCCTTATTTTCAACTATATAGAACCATTTGTTTTTAGTGTGTAGGCTATGCAAACAACAGTAAAGCCAGACTATAGTCTATAAGACCAACTATCTTTCAACGTCACGAGGATGAAGACATTCATTGACAGACAGGAGAAAGCAATCGTAAAAGTTCAGGTTGAAAACAAAACTGATGCCTTTCATATAGTCTACCAATGCACATGTTGTAGAAAAAAAGGTGCTATCTAAAAGGGTTATTCGGCTGTCCCCATAGGATAACCCTTTCAAGAAGCCTTTTTGGTTATGTGGAAAGGGTTCTACCTGGAACCACAAAGGGTTATACCTGGAACCAAAAAGGGTTCTCTTATGGGGACAGCCGAAGAAGCCTTTTGGAACCCTTTTTTCTAAGAGTGTACTTACTCAAACAAACCATGGCTCAGTCGTATGTCTGTGGCCAAGTCCTAATATTAGCCCATATGGCTTCTTTTCCTTGTGTGCTTTAAAACCATTGTCCAGAGAGGGCTGAATTGGTTAAAGCAAGCTGGTGGAAACCCCACATTTTAAGGATGTGTTTGATGGCGGGGCTGTGAGCAGACATGTATGGAGAGGAGAGGAGTGTGTGTTTGGAGTGTGTGCGTGCAGACAGGATGTATGGAGTGTTTAACTCTGTGTGTGTGTGTGTGTGTTTGGGTGTGTAGGAGTTGGAGCTGGTAGAGGATGTATGGAGAGGGGAGGCCCAGGACCTTTTGTCTCAAATCGCTCAGCTTCAGGAAGAGAACAAGACACTCCTCACTAACATGTCCATCAAAGACCCCATGAGTGAAGAGGACCTACAGAGGCACGAAGGTACTAAACCCCGAATCCTAAACCCTTTACTCTACACCATACACTCTAAACCCATACACACACACACAATGACAATATGACTTAATTGCCTCTTTGAAAGAATGTTACACATACATATACACTGTATACACTCTGACTCTCTCGCGCTCTCTCTCTCTCTCTGTCGCTCGCTCTCTCTCAACACACACACACACACACACACAAAGGAGGCCTTCTTTGTGTTTGAGGCTGAGCCAGGCTCATCACTGCATGAGTGGCTCTGTCGTGATGTCACAGAGGGGCTACAGTCCCCCTGACACACACACACACATGAGGATGAGCACAGAGACAGACCACCCTCAGTGTTTCATACACCTGCTAGACTAGGGATGGACATTTGACATTTTTTGACTGTTCAGGACTCGCATGTTTTTTAATTGAGTACTCCAATAGAAAAAAATAAAATGTTTAGAACAAAAGGCCCGCACTGGAAAACAAATATGTGCGCATTTATCTATATGCTATCAGTGCGAAACAATGCCTAATTTATCATAGCCATTACCGATAACCAATCCTAATTGCTAAATTCAGAAACTATTCACACCCCTTGACTTTTTCAACATTTTGTTGTGTTACAGCCTGAATTTGAAATTGATTAAATTGGGATTTTGTGTCACTGGCCTACATACAATACCCCATAATGTCAAACTGGAATTACGTTTTTTACAAATTAATTAAAAATGAAAAGCTGAAATGTCTTGAGTCAATAAGTATTCAATGCCTTTGTTATGGCAAGCATAAATAAGTTCAGGAGTAAAAATGTGCCTAACAAGTCACAATAAGTTGCATGGGCTCACTCTGTGTGCAATAATAGTGTTTAACATGATTTTTGAATAACTACCTCATCTCTGTACCCCGCACATACAATTATCTGTAAGGTCCCTCTGTCGAGCAGTGAATTTCAAACACAGATTCAACCACAAAGACCAGGGAGGTTTTCCAATGCCTCGCAAAGAAGGGCCTATTGGTAGATGGGAAGAAAAAAAATGCAGACATTGAATATCCCTTTGAGCATGGTGTATTAATTACACTTTGGATGCTGTATCAATACACTCAGTCACTACAAAGATACAGGCATCCTTCCTAACTCAGTTGCCGGAGAGGAAGGAAACCGCTCAGGGGTTTCACCATGAGGCCAACAGTTACAGAGTTTAATGGCTGTGATAGGAGAAAACTGAAGATGGATCAACAACATTGTAGTTACTCCACAATATATACCTAATTGACAGAGTGAAAAGAAGGAAGCATGTACAGAATAAACATATTCCAAAACATGCAGCCTGTTTGCAACAAGGCACTAAAGTAATACTGCAATAAATGTGGCACAGCAATTAACCTTTTGTCCTGCATACAAAGTGTTATGTTTGTGGCAAACACAACACATTACTGAGTACCACTCTCCATATTTTCAAGCATAGTGGTGACTGCATCATGTTATGGGTATGCTTGTAATCGTTTTTCAGGATAAAAAAGAAACGGAATGGAGGCAAAAATGCACAGGCAAATTCCTAGAGGAAAACCTGGTTCAGTCTGCTTTCAACCAGGGAGATGAATTCACCTTTCAACAGGACAATAACCTTAAACACAAGGCTAAATCTACACTCGAGTTTCTTAACAAGAAGACAGTGAATGTTCCTGAGTGGCCGGATTACAGTTTTGACTTAAATCTGCTTGAAAATCTATGGCAAGACCTGAAAATAGTTGTCTAACAATGATCAACAACCAATTTGACAGAGCTTGAAGAAATTTGAGAAGAATAATGGGGCAAATGTTGCACAATCCAGGTGTGCAAAGCTCTTAGAGACTTACCCAGAACAACTTACATCTGTAATCGCTGCCAAAGGTGCTTCTACAAAGTATTGACTCAGGTGTGAATACTTATCTAAATCAGATATTTTGGTATTTAATTTTCAATACATTTGCAAAGATTTCTAAAAACATGTTTTCACTTTGTCATTATGGCGCATTGCGTGTAGATGGGTGAGAGAAAAAATATAATTAATACATTTTGAATTCAGGCTGTAACACAACAGAATGTGGAATAAGTCAAGGGGTATGAATACTTTCACTCAGTCAATAAAAAAAGAAGTGCCATTTTAAGATTAATTTTTGAAACCGCCATATCAACTGGTTATATTAGCCTTTATCGTGGAACACAATCTTCAAAAAGGTAGTAACCTCAGCAGTGGCACTTGCTTGTAGAAGCCTATGGCTGTGCAATGGCTTAGCCTTGTTTTGTTAATTTACCAGACAAGACACTTATTTCTCAAGCCCTTATCACAGTCAAGACACACTTATTTTATACTAAAAAAACATGATGTAATATAACAGAATCAAATATAACAAAATCTAAAAGTGCATGATGAATGATGTTTTATGTACATTACTCGTGAGTGATGTTTCTTTAGCCCATGTTGCGCATCTGGCAACAGTTTTGAGGACATTTGAAAGGGGCTCATTTGCGTGTGAAAGACAAGGTCAAACCAATATATTTTTTTCGATAGATGTAATTTAGTTTTCTGCTTCTCTGGAATTTTCTAAATGGATAAGACATGAACACTGATGCTGATGATGCCATGACATCTGTTTGGTGAGTAGGCCTATAGGCTTAATGATTTTGATGAAAATACCGCATTTTTCTTTATCATATTTTCAGTGTGGAACCTGCCTATGTTTAGGGGGGTTATAGCCTAGGGCCTAGGCTAACCAATTCTAAATGGCACTAGCAGTTCGCAAGGTAGCCTAAGCGGAAAATAGACGGGATTATTCCAAAAATTATTCTACTTAAATTAAAAACTCAATTTTTTATTTGTGGTAAAACTGTTTTCATTTGGCAAGGAATGTAGCTTGTGTATCCAATCAGTTACAGTGCCTTCAGAATGTATTCACACCCCTTGGCTTTTTCCATATTTTGTTGTGTTACAAAGTTCGATTAAAATTGATTTAATTGTTATTTTTTGGTCAACGATCTACACAAAATACTCTGTATTGTCAAAGTATTTTTTTTATATTATTTTTTGACAAATAAAACACAAGTACTTTATCTTGATTAGATAAGTATTCAACCCCCTGAGTCAATCAATACATGTTAGAATAACCTTTGGCAGTGATTACAGCTGTGAGTCATTATGGGTAAGTCTCTAAGAGCTTTCCACACCTGGATTGTGCAACATTTGCCCTTTATTCTTTTCTAAATTCTTCAAGCTCTGTCAAATTGGATGTTGATCATTGCCAGACAACCATTTTCAGGTCTTGCCATAGATTTTCAAGCAGATTTAAGTCAAGACTGTAACCTGGCCACTCAGGAACATTCACTGTCTTCTTGGTAAGCAACTCCATTGTAGATTTGGCCTTGTGTTTTAGGTTATTGTCCTGCTGAAAGGTGAATTAATCTCCCAGTGTCTGGTGGAAAGCAGACTGAACCAGGCTTTCCTGTAGGATTTTGCCTTTGCTTAGCTCCATTCCGTTAATTTTTTTATCCTGAAAAACTCCCCAGTCCTTAACATGATGCAGCCACCACTATGCTTGAAAATATGGAGAGTGGTACTCAGTAATATGTCTGGGGCAAATCCAATACAACACAACACTTTGTATTCAGGACAAAAAGTGAATTGCTTTGCCACATTTTTTGAAGTATTATTTTAGTGCCTTGTTGCAAACAGGATGCATGTTTTGGATTATTTTATTCTGTACAGGCTTCCTTCTTTTCACTCTGTCAATTAGGTTAATATTGTGGAGTAACTACAATGTTGTTGTCCATCTTCAGTTTTCTCCTATCACAGCCATTAAACTCTGTAACTGTTTTAAAGTCACCAGTGGCCAAATGGTGAAATCCCTGAGTGGTTTCCTTCCTCTCTGGCAACTGAATTAGGAAGGACACCTGTATCTTTGTAGTGACTGGGTGTATTGATACACCATCCAAAGTGTAATTAATAACTTCACCATGCTCAAAGGGATATTCAATGTCTGCTTTTTTTTTCTTCCCATCTACCAATAGGCCCTTCTTTGCAAGGCATTGGAAAATCTCCCTGGTCTTTGTGGTTGAATCTGTATTTGAAATTCACTGCTCGACTGAGGGACCTTACAGATAATTGTATGTGTGGGGTACAGAGATGAGGTAGTCATTAAAAAAAAGAATGTTAAACACTATAAATGGACACAGAGTGAGTCCATGCAATTTATTATGTGACTTGTTAGGCTTGCCATAACAAAGGGGTTGAATACTTATTGACTCAAGACATTTCAGCTTCTCATTTTTAATTAAAAAATTGATTTTTTATAGAAAAACATAATTCCACTGACATTATTGGGTATTGTGTGTAGGCCAGTGACCAAAAATATTGATTGAATCCATTTTAAATTCAGGCTGTAACACACCTCTTGACCTTTTCCACATTTTGTGACTGAGGTTTTAAAGTCTGGCTTCCTCCATTGCTGATATTCAGGGCTGTGTGTCAGCCACGGGTACGCCGTTTCTGTGTCAGAGATATCAAGTATGTGTGTGTGCTTGTGAGCCTATTTGCTATTTTAAACCTAGCTAGTCGGGCTCACAGACAGAAACTCTGTTGCTGTGCTCATAATCACTTGATTTATTCTCTAATGCAGTACAAAAGGTGTACAAATAATGAACACACTCACACAGAGTATTCATGTTGTTCTAACTTGGCTCCTTTCTCCTGTGTCTTGGCTGCCAGGTATTTATATTGTTCATCCGTACTTAGTTAACACTCTCTGCTCTGCCATGTTTTCTCTGTTGCGTTGCCAGGTATGTCGGAGCGGGAGCGTCAGGTGATGAAGAAGCTGAAGGAGGTGGTGGACAAGCAGAGAGACGAGATCCGAGCCAAAGACCGTGAGCTCACGCTCAAGAACGAGGACGTTGAGGCAGTAAGGACAGCAGGATGGGTGCTTGCTTGGGGTAGAACTTGTCCCTTTGCACAGACCTAAGATCAACTAACCCTTCCCTAATCCCAACCTTAACCATTAGGAGGTAGAACACAAAGCTGACCTTAGATCAGTTTCAAGGGGAGACTGGGTTAGGGGTCAGGGGTCAGGGACTGCTTGTAGGCTATGGGGGAATCTGTTTTATTTATTCAAGTGTATTGATTTGATGGATCAATGACCTGAATCTCTCTCTTTCTCTGTTTCCCTCTCTGTTTCATCCCCCTGTACTTCTTCCCTCTCTCTCTTCTCTCTTTCCGACTCACTCTACCACCGTCTCTTCTTGTTTCTACCCCCCTCTTTACCTCCACCCCATCCATCCATTTCCCTCCCTGAATTTCCCTTCCCCTCCACCCCTCCATCTCTCTCTAGCTCCAGCAGCAGCAGTCTCGTCTGATGAAGATAAACCATGACCTGCGCCATAAGATCTCTGTGGTGGAAGCTCAGGGGAAAGCCCTCATCGAGCAGAAGGTTCGAAGCCTTAGGATGTGTAATACATATTTTATTACCCACAGTATTTGCAAAACAAAGTAGTTCAGAAGTACTTCAACAATGTATACTGAACAAAAATATAAACGCAACATGCAACATTTTCAAAGATTTTATTGAGTTACAGTTCATATAAGGAAATCAGTCAACTGAAATAAATTCATTACATGCTGGCCCATTGGGGAGCCAGGCCCAGCCAATCAGAATGAGTTTTTCCCCACAAAAGAGCTTTATTACAGACAGAAATACTCCTCAGTTTCATCAGCTGTCCGGGTGGCTGGTCTCAGATGATCCCGCAGGTGAAGAAGCCAGAAGTGGAGGGACTGGCGTGGTTACACGTGGTCTGCGGTTGTGAGACCGGTTGGACGTACTGCCAAATTCTCTAAAATGACGTTGCAGGTGGCTTATGGTAGAGAAATTAACATTCAGTTCTCTTGCAACAGCTCTGGTGGACATTCCTGCAGTCAGCATGCGAATTGCACACTCTGCACATTTTAAAGTGGCCTTTTATTGTCCACAGCACAAGGTGCACCTGTGTAATGATCATGCTGTTTAATCAGCTTCTTGATATGCCACACCTGTCAGGTGGATTGATTATCTTGGCAAAGGAGAAATGCTCACTAACAGGGATGTAAACATATTTGTGCACAACATTTGAGAGAAATAAGCTTTTTGTGCGTATGGAAAATATCTGGGATCTTTTATTTCAGCTCATGCAATATGGGACCAACACTTTACATGTTGCGTTATATTTTTGTTCAGTATATTATTATATTTGTATCTTAAGGTGGAACTGGAGGCGGGAGCTCAGGCACGTGTACAGGAAATGGGAGCACTCCGGCAGGAAGTGACACGTTTAAGGGAGCGCCTGCAAGGAGACACGCCTCAGGGTCTAGAGGAGCCTCCTCCCCAGCCCCCCTCCCCCGCACAGGTAATAACAACACCTCCCAAGGCCCCCCTTCCCCGCACAGGTAATAACAACACCTCCCAAGGCCCCCCTTCCCCGCACAGGTAATAACAACACCTCCCAAGGCCCCCCTTCCCCGCACAGGTAATAACAACACCTCCCAAGCTCCCCTCCCCTGCACAGGTAATAACAACACCTTCTCAGGTCGGCAGAACCAGCCAGGCACACCTGCACAGGTAACTACACAGTTCTTACAGTTAGACTTGCCCCCAGCAGCCCTATGTGCTCCATTATAACCCTGGCGGCCGCTGGCAGAGTCACACACACAGTGTGCTGGTATTATCTTTTCTTTCTATGAGAGAATCTTTGCAGCCTGAGTCAGTTTACAGCAGTCTGACTCACAGCCTCCTCGGAAAACATGACCTGGCTATCATATGAGGGGTGGGAGGTGGAGTGGAGTGGAGGGGAGGGGAGGGGAGGGGAGGGGCAGGACGGAAATAGCCCCCCTCTCTACCTCTCCACAGCCAGCTAGCCAGCCAAGCACCATGCAAGCCAGAGAGATGTAGAGAGAGACAGAGAGGTAGCCAGACAATTCACAGCTAGCCAGCCAAGCACCATGCAAGCCAGAGAGATGTAGAGAGAGACAGAGAGGTAGCCAGACAATTCAGGACAGCTAAAAGTGACCTGGCAATTACCTTTGTAGTAACTTGTACACCAAACTGATTTTTCATAGACTTCATACAGCAAGTGTAACACATATCACCCACAGTACTCTGCAGCACCATTTATGTTGTCACTTTTCTTTTACAATGACTAACCTCGATAAATAAAGGTACAATAAAAAACTGATCTCCCCCCTACAGCCTGGTAGCCCCTGCTCCTCAGAGGTGGGGGCTCAGGGTGTGGGCTGGCCAGAACCAGACAGACACTACCACCCTGAGCTGCTGTTGGGGGGGTACGATCCCGCCCCGCGCCTCCCGTCCCTGGATGACGATGATGAGGATGTAGAGGAAGAGGCAGTGTTGCTATGGGTAACACCGTTGTGCTAGCTAGCCGCCCCCAGAATGGTGTGTTTGCCGTGACCTCTAACCTTTGCTCCGCCACTGTCCCCCTAAACAGTGTTCTATTGATGCTGGTATCGCTAGAGCACAGAGTTGAGATGCTGCCTCATTCACCTGTACGCGTGTGGGATTGTGATGTTTGATTGCATTTCAAGGACTGTGTTTTTGATTCAGCCAACCTTGAGTCAGTGAACCCTTTTCCCTAACTTTACCACATGATTGTGTGTTTGAGAGAAAGAGGAAGAGTGAGGTTTTTTGTATGCATACAGTGTGTGTGTGTCGGGGTGTGTTTATAAACATGCACAGTGTGTATGTGGGAGTGTGTGTGTGTGTGCTCCTGCCTGCAGTTCTACTACCCCAGTGTGAACACCCTAACTGTTGATTTTGACGGCACAGAGCATGTGTGAGTTAAGTATCCCTGTGCCAACTATGTCAGACTGTGTGTGTGTGCGTGAGTGTGAGAATCAACTGTCCCTACACCCACTGGGTCAGACCTTACCACTGCAGCTGTCACCTCTAAACATAGACTGCTCTGACACCCCTGTAACAGCACATGGACTAGTCCAGTACCTTCCCTTTCCCCTGCAACACACATAGCAGAGTATGTAGTTTGCACCAACAGAACTCGGAACACAAGCTCAGCCTGTTACGATTATAGAATGACTGTTCTTAATGCCTCTTTTTTCACACGTAATTTGCTACAGAGTGACTTAAGACTGTTTGCTGAATGACTGACCTCTGTTGGTTGCATGCAGTGAGTTAGTCTGAAGTATCTCAATTTGAGGTGCACTTCTGGCTGTAGGGAATGAAGGAAGGAAGGAGAGAAGGGTGCATTTCTTAAGTATTGGAACAGGGCCCAGTGTCTGACCTACAGTTCTCTTCCTGTGCCACTAGGAGGCGATGTGTGATGAGGACACACCTGCTCTGTTCCAACACTTTACCAAGGTATCCCTCCTTCCTGCCTATCCTCTATTCCTTCCTTTCCTTTCTTCCTTCGTCCCATGGTGTAATGTGGCTGTACCCCACTAGGAGGCGCTATGTGATGAGGAGGGGGGAGGCCTGGACCAGAAGGATCCCAACAGGCCCCGGTTCACACTGCAGGAGCTGAGAGACGTTCTGCATGAGAGGAACGAGCTTAAGGCCAAAGTGTTCATGCTGCAGGAGGAGATCGCCTACTACAAAAGGCAGCCATCTTTATTTTCACCATACAAACAGAACATGTTTTAAAAAACATAATCAATAAAATGAGATTAACACAAGTTGTCAGGTTAAATTTAAGAAGTTAAAAATTAACAATATTGAAGTCAACAATATTTGACAATGATGATGGTGGAGTGATGACTCTTCTTCCTCTCTCTCCAGTGAAGAAGAGGCGGAGGATGAGACCGGCCCCCCTACTCCTTCCCCTTCTCCCGAACAACTGAGGGCACAGCCCCGACTCAATGCACAGCCCGAGTCAGGAATCAAACGCCTGTACGTACCACACACCCACAGATATGCTCGATTCTGATCTACACTAAACAAAGTGTGGTTTAGAGTAACCACCAGCTGGCAACACACCAGTAACATAGCTACATCTCACAGCAGATGGAAATAAATCAAATGGGCTGTGTTTGATGTGGTCCCTCTCTTCCATCTCCCTTTTTCTCTATCTCTGCTTGTCTGTGCCTTTCTGTGAATGTGTGTGTGTGTGTGTGTGTGTGTGTGTGTGGGTATATGTGTGTCTATACCTGTGTGTGTGTGTGTACCTCTGTGTGACAGGATCTTCACAGCCATAATGCCGATGGTGGCAGCTGGGTTGATTTCAGATGACCCCACTTTACAGCCAATCAGACATCTCATATCCCTTGTACGACACCCGTCATTGGTTGGCCTCTGTGTCACTCACTGTCTTAGCTAACACCTTCTGCCCCCTGTATGTGGTATTGGTGGGGCCAGGAGCTTTTCCTGACTTTGTGATCTGACCAGTAAAAACTCTGGGCCCTGGTTATCGCACCTGCATGGACCCTCCCATCCCCTGTATATGTTTTTATTCTGATTGGCTGACTGTGGGGCTATCTAAATCACTATCCAATGGAAAGGTGGTAGATCATTAGAATCAGCCAGTCAGAATAGGATGTGTATTCACTTCCTGACCCGTTTCCGATTCCCTAACCGATTTTTATAACTATTGCTTTTCCTCTGCTCCTGTTGCTTTGTGCATATAACACTAACCCTGATGCACTTTGTGTCATCTCAGAACTCACTATGTAGAAATGCATCTACATTTTAACCGTTATAACCACAGGACTCTAAAGTCATCAGTCTAAGGAATATGTCTGGAGGACATAAGGCAACAATGACGCTGGGTAGTGAAGTCCACTTTTTTGTCTCTCTTTTCTCTGTCCTCTACTTTTCCATCCTCTCTTCCTCTTCTCTCTCAGGTTTAGCTTCTTCTCTCGCGACAAGAGGCGGATCTCCCAGCGGAATGCACAGTTTGATGACAGCTTCAGCTCGTGGGCGGGGAAGGATGAGGTGTACACAGAACAGGCCCAGGAGGCTTTGCAGCACATATAGGGCACGTTCCTCTGACCAGGCGTTGTTGACGCCTGCCAGATCTTACAAGGCCTGGATAGGTATTTTAGGTATCAGCTAACTACATCATATGTTATAGCAATCTGTCAGGCGATTAAATAGTCAATGACGTGGTACGCAACCATTGGTTGATGCATGCAACGTCTTAGCAGGAGAAAGTGACCGTAGTGATTGGACAGCGCTTTATGATGAGGTCACTCAGAACCATCTCACTGTAACGCCCCGCCCATGCCCACCATGTGAGCTGCAGCAGCACTTAAGGGACAGTTCTAAATTTACTGGGGTGGGGAGTTGGTCCAAAATAGGGGAGGGTTGTCAAACTTATTTCTTTGCTTTGGGGAGGGTTGTGTGATTGTTTTATTGGGCACAGGGGAGGGTAGTGTATATTTTCCCTGGTTTACATTCCCCATTTAGCAGGTTTTACTATATAATTTCTTCCATATAGCCACATTTCCTCATCTGCTTGCGTGCACCGCCTCTCTCAAGGTGTTTTGGTACTTCCCTTATGCACTACACTTTTCTGCACGCTTGCTATACAGTCAACTCTATCCTGCCCTCTATACATAGTGACAATAGTGGTAGGTGGATCTGCAATAAGTTAACTAGCAATCATACCACACATCAAATCATTCAAATCTGCATCAATTTTCAATATAAATCCACAAGAACATAAAGGAATAGCTGATGGGTAGTGGAGAGGCCAGGTGCGTCATTGCGCATGAAAGAACAGTCAAGACATGATATACACAGCTCATAAAGCTCTCCTATTCATCTTGTTTAGGCCATACACATTTTATTTATTAAACAACGGATTCCCCTCTTTACATTTCTAAAAATAGTAAAACATTTAATGAAATAGTGATTCATTTTATTCATATGAATCGATTATTTTTAATCGATTATTTTTGACTAACTGAACGATGTGCTTTGCCATTGTAGTAGTTGGGGTTCAATCGCGGTGAATCGAATCATGGGAATCAAAATAATCATTTGTGAATCGCAAATAGTAAAAGGAAACAATTTAGCTGTAGCCTTCCTTTCGAATTGTGTCGATGCAAAACTCATTTTGTAGATACTTTAAGTTGATTTGGACATTCAATTAATGGGACGTTGCAACTCAATAGATACTAGTAGTCAGCCTGCAATAAACACTTCTAAAGGTAAGATATATAGCCTATCGGCTCTATAAAATCTGCGGTGCATGCTGAAACAGTCATTTTCAACGTTATTCCCCAAAAAACTTCTCAGTTAAACGTTGACTGCAAAGTAGGCCTTCCTGGCAGAATGATATCATGAAGATTTGTATCAATCGGGTGCACATCTGTTTTGCATGCTCTGCCATCACATGTGCAGTACACAAACCTGACAGAAACACCGCTAGCCTAACACAAATATACTGTGAGTAAAACTCAGCTGGGACATGCTTTCAATGATGCTCTCCAACACCTGACACCAACATAGTGGATTAGGGGGGTACCCTGACTGGGACTCAAACCCTGGTCCCTGTGACTGTCATTCCAAAACCATTTTACTGTCACAATCCTCGCTATATGAGCCATGATACAATTCCTACCAAGTGGGTTAACCCTATTGGCCCGATGCATAGGGTGTTTGCTTTTCACGCTAGTGACCGGGTTTCACTTCCTTGTCCTGCTGTTTGCTACATTAATGTCAGAATTGGGAATACCAAGAGGCTAAAATCTCTTGGTGAGGCCGCTAGGTCTTGTACTAAGTTTTTTTTGTATTAATTAAAGGGGTAAAACTTTTATTATATTTTTTACGCGTCACGTAAAAAAATTAATACATCCATTATTCAGGTAATTACATTTGTATGGCCTTGGGGACAATACTATTATCCTACCTAGACTAGCCTACAACACCACAATGCAATGAATATTACATTATTGTTTTCAAGTGAGTACAATTGAGTACAATTCTACTCTAGGCTGTAAACTGCAGTGAAAATGTCATTTGAATAATGGCGCAAAAGCCCTGTTATTTCAATGTTTCATTCCATTTGGATCAGTTGTGGGTCTACTCTCAACAGATCATAAGGTCTACAAAGGCACCGTACAGGACAGTCTGACTGTATTTTTACTTCTGATACTGATGCGCTGTCTGTTGCCGATCATCATTCTCCCAGCAGGCCCACTTATTCAGGAAAGTTTAACGTGCGTTCTGCCTCCTTTCCGATCCGAGCAGCTATTCCTCGAACGCTTCAATATAGGCTAAATATTTGTAATTTAACTTTTTAAATGTATTACCTTTTATGTGTGGCATAAACACAACCAGTCACAATGTTTTAATCTGATTAGGCTACTTCAAAAGTCTCCTGTAGGCTACCTGCGCATGTTCATCCACTCCACTCCAAACTGTGCACCGGCCATTTGATCTGTTACAAAACACCAAAAAGTTTCATGACATTCGGAGATTGTCAAGCCAAGCCACCGACACTGAATAGGATGGGATGTATTTTCAGTTTGTCGAGATTTACATACTCTATTTGATTTTGGTGTTGAAAAAGCAAACCATATGCAAATTTGTTGCATATATTATATATAATTATAAATATAGCATCAAAATATTGAAAATCTGATTCCCCCTAGCTGATCATTGTCTGCAGCCGGCTCTGATCGAGTCAGGCAGGGAGAGTGAGCTTGTGAACCCTCAACCTTCTGGCCTGTAGCCCTGCGTGGCATCGACTGTGCCACAAAACCATGCTGAAGTGGTCAAGTCAATATCCATGTTTATAAACACAGGGTTGCTACAGTTATTGTTATTTATGGTGGTAATCATTCTTTTTTAGTTAATTTTCTGAGGGGGGAGGATGTGCAAATACATTTTGAACTGTCCCTAAAGGCATCGCAATGGTCAGCTTATTTCACAGTACAGCTGAGCACAGCACATCGGCTCTAAGTGACAGAGTAATTCAGTCATTCACCCAGCATCTAGAGTAGTGTAACATAACCACCTATGTCAGTAAACTCCTTGCCTTGGGACTGTGGTTAGTGTGCGGTAACGGTGCGTGGGTAAAATCACTGCAGAAGCCAAGACAGAAGTATTTCCCATACTACAACCTATGTGTTGTGATAATTGCGTTGTTTGCTCTATAACCTGTTAGTTCATATGCCTTGTGACCGTGATATATAGGCCTAAAGGCTGAGACAATAAGAAGACACAGTGGCAGAATAAATTCAACCACACCTTTGTTTCATCACAAAACCAGAGAGCAACCTCTGTCCGGTGAAGTCCACAAAACGTATTGCATGTAGCAAACAGTTACATGACCTACAGCATGGTCAAGCAAGTTAATGTTTCCGACATTTTCGGACCTACTAAACAACTATTGATTTAGAACCACGGAGAGTTACCGCAAGTCGCAAAGAAAACAGGAGCTGCCTCCACTATTCCAGTAACATTACTGCCTGCTGCAGTATAGTGTGATTGTACGACATTGCTGCTTCTAAGTGACAGGACTCCGAGAGAGTTGAGGGTGAAGCGGAGCAGATTCAGTTTGACTTCTGAAAAACAAACAAAAAAACGGAAAACCTCCGTAAAGCCTTTATTTATCCAAAAGTGAAACCCACGAGAATTGACAGATGCACAGAGCGGTTCCCTTTGTGTTAGAACTGGCAGTAGGTGTGTGAGGGAGACAGAGTCAGGCTTGGTAGGTTTGTGGAAAGTATAGAAAGTATGGTTGAGAGGGAGGCGAGTGAGATGGAGGAACCACATGAGACACTCCAGATAGAGAATCATGAGTCACACGTTTTAGAGAAGGAGGAGGAGAGTTAAGTCCAGTAAAGAAACCGAATACGCACCCAGATGTGTTAGACACCGATTCATCTTTCTACCCCCTTGACCTTGAGCTAGACCAGTCATGACCTCAGAGGCAGCTAGGGTGTGCTGTGGCTAGGCCCCTCTCACCAGCACTGGCTAAAAGATGTGTGAACATACAGTTTGTGGTGGCTTTTTTTTAACAGATTGACATTGCACATAAATTAAAAATATGTGTTACTGGGTGTTGAGGTGGGATTTTTTTATTGCACATCTGGAACATCCTGCCTATTCCTTGACTGCATGATCAAACTAGATGGTTGGTTGTTATTGAAACCCTATTCTTAATACAACCCTTTTGCTTCACCAACAACATGCTCTGTCAAATACATACTGTTGGTAGAAGTTTGGGAAGCCTTTTTAGAACAAAATGTCCAATTTAGAGGTTTTATATTTTTCAAATGGTGAATGAAGCACAGAAAGTTATAGTTTTACAATGTCTTATGGAAATAGTATTTTAGTTTTTAATGAATTTAACTAAATGCTACTTGCTGCTGCTTTTTTGTTTTCAGGCATTTTATGCTGCTTTCAGGACTAGCCAAGTGGTGTACATATGAAGCAAAAGTGACAAAGATATCCAAGTTTGGCAAACTGTGTTTGATATATACAATTTATATATAACTTTTGAATGGGTGCCATGTTGGAACCAAACGTCACAAGACAAACAACACTCAAATTACAATGTTGTTGTGGAATATTTGGTTCAAACATGGAGGACAGTTTGCCAAACTCTGTGCTATGGCTGCAAGATGGTTTGTAAGAAGCAAAATGGTCAGTGTGGACGAGGGAGGTTTTGGATCCTGAGGAGTAGTTTTGACTCCGGCAGTCAGACATGATGCTTCAGCCTCACTATGAGAACATTGATACTATTACTATGACTGAAGAACTGTTGAATAATTTATTTTATGATGCAAGAGACTAAATTAAGGTGCAAAACTAGGGCAACGCTTATTGTGACAAAAGGGATTGATAGTCGAGAGAAATTATATATTGTCTGCTGGTGGCAACATCTACACATAAAGGGGAATAAATAGTACAGTATTTTATTTGAACATGGGCAGATGTGTCACCAAGACATCCCTCTTTTGCCACAAACTTCATGGACCCCCTTCACACCTGGTAGATTTCTATTGTAAGGATTTCAGATTGTCTTCATACAGCTTGTTGCCTTTTATTCAAATATGACCTGTCAATAAACATTGTGATCGCCAAATGTTTCATGTCAACTTTCTTACATTTACATTTTAGTCTTTTAGCAGACGCTCTTATCCAGAGCGACTTACAGTTTAGTGAGTGCATAATTTTTTTTTGTTTCATACTGGCCCCCCGTACTTTACATTTACGTTATTTAGCAGACGCTCTTATCCAGAGCGACTTACAGTTAGTGCATACATTATTCTTTTTTATTTTCATACTGGCCCCCCGTGGGAATCGAACCCACAACCCTGGCGTTGCAACCGCCATGCTCTACCAACTGAGCTACCTCCCTGCCGGCCATCCCCTCCCCTACCCTGGACGACGCTGGGCCAATTGTGCGCCGCCCCGTTGGTCTCCCGGTTGCGGCCGGCTACAGCAGAGCCTGGATTCGAACCAGGATCTCTAGTGGCACAGCTAGCACTGCGATGCAGTGCCTTAGACCACTGCGCCACTCGGGAGGTTACTTCAAACACATCGAGTCAAAAACATAAAAATAAACTTTATTAATTGCATCAATGCTATCCAGTATTTTATAAAAAAGTATGTGTAGAAGTAAGACAACAGTTTTGAGCCGACTGGGGCAGCCCGGTTCCAAAACAAATGCAATCAACATTCACCGGGTGAAAAACACGCCTATACGGGCGCCCGGGCGGCAATTTGTATCGGCATTAGCGCAGTATAAATAATCCCAAATCTAGCTCCAAATCGGCGTCAATTTGAAAAAACAAAAAAGTAGATTGCTGATTTACTGGTACATTAAACCATGTTTTACATTTTACATTTAAGTCATTTAGCAGATGCTCTTATCCAGAGCGACTTACAAATTGGTGCATTCAACTTAGGATAGCCAGTGGGACAACCACCCTTTTTTTTTTGTGGGGGAGGGGTTCCTCTCTCTCGTCAAGTTCCTCTCTCTCGCCGACTCCCTCTCTCTCGCCGACTCCCTCTCTCTCGCCGACTCCCTCTCTCTCGCCGACTCCCTCTCGTAACTCCTATTCCTCCTCTCTTGGTGGTACTCCCTTTCTCCATCTCGGTCATCTCCTTCCTCTACTCCCCCACTCAGTCTCTCAATTCAATTCCGAGGGGATTTATTGGCATGGGAAACATGCGTTTGCATTGCCAAAGCAAGTGGAATAAACAATAAACACAATTGAGAGGACACGAAACAACATCAACAAAATAATAGTCAAATTTAACTGTAAATATTGGACTCAAAAAGGTTTAAAAAAGATACATGTCAAATGTTATATTATCAGCTAGTGTTTTAGCAATTTTCAAATTCTTTGTGGGTCTGTGTGATCTGTGGGAAATATGCATCTCTAATGTGGTCATACATTCAGCAGGAGGTTAGGAAGTGCAGCTCAGTTTCCATCTCATTTTGTGGGCAGTGGGCATATAGCCTGTCTTCTCTCGAGAGCCAGGTCTGCCTATGGCGGCCTCTCTCTATAGCAAGGCTATGCTCACTGAGTCTGTACATAGATTTTCTTAATTTTGGGTCAGTCACGGTGGTTAGTTATTCTGCCACTGTGTACTCTCTGTTTAGGGCTAGACGGCATTCCAATTTGCTCTGTTTTTTGGTTGATTCTTTCCAGTGTGTCAAATAGTTCTCTTTTGCTTTCTCATAATTTTGTTGGGTCTAATTGTGTTGCTGTCCTGGGGCTCTGTGGGGTCTGTTTGTGTTTGTGAAAAGAGCCCCAGAACCAGCTGGCTGAGGGGACTCTTCTCTAGGTTCATCTCTATGTAGGTGAGGGCTTTGTGGTGGAATGTGTGGGCATCGCTTCCTTTTAGGTGGTTGTAGAATTTAATAGCTATTTTCTGGACTTTGATAACCAGCGGGTATAGTCCTAATTCTGCTCTGCATGCATTGTTTTGGGATTTGCGTTGTCCACTAAGTATATTTTTGCATAATTCTGCATGCAGTCTCAATTGGGTGTTTGTCCCATTTTGGGAATTGTTGGTTGGTGAGTGGACCACATACCTCAAAACCATAGAGGGCAATGGGTTCTATAACCGATTGAAGTACTTTTAGCCAGATCCTAATTGGGATGTTGAGTTTTATGTTCCTTTTGATGACATAGAAGGCCATGTCTCTTGCCATGTCTCTTAGATCGTTCACAGTCTTGTGGAAGTTACATGTGGTGTTGATGTTTAAGCCGAGGTAGGTATAGTTCTTTGTGTGCTCTAGGGCAACGGTGTTGAGATGGAATTTGTATTTGTGGTCCTGGCTACTGGACCTTTTTTGGAACACCGTTATTTTTTGTCTTACTGAGATTCACTGTCAGGGCCCAAGTCTGACAGAATCTGTGTAGAAGATCTAGGTGCTGCTGTTGGCCCTCCTTGGTTGGGGACAGAAACACCAGATAATCTGCAAACAGTAGACATTTGATTTCCGAGTCCAGTAGGGTGAGGTCAGGTGATGCAGACTGTTCTAGTGCCCTCACCAATTAATTGATATATACGTTGAAGAGGGTGGGGCTCAAGCTGCATCCCTCTCTCATCCCACAGCCCTGAGGAAAGAAATCTGTGTGTTTATTGCCAATTTTAACTGCACATTTGTTGTTTGTGTACATTGATTTTATGTCATATGTTTTTCCCCCAACACTGCTTTCTATCAATTTGTATAGCAGACCCTAATGGCAAATTGAGTCAAAAGCTTTTTTGAAATCAACGAAGCATGAGAAGACTGCTTTTGTTTTGTTTGTTTGTGGGTGTATACGTGGTTTGTCGTATGGTATTTTTGTAAGAAGCCAATTTGACATTTGCTCAGGACATTGTTTTCAATGAGGAAATCTGCTGTTGATGATACTGCAGAGGATACTCCACCGTAATTATTGGGGTCAAATTTGTCTCTGCTTTTGTGGATTGGGGTGATCAGTCCTTGATTCCAAATATTGGGGAAGATGCCAGAGCTTAGGATGATGTTAAAGAGTTGAAATATAGCCAATTGGAATTTGTGGTCTGTATGTTTTATAATTTAATTTAGCATACCATCAACACCACAGGCCTTTTTGGGTTGGAGGGTTTGTATTTTGTCCTGTAGTTCATTCAATGTAACTGGAGAATCCAGTGGGTTCTGGTAATCTTCAATAGCTGATTGTAAGATTTGTAGTTGATCATGTACAGTGGAGAGAACAAGTATTTGATACACTGCCGATTTTGCAGGTTTTCCTACTTACAAAGCATGTAGAGGTCTGTAATTTTTATCATAGGTACACTTCAACTGTGAGAGACGGAATCTAAAACAAAAATCCAGAAAATCACATTGTATGTAATTAATTTGCATTTTATTGCATGACATAAGTATTTGATCACCTACCAACCAGTAAGAATTCCGGCTCTCACAGACCTGTTAGTTTTTCTTTAAGAAGCCCTCCTGTTCTCCACTCATTACCTGTATTAACTGCACCTGTTTGAACTCGTTACCTGTATAAAAGACACCTGTCCACACACCTGTCCAATCAAACAACTGTCTAAAAGGGATTGGATTTGTTGTTGGTATGTTTCTAAACTAGTTTCCTTCCATCTATAGCATTTATTTTTAGTATGCATTTTGTTCTTAATAATATGCAGTTTGTTCGGCTTTGATGCCTCATGATTGATAATTGCTCTGTTCAAGTACCCTGTGATTTTGCTGTGATCTGATAGGGGTGTCAGTGGGCTGACTGTGAATACTCTGAGAGACTCTGGGTTGAGGTCTATGATAATGTAATCTACAGTATTACTGCCAAGGGATGAGCTGTCCCCTCGAAGCCTACCATTGACTGTACAGACTCAGCGTGCGACAGAGTTGCAAGAGTTGTGACCTATTTTTGATAGTTGTTTTGTCGTAGTTGTGCCTAGGGGGGCATATTTGGTAGGGAATGCCGTTACCTCCAGGTAGGTTTGTCCCCCTGTGAGCTGAGAATGTTGGGTTCTTGTCCAGTTCTGGCGCTCTCTCACAGCTCGAGGACCTATCTCTGTCCCTATCTCTGTATAGCGCTCCTCCCTCTCTCCTCCTTCTCTCTCCCACCCCATTCCTAATTCATGGTGGCAGGAAGGTATGATGGGTTTGCGGAAGGGTCTGTCCTTCCCACCGAACTGCATCTGACCAGACTCCTTCTTGCCCCCCTGCCCATCTGCCCAGCCGATGAGCTATCCATCCCTTCGGGGTCTTCTCCTGCCCGAAGTCCACAAACAATTCACTTTGGTCCACCACTAGTTTGTTGGCGTCTCGACTTGCCCTGACCACGGACCGCTCCTCTTTGTATTCATCGAAGGCATAGCCCTTTGAGAACCTAGTCACTCTGTCCCTCACCAGGTGCATGTCCCCGTATTTAGAGAACACTTAATTCAGCTTCTCCTCCGTTGTTTGAGGGTTCAAGCAGGCCATGAACAGAGCAGGTCCCACACCAAGTCTTTGTTGGGTTTGTAGGGGGCGACCATGACCCTCCAGATGGCCTGGTCATGCGGCTCCATGCCTTGCGAAGGTGACGGTCGTAGACTTTTGGCACTGGACTCCAGTGATTCATTACTCTCTCTGACACTAATCAATGTGGCGACAGAAACAAATAGCTATAAAAAATTAACAATTAATAACCTTCACAGAATGTAATCACGTATCTGAGAATGTATATTTGTTAGATATACAGATTATTTTTAGGTGGGCCATGGTCATTACTCACGAGTCGTTGCTGCAAGCAAAGATTATGGATATACTAACAAGATACTCCGCCCTAACATTGGAAGTCATCCACAAAGCGTCTCGGTGGCAGTGGCGATTTTAGCATGTAAATCTTGGTGGAGCAAACTAAAAAAATGCTTTGGTTGATGCATGCAAGCAAAGCCACAACACTAAACAATACATTAATTGCACTATAATGGTGACAAACGGTGCCCACAAACTGTTAGGGCCTACATAAAGCTGTCCCAACAGCAGTTTCACACCTTACCACTGCTACACCTGGCTATCAGCGGAGCCTTGTCTGGCAGCGAAACAGTTCATTCAGCCTCATTTACTGCCTTTTAAAAAGACATAGCTGATATGGCTGACTTGCTTAAACAAATGTGTTTTCTACTGACAATTGAGATGAACAAACTATGGCATAAGGGGACGACAAGCGGATAAGAGGCAATCTGTAGTTTCAATTAAGACATTAGTAGCGAGCTTGGACGGACGTAGTCAATATAACTATTTGTTCAGCACTTTTGAAATGTATAGTGACAGAACTCAGAACATGGGCCGTTCTTACAGTATTCTCCCTGTACACCAAGTCAGAACCGTAGGATAATAAAGGGGGAATATAAACAGACAATGAAAGCTCTTACAATATTCGATGATTACATTCCTCTAAAACAGGCACCACAAAGTCAGAACAGTAGGTGAAATTAAGAGGGGAAAAGGGACCAAATCATTAGGGTGAGGCACATGGGCTACTAACAGCTTACTACACAACATACACTTAGTGTTACTTTCTTAGCTACAGTATACATATCTCCCTGGCATATTACATAATTTATGCAGCAGCATACAACACATTTTTGGACTCACCTTGTTGTACTGTGCTCACTTGAACAGGAAGGTGGTGTGGCGGTCCTTCGTGGGCAAATTTTGTCATCAACGTCTGGTATTCTCTGGATTTATGGTGCTTTAAAGACAACTGGGAACTCTGAAAAAAACAAGGTCGATTCATGATGTCAGTGATCTTCAGATCGGAACTCTAGAAACAGGCCCGAGTTCCCGATTTACAATTCTGAGTTGGATGACTGTTCAAAACTTGTTTTCCCAGTCTGAGCTTGTTTTTTCCCCGAGTTCCCAGTTGTCTTGACCTCACTGAAGTCAGATTTCCCAGTTCCGAGTTTCCAGTTGTTTTGAGCGTGACAGAAGTCATGCTTAAACTCCGTTGTGTCCTCCTCCCAGAGTGCGAAGAGCCTTGGCGTGACCCTGGACAACACCCTGTCGTTCTCCGCTAACATCAAGGCGGTGACCCGATCCTGTAGGTTCATGCTCTACAACATTCGGAGAGTACGACCCTGCCTTACACAGGAAGCGGCACAGGTCCTAATCCAGGCACTTGTCATCTCCCGTCAGGATTACTGCAACTCGCTGTTGGCTGGGCTCCCTGCCTGTGCCATTAAACCCCTACAACTCATCCAGAATGCCGCAGCCCGTCTGGTGTTCAACCTTCCCAAGTTCTCTCACGTCACCCCGCTCCTCCGCACACTCCACTGGCTTCCAGTTGAAGCTCGCATCTGCTACAAGACCATGGTGCTTGCCCACGGAGCTGTGAGGGGAACGGCACCTCCGTACCTTCAGGCTCTGATCAGTCCCTACACCCAAACGAGGGCATTGCGTTCATCCACCTCTGGCCTGCTGGCTCCCCTACCTCTGCGGAAGCATAGTTCCCGCTCAGCCCAGTCAAAACTGTTCGCTGCTCTGGCACCCCAATGGTGGAACAAGCTCCCTCACGACGCCAGGACAGTGGAGTCACTCACCCCACCTCTTTAAGGAATACCTGGGATAGGATAAAGTAATCCTTCTACCCCCCCCTTACCCCAACCCAAACCCCAACCCCCAAAAAAAAAGAACATTGTAAAGTGGTGATCCCACTGGCTATAAGGTGAATGCACCTATTTGTAAGTCGCTCTGGATAAGAGTGTCTGCTAAATGACGTAAATGTAAATGTAATGCTGGATTGACAGCATGGCCAATGTTGAATGTTTATCCTTTTAAGCTTGGAAAAGAGACCCTTAAACCCAGAGTTTGGACCACACATCCACTCCACTGAATAGCAGGCTAGAGATTGCTTTGCAATGCTTGCAGTTAGCCACTGATTTCTTCCAAACCGATCATTGTTGAATTTGCGATTTCCAACTTGTTGTGTAATGTTTATGTTCAATGGCCGATGAGCACCGATACGTTTGATCTATAATTTCACTTCATTATTTCTCTTCATATGACAAGGATTAAAAAGGATTTGCCAGTAGATTGTTGACTTGATTCATGATGATGACTGCTAGCTAAGATTTTGAAAGTATGATGTTGACCTGATCAGTCCAATTAAAGCTACTATAGATATAACCACATCATTTTATCTGTGGCCAATGACCTTGAGCCTGCTTGGATGAGCACTTCTAATGTAACTCTATGGCAGCACCCAAGGGGCTAGAATTTAAGCTCTACCCTTAGATTTGGTGGTGACATAGTGTCCCCACGAGTGACAGAACACTGAGCCAATCACGGTGCAACTAGAGAACATTACCAACCCCTACGCTCCGTATTTTCCGCTGGCTGCCCCACCACCACAGAAAGCACTGAGCTAAGGCTGAAACACCTGCATTTTGGAGCTGCCTTACTCAAGAAAGCAGAAAAGAGACCAAGTTTGTATGCAGCTTTATTAACATAATTATTATTTTTACATTGTTTGCAAACTGATATATGACACATATTAATGACAAAATAACATGCAAAACAGGCAACCCCCCAAAATAAAGTTAAAATGGTGGGGCTCAAAACAGGTGGGGCTCTGCCCCTCCTGCCCTGAATGAGGGGTCGCCACTGCATGGCAGGCTGTTAAGCTCCATATTCCTCTCTTTGGATTGGTGGATACATCTCATTATTTTAATAATTTTTGAATATTCGATGAGGGTTGTTGACGTCAAAAGGCTGTATTCAATGGAGAGAGACACTATGCTACTAGCCTCATGTCATGAATATGCATAGCAATCTCGAGACAACTCCTATGTTTTTTCACAAAGTATTATTCAATCAAATTAACTTCACGTAGCAAATAAGCCATTCAATTTTTTGTTTGACCAAATTCGACACTGATTGAACTCATACAAACACTCGCTTGGTGAACGAAAGAAACAAAACAACGCCACCTGCTGGAGAAGACAGATTTTGGGCTCAGTTGGGCCTCGCTTCGCTTCTTCCTTTCTGCTGCAAGTCGGGATCGGATTCAAAACAAACAAGTGCACATCACTAAAAACAGTCCGTGTGGGAAATGTTTAATTCAGAATGTTCCGTTTGGAAATGTGTCTCACTAAATCCGGTCCTTCCGTACACGTTGCTTTTAAACAGAAACAGCTGTATCTGTACTTTCATCAAACCGTGCATTTATAAAGCCTTTTACATCAATGTGTTTCAGGGCAGGGGCCAACCTCATGCACTCATCATATTAAATATCAGAGGGGATCTGATGCTCTCTGAACTCTCAGGACAGTAGTTACACAAATCATCAATCCATGATCCTCAAATTCAGCTTTGTAGTCAGCAAGGTGTTTAAATGCAAAGATAAGAGTCTGAAGTCATGACAACAGCAAGCTGGGGTATAATTTGCATAAAACCTGTTTATTCAATGATGCCTCCACCCCAGCATACATTTTATTTAAATACTTCCTCATGGAGCATTTGGTTGTGGACATTGACAGCTTTGTGTGTTAGAGAGGTACAGATTTGTTCAAGTTCATAAAACAACTCTACAACTATACATAAAATGGCATAAAGTTAACATTTCAAATAAAGTGTGAGTTTCAATGGTTGGAATCCTATTCCGGTTTTCTGAACCTTTTAAAGACGGCTCGTAAGTTTGCATCTAATAATTCTGCTTTCTGCATCAACCAGAAAGGTTTCTGGTACCATAAATATCATTATTGCTTAGCAACTAACTACCATACAACCAATTAAGAAAAATGTTGTATAAAAATGCAGAACACTGAACTACAACCTGCATGCCGTGGAAGCACTGGTCTACCGGTATTACAAAATATACAAAAAGAAATGTGCTGGAGAAAACTAGCATGTTTCATATAGACTGATAAATATATTAAAAGTATTGATGTCGCCAGACATTTAGAAGGTGTACCTCAATCTAAATGTGTTTAAGTCACTGTAACCTACCCCACCCTCCTTAAACTCCCTCCCCCCTAAGTACACACACAAACTATCCCCTCCCCTTCGAAAAAAATATGTGGTGACACATTCTGTTGCTAAGGCAATTTCTACATTTAAAAAACGATCTATTAAGAAACCAAGGTGTTAGCATTTTCCCTTTTCTTTGAGCTGGATCATGTCTCCATCACTGTTTGAGCCAGGGGTGGGCTGCGATGGAAGCTTTGCTGCGGTCGCCATAGTCGTAGAGCAGCTCCTCGCCCTCATCGACGTCTCGCGATGCCACCAGGATGAGGTGAGGCATCCCATTGATGTCATGGAGTTTGGTTTGACAGTTGCCGTTCTTACTGTGGTTGATCAGACGGCCCATGCGACCCGTTTCTTTCGTGGCGTCCACACTAGAGGGAGAAGCAGTTGAAAAAAGCCCCTGATATTAGGTTAATCTAACAAAGTTATTACATCATGAAACTAAAACAAAGACTGCATTAGTGAGCAGCAAACAGTGAGAAATTTAAATTGTTTTGCGGCTATACCAGAGATTCCACACACAAATAAGAGAGATAGTGGTTTGACCTACCAGTATGTTTTGCAGAGATACTGAAAGTAGTACATGTAGCAGCCGGTGGCAGGGTTAAGAGCGTACTCGGCCTCCCTCGTTTTGGCGTCGGTGATCTGCAGCAGGTCTCCATGGTACTCCACTACATACTGGCCCTTATGGAAACACTGGGTGGCAAACACTCCTCGACCCTTCCCCTCTATATGCTGCACCTGTACCATTTGGGGAAGAAATATACAGTGCATTGAGAAAGTATTCAGACCCCTTGACCTTTTCCACATTTTGTTACAGCCGTATTCTAAAATTGATTAAATCGTTTTTTCAATCTACACACAATACACCCATAATGACTATGCAAAAACAGGTTTTTAGAAATGTGGGCAAAGTTATAAAAAGAAAAACGGAAATATCACATTTACATAAGTATTCAGACCCTTTACTCAGGCACACCAGTATTTGGGGAGTTTCTCCCATTCTTCTCTGCAGATCCTCTTAAGCTCTGTCAGGATGGGGAGTGTCGCTGCACAGCTATTTTCATGTCTCTCCAGAGATATTAGATCGGGTTCAAGTCCGGGCTATGGCTGGGCCACTCAAGGACATTCAGAGACTTGTCCCGAAGCCACTCCTGCGTTTTCTTGGCTGTGTGCTTAGGGTCATTGTCCTGTTGGTAAGGTGAACCTTCGCCCCAGTCTGAGGTCCTGAGTGCTCTGGAGCAGGTTTTCATCAAGGATCTCGCTGTACTTTGTTCCGTTCATCTTTCCCTCGATCCCGACTAGTCTCCCAGTCCCTGCCAGTTTGGCCGGGCGGCCAGCTCTAGGAAGTCTTGGTGGTTCCAAACCTTTTCCATTTAAGAATGATGGAGGTCACTGTGTTCTTGGGGACCTTCAATGCTGCAGACATTTTTTGGTACCATTCCCAAGATCTGTGCCTCGACACAATCCTGTCTCAGAGCTCTACGGACAAATCCTTCGACCTCATGGCTTGGTTTTTGCTCTGACATGCACTGTCAACTGTGGGACCTTATGTAGACAGGTGTGTGCCTTTCCAAATCATGTCCAATCAATTGAATTTACCACAGGTGGACTCCAATCAAGTTGTAGAAACATCTCAAGGATGATCAATGGAAACAGGATGCACCTGAGCTCAATTTCGAGTATCATAGCAAAGGATCTGAACAAAGGTTTGTATTTGATTTGCACACACAAAAAAAAACTGTTTTCACTTCGTCATTATGGGGTATTGTGTGTAGATTGATGCAAAACAATTAATACATTTTAGAATAAGGCTGTAACTTAACAAAATGTGGAAAAGGTCAAGGGGTCTGAATACTTTTCGAATGCACTGTATTGCAATAAAAGTAACTTAGTATCACACTATTTTCCTCTGAAAACTGTGTGATTCATTTCATGATATGTCAGTATGAACAGTATGAACATAGCAGCAAGGTTTTCAAATACAGGGCCTCCCAGTCTGAATGGCTAAGCACTGTGATCAATGAGTGTACCTCCATTCCTTCCTCGATCCCATTTATGATCAGATCATCGATGTGTTTCTTTTGTTCACACTGTAAGAGAATCCAAGCATAGAGGACATGTAATGACCATGTAATAAGACTGTAATAAGAAATTGAAAATTTGGCTCCACATATTTGAAGGAACACAAGTCCTTATTCACAGTTGCTAATGGCATTATAGTTAATCTCACGTTTAATTAACCTTTTTATTTAGAAAGGACAATGTTACACTGCAAAGTTACTAGTGCTGAGCGATTAGTGCTTTGAGGTTGTTTCAGTTTCTTCGGTTATTAAAAGAATGCAATAATGTCAAAATTATTTCCGCTTTTTCATGGAAATTCCAAAGCCAAAAATAGTGAACATTCTCTGTCAGGTCCACATTGGGTAGACATCAATAGAAAAATAGGAAATTACTATGAAATAATACAATATTGCAATAGTGTATATTACTTAGTTTTAGTTTTTATTTGATTACCATTATTTTTCATTCCTTAAAGTCATCATCTAATCTATTCTCTGCTCAGGCAATAGCAGCCAGCCAGCCAGCTAACACTATGCTGTGTTCTATCTGTGCTCCCCATACTGTAATTGGGCAATTCCACCGATTTTTCACTTAAAATGTATGCCAAACTAAAACCATTGATTTCAAAAGTTTAACAAATCAAACAACTCTATGCACAAGGACTACTTTTAACAATTTACACTGAACATTTTACAAAAACACATTTACTGGAAGAACTGTGCAGATGCAAAGTTTGGTAACAGAATTTAGGTAAAATCTCCCTCAGTTAAAAAAAATAATTAAATATCTGCTCCAGATTAAGATTCAAAAGACGTCTACAGAAATAATGGGGTGTCAGCTATGACATGACACCTTGACTTTGAAAAACATATATTTTGGTTATTTGACTGCAGTAAGTGAAGTGAATTTATACCCGGTAACGGAATTGCGGTAACAGAATTTCATCTTGGGTCCCTAATCTGTACTACACAGAAATGTATAATTATGGATATGAAAGTCATTCTCTTCATGGCGATACACAACAATAGAAATATGCAATATCGCATATTTGGGTATTATTCTACACACTAATATATTAATGAGCTACGCCGCCAAACAAGACCAAATCTGAACCAATCATAGACGTCCATGTTTCACAAGTTAGGACATATAAAGTACAACACAGTAGAGGACAGTACAGTTCAGTATAGTTCAGTACAGTATAATGTACTCAACTCGTGTGCTCTTGTGTACTGTACTGAACTCTCAGTACTGTACACTGAACTACACTACTTTACTGTACTAGAGCTGGGCCATATGGACAATAAATCAGCGATAACGTCCAATAAATGATTTTTCGGGGAGTTGCTAGAGCTTGGGGATATGGATAAAAAGTAATATTGTGATAATGTAACCATTTTGCTCATTAACAACAAATACAACGATAACATTTGTTTGGACAGTTCCTTTACATTAGCGGCAGGGCTCTAGACAATTATTTCCAGTGCCAAGTAAAACAGCTGGTAGCCTATGATTTAAAAAATAAAGCTAATTCATCTAACATATCCAGGAAATGCATGATTGATATTTTGATGTGCAAACTATCAAAATACGATCAAGAACGATCCGATTTATTTGGGGCTCTTAAGAGAATTGGCAGACATCTTTGTGCATATTGGCATTTAGGCTGTTATCTACAACTTGAGGAAGTGGAAACTCAAAACACTAAGCTAGTTTGCTAACTCTAAATATGATATTGTTGCTAGATAGCCAGTAAATGTAGACTAATGTCCTACAAAAACTTTCCAGTGCTAGGCACATCAAAACCATACTACACAGCCTACTCCGATTGTAGAGTTGTGCCATGAACTCAATATTAAGAGGTGAGAAATACATTATACTCACAGAAAGCTGTGATTCTCCTCTCTGTAACCAGAACAGTAGTTGCTTTGAAAACGGTATTTTCGCACACAATAGCATTTTAAGCAACGGTCATATGCTTGTTCTTCTCAGAATGCAGCTCTCCCTCCTCCGTGTGTAGTCGGAAGAGGGATTGAGTCAGCAGCAAAACAGGGACAGGCAGATACTTACATAGCAGGAATCAACATAAGGCATAGGCCATCACTGTTGACAAAATAATGGTTTTATAACAATCTACAGGAATGTTGTGTAGCAAAATCACTGACCTAAGCGAAATGCTTCGGTAAGAGGAAAGCAATGTCAGTGTCTGTAATTTCCGGTTTATCATCCCAGCTCTATATTGTAGTCTACTGCAGTGGTTCCCAAACTGTGGGGGGCACGAGGGGTCTTTTTTAAAGGAACTCTGTCCGGCGTTAAGCTTATTCTTGAAAGTTGCAATTTCAAAATTGGGTAGTGCATCATCAGTTCCTCTTGTCATGTTAGTCATTGCATACCTTAGAGAGCTATTTATAAAACCTGTCAGAAATGTCCAGATCAACTAGCTCATGTCAGCTAATGGTTTTTATTTTTTTATTTTTTAGCCCATAGATATTGTTGTAATTCTGTCACTCAAATATCACATTAATAAACATTAGACATGGAAAAATTTAGAGAATTGCAGGAAATAAGCTTTAAAAATATGCAAAATTCTCTCCACCAACAAGAAGAGTGTGAACAGTTTGTGTCATGAACAGTGCTTGTGCCATAAAAATAGACATGGTGTGTGCATGGGGGGCGCGGGGCCCCCCAGAGAGAATAGGTTTGGGAGCCCCTGCTCTACTGTACTGTACTGTGCTGGACAAACTTGTGAAACAGACCTCTATGATTAGTTCAGATTTGGTCCAGCGTTATTGCAAACAAAACGATTGCTTAAGATGTCAGGCTTGAACATCCGTTCAGCCATTTTGGCACAGTGACTCACTACCCAAACCAGACTCAAACTGGTTTCAAGTGGCCAAGAGACGTCATGTGATCTACTGCCATCTAGGGTTTCCCAAACTCGGTCCTGGGGCCCCCCCTGGGTGCACGTTTTGGCTTTTGCCCTAGCACTACACAGCTAAATCAAATAATCAAAGCTTGATGAGTTGGTTATTTGAATCAGCTGTGTAGTAATAGGGCAAAAACCCAAACGTGCACCCAGGGGGGAACCCAGGACCGAGTTTGGGAAACCCTGATCGAGTGGACGAACTGGGAATCAGACAGGGATATACACTGAGTATACCAAACATTAGGAACACCTTGCTAATATTGATATATAAAGTAATCCTTCTACCCCACCCCCCCCCCCCAAAAAAAAAAAAAAAAAACATTTGTAAGTCGCTCTGGATAAGAGTGTCTGCTAAATGACGTAAATGTAATGTAAATGTAATTGAGTTGCACCCATGGTCCTCATTTCACACTAGGTCTGTTTATCTTTCAATAGTCTGTACATTACACTGCTTAATCTTTGGTAGATAACAGCATGGAAGTGGTCAATGCTTTAGTATTACAAGGTAATAAATGCACTTTGCTCTCACCTTCAACTCTTCTTTGCTTTTCCTGGAGCTTCTCCTTATGGGATAGTAGTCTGTTACTTTGCGGTTTTTGGAATTCCTGCTCTCTGCTCTGGTAAGGAAACGTATGAACGGACATTAACAAACAATACCAATTGTTTTTTAATATGGGCACATATGAGCCATGTTCTTGTCAAAGTGAACAAAAAAGCACAAGGTGTCCAACAGAAACACAACAGACATTGCAGCCCTTTGTGGTACATCATTATATATACACAACACACACACACACAGATATATACAGTATCTCACAAAAGTGAGTACACCCCTCACATTTTTGTAAATATTTGAGTATATCTTTTCATGTGACAACACTGAAGAAATGACACTTTGCTACAATGTAAAGTAGTGAGTGTACAGCTTGTATAACAGTGTAAATTTGCTGTCCCCTCAAAATAACACAACACACAGCCATTCATGTCTAAACCGCTGGCAACAAAAGTGAGTACACCCCTAAGTGAAAATGTCCAAATTGGGCCCAAAGTGTCAATATTAGCAATTTTCCCTCCCAGGTGTCATGTGACTCGTTAGTGTTACAAGGTCTCAGGTGTGAATGGGGAGCTGGTGTGTTAAATTTGGTGTCATCGCTCTCACACTCCCTCATACTGGTCACTGGAAATTCAACATGGCACCTCATGGAGAAAGAACTCTCTGAGGATCTGAAAAAAAGAATTGTTGCTCTACATAAAGATGGCCTGGGCTATAAGAAGATTGCCAAGACCCTGAAACTGAGCTGCAGCACAGTGGCCAAGACCATACAGCGGTTTAACAGGACAGGTTCCACTCAGAACAGGCCTCGCCATGGTCGACCAAAGAAGTTGAGTGCACGTGCTCAGCGTCATATCCAGAGGTTGTCTTTGGGAAATAGACGTATGAGTGCTGCCAGCATTGCTGCAGAGGTTGAAGGGGTGGGGGATCAGCCTGTCAGTGCTCAGACCATACGCTGCACACAGCATCAAATTGGTCTGCATGGCTGTCGTCCCAGAAGGAAGCCTCTTCTAAAGATGATGCACAAGAAAGCCGCAAACAGTTTGCTGAAGACAAGCAGACTAAGGACATTGATTACTGGAACCATGTCATGTGTTGATGGACAGAACTGATGATTCAGATGGTCAACGTTGTGACAGGCAAAGTGGGTACGTGTGGTCCTTTAGCTTCAGATGGTTAGAGCCGCGTGTGTGACGGCAAAGGTGGTTGATCCCCGACCAAACCAGAACAAAAGTGTGTCGCTTTGACGTCAGTGCATATTATGTTTATATTATATGCAGGAGAGTGTGTTGTGCGATGGTGGTGGGAGTGTCATGGTCTGGGGCTGCATGAGTGCTGCCAGCACTGGGGAGCTACAGTTCATTGAGGGAACCATGAATGCCAACATGTACTGTGACATACTGAAGCAGAGCATGATCCCCTCCCTTCGGAGAACTGGGCAGCAGGGCAGTATTCCAACAGATAACGACCCCCAAAACACACCTCCAGACGACAACCACTGCCTTGCTAATGAAGCTGGAGGGTAAAGGTGATGGGACTTGGCAAAGGCCATGTCTCCAGACCTAAACCCTTATTGGTGAACATCTGTGGGGTCATCCTCAAAACGGAATGGGGAGGGAGTGCAAGGTCTCTAACATCCATCCAGCTCCGTCGATGTTCGTCAAGAGGACTCCAGTGGGCCAACCTGTAAAGCTCTGGTGAACTCCATGCCCAAGAGGGTTAAGGCAGTGCTGGAAAATGATGGTGGCCACACAAAGTATTGACACTTTGGGCCCAATTTGGACATTTTCACTTAGGGGTGTATTCACTTTTGTTGCCAGCGGTTTAGACATTAATGGCTGTGTGTTGTGTTATTTTGAGGGGACAGCAAATGTACACTGTTATACAAGCTGTACACTCACTACTTTACATTGTAGCAAAGTGTCATTTCTTCAGTGTTGTCACATGAAAAGATATACTCAAATATTTACAAAGATGTGAGTTGTACTCACTTTTGTGAGATACTGTGTGTGTGTGTGTGTGTGTGTGTGTGTGTGTATATATATATATATATATATATATATATATATATATATATATATATATATATATATATACAACCGTTCAAAGGTTTGGGGTCACTTAGACATTTCCTTGTTTTCCATGAAAACATACATGAAATTAGTTTGAATAGTAAATATAGCAAAATGCATAGGAAATGTAGTCATTGACAAGGTTAGAAATAATGATTTTTAATAGAAATAATAATTGTGTCCTTCAAACTTTGCTTTCGTCAAAGAATCCTCCATTTGCAGCAATTACAGCCTTGCAGACCTTTGGCATTCTAGTTGTCAATTTGTTGAGGTAATCTGAAGAGATTTCACCCCATGCTTCCTGAAGCACCTCCCACAAGTTGGATTGGCTTGAGAGGCACTTCTTCTGTACCATACGGTCAAGCTGCTCCCACAACAGCTCAACAGGGTTGAGATCCGGTTACTGTGCTGGCCACTCCATTATAGACAGAATACCAGCTGACTGCTTCTTCCTTAAATAGTTCTTGCATAGTTTGGAGCTGTGCTTTGGGTCATTGTCCTGTTGTAGGAGGAAATTGGCTCCAATCAAGCGCCGTCCACAGGGTATGCCATGGCGTTGCAAAATGGAGTGATAGCCTTCCTTCTTCAAGATCCCTTTTACCCTGTCCAAATCTCCCACTTTACCACCACCAAAGCACCCCCAGACAATCACATTGCCTCCACCATGCTTGACAGATGGCATCAAGCACTCCTCCAGCATCTTTTCATTTGGTCTGCGTCTCACAAATGTTCTTCTTTGTGATCCGAACACCTCAAACTTCGATTCGTCTGTCCATAACACTTTTTACAAATATTCCTCTGTCCAGTGTCTGTGTTCTTTTGCCCATCTTAATATTTTATTGGCCAGTCTGAGATATGGCTTTTTCTTTGCCATCAGCATCCCGGAGTCGCCTCTTCACTGTTGATGTTGAGACTGGTGTTTTGCGGGTACTATTTAATGAAGCTGCCAGTTGAGGACCTGTGAGGCGTCTGTTTCTCAAACTAGACACTAATGTATTTGACCTCTTGCTCAGTTGTGCACCGGGGCCTCCCACTCCTCGTTCTTTTCTGGTTAGAGACAGTTTGCGCTGTTCTGTGAAGGGAGTAGAACACAGCGTTGTACGAGATCTTCAGTTTCTTGGCAATTTCTCACATGGAATAGCCTTCATTTCTCAGAACAAGAATAGACTGACGAGTTTCAGAAGAAAGTCATTTGTTTCTGGCCATTTTGATTCTGTAATCGAACCCACAATTGCTGATGCTCCAGATACTCAACTAGTCTCAAGAAGGCCAGTTTTATTGCTTCTTTAATCAGCACAACAGTTTTCAGCTGTTAAAAATCAGCCGTTTCCAGCTACAATAGCTATTTACAACATTAACAATGTCTACACTGTATTTCTGATCAATTTGATGTTATTTTAATGGACAAAAAAAATTGCTTTTCTTTCGAAAACATGGACATTTCTAAGTGACCCCAAACGTTTGAATGGTAGTGTACATACAAACATACATATACAAATATAGGTGCAACAAATCAAAATATGTTATATTTGAGATTCTTCAAATAGCCACCCTTTGCCTTGATGACAGCTTTGCACACTTTCGGCATTCTCTCAACCAGCTTCATGAGGTAGTCACCTGGAATGCATTTCAATTAACAGGTGTGCCTTCTTAAAAGTTAATTTGTGGAATTTCTTTCCTTTTTAATGTGTTTGAGCCAATCAGTTGTGTTGTGACAAGGTAGGGGGGTGGTATACAGAAGATAGCCCTATTTGGTAAAAGACCAAGTCAATATTATGGCAAGAACAGCTCAAATAAGCAAAGAGAAATGACAGTCCATCATTACTTTAAAAAGACATGAAGGTCAGTCAATACGGAACATTTCAAGGACATTTCAAGTTTCTTCAAAGTGCAGACGCAAAACCAAAACCATCAAGCGCTATGATGAAACTGGCTCTCATGAGGACCGCGACAGGAAAGGAAGACCCAGAGTCACCTCTGCTGCAGAGGATAAGTTCATTAGAGCCTCAGAAATTTCAGCCCAAATAAATGCTTCACAGCGTTCAAGTAACAGACACATTTCAACATCAACTGTTCAGAGGAGAATGCGTGAATCAGGCCTTCATGGTCAAATTGCTGCAAAGAAACCACTACTAAAGGACACCAATAATAAGAAGAGACTTGCTTGGGCAAAGAAACACGAGCAATGGACATTAGACCGGTGGAAATCTGTCCTTTGGTCTGAGGAGTCCAAATTTGAGATTTTTGGTTCCAACCGCCATGTCTTTGTAAGATGCAGAGTAGGTGAACGGATGATCTCTGCATGTCTAGTTCCCACCGTGAAGCATGGAGGAGGAGGTGTGATGGTGTGGGGATGCTTTGCTGGTGACACTGTCTGTGATTTATTTAGAATTCAAGGCACACTTAACCAGCATGGCTACCACAGCATTCTGTAGCGATACGCCATTCCATCTGGTTTGCGCTTAGTGGGACTATCATTTGTTTTTCAACAGGACAATGACCCAAAACACACCTGCAGGCTGTGTAAGGTCTATTTGACCATGAAGGAGAGTGATGGAGTGCTGCATCAGATGACCTGGCCTCCACAATCACCCGACCTCAACCCAATTGAGATGGTTTGGGATGAGTTGGAACGCAGAGTGAAAGAAAAGCAGCCAACAAGTACTCAGCATATGTGGGAACTCCTTCAAGACTGTTGGAAAAGCATTCCTCATGAAGCTGGTTGAGAGAATGCCAAGAGTGTGCAAAACTGTCATCAAGGCAAAGGATGGCAATTTGAAGAAACTCAAATATATTTTGATTTGTTTAACACTTCTTTTGGTTACTACATGATTCCATATGTTTTAATATCTTCACTATTATTCTACAATGTAGAAAATAGTAAAAATAAAGAAAAACCCTGGAATACGTAGGTGTATACATACGGTGCATTTGGAAAGTATTCAGACCCTTTGACTTTTTCCACTTTGTTACATTACAGCCTTATTCTAAAATGGATTAAATAGTTTTTCCTCAGTCTACATACAACACCCCATAATGAAAAAGCAAAACAGGTTTAGACATTTTGCAAATGTATTATAAATGAAAAACAGAAATACCTTATTTACATAAGTATTTGCTATGAGACTCGAAATTGAGCTCAGGTGCATCCTGTTTCCATTGATCATCCTTGAGATGTTTCTACAACTTGATTGGAGTCCACCTGTGCTAAATTCAATTGATTGGACATGATTTAGAAAACCACACACCTGTCTATATAAAGGTCCCAGAGTTTACAGTGCATGTCAGAAAATTGTCTGTAGCGCTCCGAGACAGGATTGTGTCGAGGCACAGATCTGGGGAAGGGTACCAAAACATTTCTGCAGCATTGAAGGTCCCCAAGAACACAGTGGGCTCCATCATTCTTAAATGGAAGAAGTTTGAAACCACCAAGACTCTTCCCAGAGCTGACCACCTGGCCAAACTGAGCAATCGGGGGAGAAGGGCCATGGTCAGGGAGATGACCAAGAACCCGATTGGTCACTCTGACAGAGCTCCAGAGTTCCTTTGTGGAGATGGGAGAACCTTATAGAAGGACAACCATCTCTGCAGCACTCCACCAATCAGGCCTTTATGGTAGAGTGGCCAGACGGAAGCCACTCCTCAGTAAAAAGGCACATGACAGCCCGCTTGGAGTTTGCCAAAAGGCACCGAAAGACTCAGACCATGAGAAACAAGATTCTCTGGTGGTCTGATGAAACCAAGATTCAACTCTTTGGCCTGAATGCCAAGCGTCACATCTGGAGGAAACCTGGCACCTTCCCTACGGTGAAGCATGGTGGTGGCAGCATCATCATGCTGTGGGGATGTTTTTCAGTGGCAGGGACTAGGAGACTAGTCAGGATCGAAGGAAAGATGAACAGAGCAAAGTACAAAGAGATCCTTCATGAAACCGTGCCCCAGAGCGCTCAGGACCTCAGACTGGGGCGAAGGTTCACCTTCCAACAGGACAACGACCCTAAGCACACAGCCAAGACAATGCAGGAGTGGCTTCAGGACAAGTCTTTGAATGTCCTTGAGTGGCCCAGCCAGAGCCCGGACTTGAACCCGATCGAACATCTCTGGAGAGACCTTGAAAATAGCTGTGCAGCGACGCTCCCCATCCAACCTGACAGAGCTTGAGAGGATCTACAGAGAAGAATGGGAGAAACTCCCCAAATACAGGTGTGCCAAGCTTGTAGCGTCATACCCAAGAAGACTCAATGCTATAATCGCTGCCAAAGGTGCTTCAACAAAGTACTGAGTAAAGGGTCTGAATATTTATGTAAATGTGACTTCAGTTATTTTATTTTTTAAAGAAAAGTTTTGAAAAACTAGTTTTTGCTTTCTCATTATGGGGTATTGTGTGGATTGATGAGGATTCTTTTTTTGAATAACGCTGTAACGTACTTTCCGAATGCACTGTGTGTGTGTGTGTGTGTGTGTGTGTGTGTGTATGTATATATATATATATATATATATATATATATATATATATATATATATATATATATATAATATTTAAAAAACTATATACTTTACAATTCCTAAAACCAAATCGAAACTGTGTAGAACTGATAATGGATCTACATTCATACATTTTCTTGACTGTCCAGCTCGCTAATAATCACAGAAATGAAAGCTAGACAGTCAGGGAGCATAGAACATTTCAAAAACGATGGATAGAGGACAATTTTTTGCAAATTTTGACGCCGTGGAAATATATCAAATTATTTTCTGAGCAGCCCTCCGGACCTCGTTGAAGGCCGAATGCGGCCCCCTGGGGCAAAATGCGTTTGACACCCCTGTTTAAAGACAGTAAGGCCTCTAGTCCATTGGTATCTGAATGCTAGCCTGTTTCTATTTCAGCAAATCTGTAACTGTTGCCAACAGTGGCGTGTATTCATGGATGCGAAGTGAAGCCAGGCTTCCCCCAAAAAATATGAAATCAATTATTTAGTCTCTCTGTGTTTCATATTTTCCTTCAATTCACAAGAGGCTGAATGTACCTCACCGGAGAAAGCATCCGAGCGAGCGAAACAGCGCCCCTCTGTCTCTGTAGGCCATCGAGCTGATGCTGTATGGTCCAAAAGAGTATGACATTGTTACCGCCTGTAGTATTGAATGCAAGGGAAGCCATCGAGCATTTGGCCAAAAAAAAAGTATAAAATAATAGCCAATCAGCGTTGAGCTAAACTGAGCAAGCTCAACTGTGAATGGTCCTGGCGCACCAAAAAATAAAAATGTCAAGGGAAGCCACTTTGGATTTGGCGTCACTCCTATCAAATCACATTGAGAGCATACATCACTGACATAAACAACTTTGTCCTCCGGTGGCTAGCTAGCAAAAATTGGCCCTTTCCTAAATTAGCCATGGAAGGAGATAGGGATTTGGACTTGTGGTTTTACTTAATTCTCCATACTGGCCAATGATTATAACGGCGATTCTGATCCAACTATTAATTCATACATTGTGTCCCTGGCATGAGAGGAAGGAAGTTGAATATGTAGCTAGATGTAGAAGGCTAATGTTAACTAGCTAACTTTGCCCACGAAAGGAAGTTAGGCTAGCGAGCAAGCACTTTAGCCAGGTAACCTACGACAACAAAACATAAAAGCGTGTAATGTATGACAAGAGTCATAGACCATTTCGTCAACATGAAAGAGAGGAAGATGGCATTGGCGTTTCTCTACAGGTAGGGTGGGTCAACATGTTTTTTCTACTTGCACGCACGCACACACACATCAGAACCATGGACAGCCACATCATATTAAACTTACGTTGATTGGACTAAACTGTTTTTGGTGTCTTTTAGTTGTCACTGTATTAGACTAAGCATAGGTGATTTGATGATGTTGAAATGGTGCTGGAATAGTGGAGGCAGCTCCTGTTTTCTTTGCGACTTGCGGTAACTCTCCGTGATTCTAAATCAATAGTCATTTAGTGGTCCGAAAATGTCGGAAACATTAACTTGCTTGACCATGCTGTAGGTCATGTAACTGTTTGCTACATGCAATATGTTTTGGGGACTTCACCGGACAGAGGTTGCTCTCCGGTTTTGTGATGAAACAAAGGTGTGGTTGAATTTATTCTGCCACTGTCTTCTTATTATCTCGGACTTTAGGCCTATATATATATATATCACGGTCGATTGGCATAATATTTTTTATTTGGGGCTTCCCCAGTGATTTAACACACGCACCATTACTGGTTGCCAAACAAGTTTTGACAAGTGGATTCTGTTTGGCAAGTCAACAATGTAAGTGTTGTTGAAAGAGGTGATTCCTCACGAAACTAGAACAAAACCGGGCCATGATTTTTGGGATTCTCACAAAATGTAATCCATAGAAGGGTCCTTTGAAGGAAGGATTGTTTACATATATTTGACATTTGTATCTTAAAGCATAATTGAGAAATAATTAATAGAAGTGGGAACATTTGACATTTTGGCCTTACCCAGGCCTCCTTTAAGTCTCCATCATGTTTCATCTGTATGTGCTACAAAAGGGGAAAATTGGCATCATATGAAGCTTTACCGCTTGCTATGTAAAGAGTAGTATTTTCATTTCAATAACAATTCTCACAAAAAGCCACCACTACCTCAAGTTCAGTTCAGTCCACTCCTGATAGGTTCACATGGGAGAAGCACAAACTCTGCAGTTCACCAATCCCAATTCAAATACACCCTTTTTACTTAATTATCCACATGATCCAGTTTAGTGCATGCATTTATGACAGTCCCAAGCTATTGTGACAAGTGTTTTTTAGGTATGAAAACACCTGACAAAATTAGATTTTATGTGACATCCAGTGAGAGCTTACATTCTTAGTGTTGACTTCTTCCCTTTGGCCTTGCGTCGGATGTCCCTCCTCTGGTTGGCGAGGTGAGCGGTGGTGTTGGCAAGGAGGGTGTGGGTGATGTTGTTACTGGGGGCAGGAGGGGAGGAGACATCAGCTGGGGAACGGAGGCAGGAGACTGGGGAGAAGTGGAGAAGCTGCTGAGAGGACTGGTGCTGGTTCTCTTCTGTCCTGCAGGGCCACTGGCTGTGGCTCTCTTCCCTGTCTGCCAGCTTCAGGACGCATGCCGCCTCAGAGTTCAGTCTCCTGGCTGCTGGGTGGGGCAAGCAAATAGGAAGTCAGATAAGGATATAACAGCGTGCATGTCAATAGTCTACAGCGGCTTCATCTCGTTCATATTGCTTTTGTACATTTCATGTAAAATGGGCTGTCAAAAACAGAGGAAACGAGAAGAGGAAGTAACTTTAGACTATTGAGATGCCACTTAGACTAAACCCCCAGCTCCTTCTTACTTGTGATGAGAAGATTTTATTTTTGAAGGAGGGGTGAAGTGATGGAGCCTGATGAAGCCAACCTCATCATGCAGCTATGTTTTAGGTTTCATGTAAAACACACATTTGACTCAGTATTCACTAAGCCATATAATGTCTATACACCAAATGTACACATTGATCTAGGCCTACAATGCCTAATCATGGTCAAATTACCGACTAGGGGGCCCCCATTGATTTTGTTAGTCACTCTGACTGAGATATCATATTAAAAACTGCAAACATTTCTCTCCACCCGATGACAAAATGTGTAGAATTGCAGGAAATTAGCTGTAAAACTGCAACCAAATGTAACTTAGGACCCCCAAAAGCTAGGGTCAGCTCTAACTGCATGTATGGGTATGATGTTTGTACGCAGATCCACGAGCCACTGCGGCTCCTCATGATGAGTTCAGATTTTTTTTGCGGCCCCCACCCCCATCATCATTGGCCATCCCTGATCTAGGCCTATACAATAAATTAATTTTACATTTTAGTCATTTAGCAGACGCTCTTATCCAGAGCGACTTACAGTTAGTGAGTGCATACATTTTTTTTTTTTTCATACTGGTCCCCGTGGGAAACAAACCCACAACCCTGGCGTTGCAAACGCCATGCTCTACCAACTGAGCTACACTACAATCGAACACTTGCAACTTTAGTGGATAAATAATAATCAAGATCTGTTGCACATTCAACAAGCTAATTAATCAAGCAGAAGAGCTGAATAGAAAGAACAGGACATGCACTGCAGTAGTTCAATGAATAGGCTACTATACACTACATACCATCCCCTTGCCTCTGTGTTTCGTTCTGTATAGAGCAGCGTCCAGTGTACTTTCCTTCCTGTATGAGTTTGATGGTCATCTCTTCAGGTGATTTGGACTTGCTGTGGCCCAGGAGACGGATGGAGTGGCTGTTTAGTACCATGTCCTGTCAAAGGAAGAGGTGGAAACCATCAATAATTTGTTGTTGGTGTTTTGTGTGTTGAGACGTCATCAAGTAAACAATGTAGGTCACATAAGAATGTTGAAATTAATATTCCACAAGGAAATGTCGAGGACATTCGACCATAACAACTGTTGGGTAATGTCTGGCAGTCACCCAAACTGATCTTATGAAAAAGAGTTGACGTGTGTCAATACACACTAGCAGTGACGCCATCCAGCAACATAATTTGGCTAACTATGACTAAACACACCCGCACAACATACGGGCCTCCTAGTTGTTAGCTAAATCGCTTCACTCATCACATTATTTGTGACAACCATGTTTTCGAGAACATGCAAACGTGTGTGTATATTTGAGTTACAAATCCCTCTTGCCCACTAAAAGCGACGAACTTTTTATTTCGACCGTTCGCTTATTCAACCAATAGGAGTAGCTAGCTGGAGTAGGGAGAATAACGTATAGCTAGCTAGCTAACCATTCTAGCTAGCTAGTTAACATAATGTAATGTTGGACATTCATCAAATAAACAAATAGCTAACTACAATATAAATAACAGTCCACTCCCCTCTATTGTCCTAAATTAATCTAACCTATTTTTTGTAAAATAACAAAAGTACCTATTTGACGAATTGTTACAGTCAACTTACCCCGTTCATTTCTGGATTGTTTTGTTTTTTATATTTTTATGCGAAAAAAGCTTCGGGTCCACTCTTCTGTTGCAGTAAAACAATATCCAGAAGCCGTGTCTCCCCGTATGTCCCCAGCGTCATACAACAGTCATCCCACCTCTCCTCTGCCTTCGTACACACTCCTCCGTCTCCACAAAGGTCACTTTTGTATGTTTTCCTTTGAAATTCTTCAGCACAGGCAGTTTCCACAGTTCCTCCCCTCCGCCATGTTTTAATGTAACTCATTCAAGGGAGGGAGCCATGCAACATTTAAAGGGACGGTAGTTCTAAAGGAAAGCCAGCAGGCGGCGCTGTCTAACATTGTTTTGGGGAGTTGGCTTCAGTGACAAAGCATTTGATTTGATTAATTAATCAACATGAATCATTATCATCAATCATCATCCTCATTAAAGAATTACCTTGTGAAAAGTCTTTCACAGAATCTGAGTAAACAACAAATTGAAAAACTTTCTAAACTCTCTCTCTGTACTTTGGTATTGGTGTGTCATGCTTTGTTTGTGGCTGTTTTATATTTTGTTTTCATGTTTTGTTTGTCAACAAACTTTTCACACTGCCTTTTTACTGTATCTAGACCTCATGATTTTGCAAAAAATGGCTGTGTATTCCTCATTGTTTCGCTGTATTCTTTTTACAATATTTTTGACTTGCATGGTATAACATTGAATGGTTGTGTAAAATGTTATTTTATTATAACTTATTATAAATCATATCTATTTATCTGTTTATTATTGCTGCTATTAAGAGCATGGCTTAATGCAGCCGGAGGGGTCCTCATCTGAGTGGTTATTTTCAAGGTTTCTACTTTCCAGGGAGATTTTCCTTGCCTCTGTGTTGCTGCTTGCTCTTTGGGTCTCTATGATCTAGACTGGGTTACTATTGATTGATTTCTGCAATATATTGTCGTGGAAATTCTTACACAGGGACACTCAAAGTCAATCTTAAAGGAATCATTGTTTATTATCAGCGCGCTGGAGAGGTTCCAACCAACTCAATGCACCAAGTACATATATCGATCAGGAGCTCTACCCGGGGCAGTCCCGTTAGTTCTCTTATATACAGACAAGTCATATTTGCATGATTTAGCTTATTCATCATTCATAATTGATTCATCATTAACGTTTGCTTCCTTCATGTGACCGACCAATGTCATGCATGTGACAGACCAATACATCACAAGGCTTCTTCTCTCTAAACTGAGACCTTGAAACTGAGATATCCCTTTCTCAAAACAAGGTTCTGGGCATACTGCCAAATTGCAGATACTGATAGTGAGGATTCGTTCAATCAGTCACTTGCATGAACACAGAAATTGGTTATTAAAAAAGCCCTAATAACACTAAGATAACCTGCCTAAATGACTACCGACCCGTAGCACTCACGTCTGTAGCCATGAAGTGCTTTGAAAGGCTGGTCATGGCTCACATCAACACCATTATCCCAGAAACCCTAGACCCACTCCAATTTGCATACCGCCCCAAAATATCCACAGATGATGCAATCTCTATTGCACTCCACACTGCCCTTTCCCACCTGGAAAAGAGGAACACCTACGTGAGAATGCTATTCATTGACTACAGCTCAGTGTTCAACACCATAGTGCCCTCAAAGCTCATCACTAAGCTAAGGACCCTGGGACTGAACACCTCCCTCTGCAACTGGATGCTGGACTTCCTGACGGGCCGCTCCCAGGTGGTAAGGGTAGATAACAACACATCTGCCACGCTGATCCTCAACACGGGGGCCCCTCAGGGGTGCGTGCTCAGTTCCCTCCTGTACTCCCTGTTCACCCATGACTGCATGGCCAGGCACGACTCCAACACCATCATTAAGTTTGCAGACGACACAACAGTGGTAGGCCTGATCACTGACAACGATGAGACAGCCTATAGGGAGGAGGTCAGAGACCTGGCCGTGTGGTGCCAGGATAACAACCTCTCCCTCAATGTGACCAAGACAAAAGAGATGATTGTGGACTACAGGGAAAAAAAGAGGACTGAGTACGCCCCCATTCTCATCGATGGGGCTGTAGTGGAACAGGTTGAGAGCTTCAAGTTCCTTGGTGTCCACATCACCAACAAACTGGAGTCTAGGTCCAAAAGGCTTCTTAACAGCTTCAACCCCCAAGCAATAAGACTCCTGAACAGCTAATCATGGCTACCCGGACTATTTGCATTGTCCCCCCCACCCCACCCCATCCCCTCGTTTACACTGCTGCTACTCTGTTTATTATCTATGCAGAGTCACTTTAACTCTACCCACATGTACATTTTACCTCAATTACCTCGACTAACCGGTGCCCCCGCACATTGACTCTGTACCGGTACCCCCTGTATATAGCCTCCCTACTGTTATTTAATTTTACTGCTGCTCTTAAATTTTTTTTTTTTTCTTAGTTATCTGTTTTTTACTTAACACTTATTTTTTCTTAAAACTGCATTGTTGGTTAAGGGCTTGTAAGTATGCATTTCACTGTAAGGTCTACATCTGTTGTATTCGGCTCATGTGGCAAATACAATTTCAAATCAAATGGATGGCAGGAAGCTTGGCCCCAGTGATGTACTGGGCCGTACGCACTACCCTCTGTAGTGCCAACTGAGAGACCTGAGCCCTAGGACCATACGTCGGGACTACCGGCCGTGGTGACTCCTTGCTGTCCCCAGTCCGCCTGGCCTTGCTGCTATTCCAGTTTCAACTGTTCTGCCTGCGGTTATGGAACCCCTACCTGTCCCAGACCTGCTGTTTTCAACTCTTAATGATCGGCTATGAAAAGCCAACTGAGATTTATTCCTGATTATTATTTGACCATGCTTGTCACTTATGAACATTTTTGAACATCTTGGCATGGTTCTGTTATAATCTCCACCCGGCACAGCCAGAAGAGGACTGGCCACCCCTCATAGCCTGGTTCCTCTCTAGGTTTCTTCCTAGGTTTTCGCCTTTCTAGGGAGTTTTTCCTAGCCACCGTGCTTCTACACCTGCATTACTAGCTGTTTGGGGTTTTAGGCTGGGTTTCTGTACAGCACTTCGAGATATTAGCTGATGTAAGAAGGGCTATATAAAATAAAATTGATTGATTGATTGATTGATTGGCCACATGCGCCGAATACAACAGGTGTAGACATTACAGTGAAATGCTTACTTACAGCCCTTAACCAACAATGCATTTATTTTTTAATAAAACAACAACAAAAAAGTGTTGAGAAAAAAAGAGCAGAAGTAAAATAAAATAACAGTAGGGAGGCTATATATACAGGGGGGTACCGGTGCAGAGTCAATGTGCGGGGGCACCGGCTAGTTGAGGTAGTTGAGGTAATATGTACATGTGGGTAGAGTTAAAGTGACTATGCATAAATAATTAACAGAGTAGCAGCAGCGTAAAAAGATGGGGTGGGGGTGGGAGGGCAGTGCAACTAGTTCGGGTAGCCATGATTAGCTGTTCAGGAGTCTTATGGCTTGGGGGTAGAAGCTGTTGAGAAGTCTTTTGGACCTAGACTTGACAATTTTGAGGGCCTTCCTCTGACACCGCCTGGTATAGAGGTCCTGGATGGCAGGAAGCTTGGCCCCAGTGAGCCATGACCAGCCTTTCAAAGCACTTCATGGCTACAGATGTCAGTGCTACGGGTCGGTAGTCATTTAGGCAGTTTATCTTAGTGTTCTTGGGCACAGGGATTATGGTGGTCTGCTTGAAACATGTTGGTATTACAGACTCAGTCAGGGACATGTTGAAAATGTCAGTGAAGACACTTGCCAGTTGGTCAGCACATGCTCGGAGTACACGTCCTGGTAATCTGTCTGGCCCTGCGGCCTTGTGAATGTTGACCTGCTTAAAAGTCTTACTCACATTGGCTACGGAGAGCATGATCACATAGTCATCCGGAATAGCTGGTGCTCTCATGCATGCTTCAGTGTTGCTTGCCTCAAAGCGAGCATAGAAGTGGTTTAGCTCGTCTGGAAGTCTTGTGTCACTGGGCAGCTCGCGGCTGTGCTTCCCTTTGTAATCTGTAATAGTTTTCAAGCCCTTCCACATCCGACGAGCGTCAGAGCCGGTGTAGTACGATTCAATCTTAGTCCTGTACTGACTCTTTGCCTGTTTGATGGTTCATCGGAGGGCATAGCAGGATTTCTTATAAGCGTCCGGGTTAGAGTCCCGCTCCTTGAAAGCGGCAGCTCTAGCTCAGTGCGGATGTTGCCTGTAATCCATGGCTTCTGGTTGGGGTATGTACGTATGGTCACTGTGGGGACGACGTCATCGATGCACTTATTGATGAAGCCAGTGACTAATGTGGTGTACTCCTCAATGCTATCTGAAGAATCCCGGAACATGTTCCAGTCTGTGCTAGCAAAACAGTCCTGTAGCTTAGCATCTGCGTCATCTGACCACTTTTTAATTAACCGAGTCACTGGTGCTTCCTGCTTTAGTTTTTGCTTATAAGCAGGAATCAGGAGGATAGAGTTATGGTCAGATTTGCCAAATGGAGGGCGATGGGAGAGATTTGTATGTGTCTCTGTGTGTGGAGTAAAGGTGGTTCTAGAGTTTTTTTTCCCTCTGGTTGCACATTTAACATGCTGGTAGAAATTAGGTAGAACTGATTTAAGTTTCCCTGCATTAAAGTCAATTTGATTTGATGAATAGAACACAGAAATTGGTTATTAGAAAAGGTCAAACATAAAAATGTCCATCACAATATAAACATGCAGCACAAAGGATTAGACCTTCTTAATGCCTTCATGATTTGAAATCATGACACACAGACCTCTAATAACATTGCTAATGTTTTACGCTGACCTTACCAAAATGGGGGTTCCCAATGACATATTTTGCATAATAAGGAAACGTTGACTGTTCGTCACTTCCTTCAAAAACCTCACGCGGTCACGTGACACGGGTTTAGCGCTCTGTTTCTGGAATCTGTAAGGTTTAAAATTATGCTTGAAATGCCAACATTCTTTTCTTTATCGATCGCTGATCGCCAACGGACGCCCCGCGACCACTTGGAAATCGTTTTTTATCGACGGAGCGCTAGGAATTCGCGCCTGAAAATTACAGCTCTCGGGCTAAACGTCACGTGACCAATACGCGACTCTGGTCGTTTGGTAAAGATGGCGAAAGGTGGTTAGAAAACAGCGGAGCGAAGAGGGTAACAGCCCCTGTAACCGCCGCGATAAACGGAACGCCCGTTGACTGCCAAGTGAGTGTTGTTGCCAGGCACAAATATATGTAAATGGTTGGGTGATTTCCTCAGGATCACGGTGAAGTGTTTATAGTGAGGCTGTGACATGTTGTTTTCGTGAAATTGTATTTTATTGTCCTCTTCCCATTACAACTAACGCGGCAACGTTAGCTGTAAGCTAACGGCGTGACAGAGCATAACACCAAAACAGCTAGCCAGGTAACTTAAGCTAACTACAGTAACGTTAGCTAAATACTTTTGTAACGTCAACTATTATTTTAGATATAATTACCTAGCTATGGCTAATAATGCTAGATAGATAATGTGTTATTTGGGCTGTCTTTTAGCACATTGTTTTGCTTAGTGGAGTCAAGTTCATAACGGTTAGCAAGTTACTGTAACGTTATAATGTAGTACCTAATGGCATAGTTACCAAGTGAAGTTATCCAGCAAGCTAACTAGCTAAAAGCCAAGCCAACGTTATGCTGCATACAACAAAATGCCAAGGTGAATGGGACTTGTTTACGCTGCTGTCGAGTGAATATTAAGGTTGTTTTTCACAGAAATAACAGTTGAATATCGATGTTCATTGATACCATAGCTAGCTAGTAACTTGACTTATCAAATCAGTGAACAGCTCAGCCAAGTTAACGTTAGCTAGCTAATGGTCAGGTGAGTTTCAAGTAGCTAACGTTAGCTAGCTAATACATTGCAGTGCTATTACCTTTTAGAGGGTGTGTGGGTTCCTAGCTATGTATTTGTACAAGCCACATTAATCATTTAAATGTTTTAGCCTGATCCAACTAGCTAGCAACTGTAGAACATGTTAGATTTGACATTAGCTAGCTACTGTTTGCTAGTCTACCGAACAACAACGTCACACCAGGAAATGAAGACTACGGTCAGAGTAGCGAGCAAGTCAAATGCAAACACGTGCCGGGGTCCGGGTCACATTGTAACTATACAAGTTCTCTATATCATACGCCTGGATGTATACCTTGTATTTAAGTGTGTAACTGCGGAATATTCTTGCAGTCTACCTTGACCGATTTGTTTTAAGAGTTGGGACCCACTGTCGAACATTTCCAAACATCCTTGATGCTTGCCGGCAGGTGCCACATGCCAGTCAAGATTCTGTTGCTATCATCTCCTCTGGGTGGGAACGGTTGTATTTTTTAAATGACTAACATCTTCAGCAGCAACCAACACCATACTTTATTGGTGCACAGCTGGGTAGCTGAGTAAAGATATCTGGTCTGATGGTTGGCTGAACTGTTAGTTTAACAAGGTAAACACAGTCAGTGATCACATGTCTGCCACATGGTGCTGTGCTTTAGAAGGTCCTAATGTATGTTAGAAAAATATTTGTTGCTACTTATTTTACATGAAAGCAGTTGATTCAAAACTCGTAACTATTTTTATAGTGTAGTTTTGAATTCTCTTTGAGTTATTGTGCTTTTATGTGTTGGTGTGAAATGATGTGCTGTATCAGGGTGTGTTACAGACAGGTTACTGTTAAATAAAAGCTGTCAGACAGAGCTCACTGTCTGTGTAGCATAACAAACCAAGTAGTGTAGAAAAATACACTTAACTACAGACACAATTTTGGTTAGATCACTAGCAGTGGATTGCGACGTGTTGCCAACAATTGTCTGTTGCCCTATCTGGCCCCTGCTGTAGTCCCTTACCAATTTGTTTTGCAGATGATGAATCCTGGACAGGATTTGCTCCTGGCAGCCCTGAGCGAGAGCGGCATCTGCCCTAACGACCTGTTCGACTTTGACCCTCAGGATGCTGCTCTTCCCTCTCCCACCCCACAGGTAGGTGAAACACAGGGAGGCATCTTCCCAGTAGTCCAAAGTGGCTTCTAGCTCTTCTGCATCATTTTAGTTTAATGAATGGAAAAGCACTTAACTAATTTAATTTATTATTGTCTCAATAGTTTAGTGACCTCCCAGCATCTCAGTAGTGGCCTTCCCTCCTCTGATCTGCATGAATACATAACTAAAGGACAGCCTGGGAAAGGCTCTACAATGCAACCATTTTACTCGCATATGCGCCTAAATAATTTGCTCTGTGTCCTGCGCCCACCTAGAAAAGAATCACCCAGATGATAATTTTTGCAATGGTTACTTCCCTGTACCGCAGCCCCTGAGTGCCATGGAGAATACACTGAGTGCAGGTTCATGACTGTCATGCTTGCACCATTACCTCAAAGAAAATGGCTTGTTATCTCAAATATTTTTCATTGTGCTCCTAAATTTATTTGTGCTCCTACATTTTTCAACTTAGGCACACACGTGCTCCTTGTAAAAAAGGTCAGCATAGAGCTCTAAACCTGGGTGCCGCTGCTTCAGATGTGTAGTGTTCTCTGGTGCTGATATGAGTTTTGTTTTTCTCCTCCAGTCCATCTCCATCAGTGCCCTGGGTGTTGGCTCGGGGATGGAGGCAATGGGAGCCACAGCTCCACCCACACCTACAGTCACAATCAGGGTAGGGACTTTATTCAACAAAAGATGGGTTACAGTGTGCTCTTACAAGAAACTTAGTCAGTCAACCGTTTGAAAATGTTTTCTCCTGTTTGTTTCCACTTAAAAAAGACCCCGAATATTTGTGCTGTGCCTACACATTTCGGAAAAAACATATGCCTTGACCTAGTCGTATAAGGAATTGTATTATTGTACTGCAGTATAATTTCTGTGTGGTAACATCTCAACCTCTTCCCCCTGTCTCTTTTCTCTCCCCTCACTGGTCCACCAGAACAAGCCGCAGCCCTCAACCACCACATTTGTCTTAAATCAACTGAATCAGTTGCCATCGCTGGGAACAATTGTTGTGACCAAGCCCTCAACTGGAGGCACGGCCAGACACACCATCACAGTCACCAAGGTGGTCCATACCACTCCCTCAGCCCTACGAGGATCCACTTCCACACTTACCTCCTCCACGGCTCTCCCCTCCTCAGTCTCCACAGTGGTTCCTTCCAACAGAGAGCAGGTCAGTGGAGGAAACACTTTTACCCTGGGAATTGCATTGGGAACAAAAATGCAGCAGAAAATATGAAATAAACAAGTGTGTGTGTGCTCTGATTTTAGTAGGGGTCATGAGGGCTAAGATGCCCTTCAGTTCCTATGCTGCCATCTGCAAAATAGCAAAGAAATTGAGGGAAAACTTAAGTTAAAGCCTTCCTCGTTATAACATACATCTTTCCTTCTGTGTCAGATCCAGCTGAAGGACCTGTTGAGGACGGGCAGCACCATGAAAAGCAGTAGTCTGGTGGAACTCATGAGGCTCAAGCCGCCACCAGACATCGCCCAGCCGGTCGCCACGGCAACAGCCACAGGCACCAGTGAGTCACAGTACTCATGGAACCCTGGCTGGGTTCCAATGACTCCAAATGGTTTATTTTCTTTTCCCAGTCTTCTTTTGGTGTCTGACACTTGATGTCACTACCATTTGGCTGTCACCTATTCTATACCATTCTCTAAGATCAGAGGTGAACCTGTGGAGGGAAGGAAGCTATTTGAGGATTGGGCTGAAACTGCTCATATGGACAGGTGCAGATCTTGGGTTAGAAGAGACCAGAGCCATATATATAGAGAGAGTTAGACCAGGTTTTAGAACAGCTGCCATTTTAGCGCCCATATAGAACTTTATTCTTAAAATGTTGGTGATGTAACAATACGAGAGGGCCTCCGACAGTTCCCTATGAAATGACCCGCTTTAAACAAGCAAAACGGAGCAGCAAATTTAAGATGTTTTTACTGATTAGCATTCGGGATAATGTGTATCCAAGTCTTTACTGTATTGTAGCGTCTGCTTTCACTGGACATTTTCATAGGTTTTTTCACTGGACATTTTCATAGCAACTGCTATGGAGGAAAAAGTGGCACTCTCGGAACGTTCAACCGCATTGGCCTAGCTCACTCTCTATCTCTATTCTATAGATGTGTTTATATAGATAGATAGGTCTGGAAGAGACTGTTGTACATGTCTCATGTAGCCAAAGATGTTTTCTGGCCATGTTATTTTGAGCCCCAGGGTGCAATCCATTCATGCCGTTCCTATCTGTATCTATTTTTGTTTGTCAAATTGTTGCTCTTTAAGTTTGGTTTGGAAAGCGCTATAACATTTCAAAACCCTTCCCTGTACAATGATTAACTTCACTCACAGGATCGTTAATGTGTACCAAACATGTCCATGCTCAATCAGTGTTCAATGCTCTCATCCTCGCAGAAATGATACTGGTCTCGACAAAGATGATTCATAAACCAGGTATGGACAGGATCAAGATCCGATATCATCTGATTCCAGTGTTATCGTGTAACACAGGAAAGGGTTGTTATAAATGGGTCCAGTTTTCCCACCTACAAGGCACCCTCAATCACTTTATTTCAGTTGTATGTGGTTGGTTTAGACTTCTATAGTGTATGTGAAACTGAAAGCAGTGAGGTGTCTTTTAAAGTGACCTTGCACAAGGGCTGTTCAAGTGAATCATGCCTGCGTGTGTAAAAGTATTTGTTTCTAATGGTCAGTTGGTGTGTCTGTTCTTCCAGTAATAAATTCTGTATTCTTTCTGTACCTCTTCTCACAGCGGAACTGAACAACGGAATAAAGAAGGAGGTGTCAAGTAAAGATGTCGCTCGGATCTGGGTGAACGACGACATGAAAGTGCGGAGCTTCTCACCTACACTAGTGAGTGGTATCATCCAATCACTGACTCTTAACCAAAAGGCAGATGTCGTAGTAGTCCTACTAAAATCTCTACCCGTTCCCCTGTTCAATGACAGAAACTCTAGTATTCTTAGGGTGTTTTCACACAGTTCCGAGCTATAGTTCGAATCAGAGTTCCATTATTTGTTACATTGTATTCTTTTCATTTGGTCCAGTTGGTTTCACATTGCCAAATGTCAAACAAACTAAAATGCCTAAACAAAACCACGTTCATGCAAGTCATTTGTTTATTGGAGAAAAATGCTCACATTTAAATCCATCTATGATTATCAAGAAGTGTAACTTGTGCGTCCCAAACTTAATATTACTTTCGCTTTGGTCTTCCAAACATGTGGGAGGAAACAGCGCAATACCTGCTCTAACTGCGACATGAATAGGCTATATTCAGTAGCCTTCAGTAGCCTATGTCCCCGGTATAGACCCCCGGATGCGCTCATAAATGCGCTGCTACTCACAGAATGTTTCAGAGATATCAAGATATGGTACTGCATTTCATCAAATGCTCGACAGTCAAACAACCAATAATACTCCTTGTTCTTTTCCTGTGTTTGGTCCGGACTGCGTTCTCACCTGCAGCAATCTGCACAATGGTGCTAATGGAATCGGACCGAGACCACCCTTTTTGAGCGAACCACTGTGCGCTGTTTAGTTTACTCCCGAGTGCGGATAGTGTTCATACCAGTCCAAACTAAGGTGGAAGAAGCACCGGAGTAAAAAAAAAAAGAAGCTCCAAACCAATTTGGTGTTGAAGCCCCCTTATCGATAAACGGCAACAACACAATGATTCCCTAATAATTACTATTTTCTTTAGGATTCAACAAAGCCTTCTGAGAATTTAATTCAACAGCCTGTTGAGTTTCTGTGAAATGCTTCAGACAGCTTAATAACAAGTGATTATGTCTTTGTGTAGAAACTCCCAGGGATGAAGGAGGAAGAGGAGGCTGAGGAAGAGGAGGATGAAGAGTTGGGTCATGCTGAGACATACGCTGAGTACATGCCCATGAAACGTAAGCTTTACTCGCAGTGCTCTCCAACAATTTAGTTTCCTTTTATGTTTACTGAAGCAGTTAAGTCTTGTTCACACTGGCAGTTTGAAGTGACTCAAACCATATTCTTTGGGCATATCCGATTTCGAATCAGATATTTTTCCTGCAGCCTGAACAACCAGAAATCACATGGAATCGGAGACAAATTCCTGGCCATGAAACTTGTCTGAACGGTCAAATTTGATTTATTTGCCCTCAAGTGGTTTTTAGACTGTTATTTGGCATATATTGTTGTTTGGTAGCTACTCAGTGTTTGACAAGAATACGTGATAGCTAATTAACTTGTTAATTGTTTACAAACAAATTAGTGAATGTGTTAGCGAGCTAAACAGCTAGCTAGCTTAGGTGACTGCTGTGGCTAGCCAAAAAGGACTAATTTAGAATCTCGTTTATCCTTTGAGGCTTTAAGTGTTCTTACACTATGATTTCCAAAGATTCAACGCAATTTGGAGACCTCCATGGCGGGTATTGAAAATGTATGCACTCACTAACTGTAAGTCGCTCTGGATAAGAGCATCTGCTAAATGACTAAAATGTAAATGTATTGTTGTCACCTTAGCTTGCTACACAACAACTTGTGTAGGATTGAGAGGGAGCACGAACACCACCAATCAGCCTACGCCACTGCACCCATCCACCATTACCATGGCAACTAGCATAGCCAGGTCAGAAAATGACTACAGTCTGAGCACGCACACATCCGATTTGGTCACTTGTAACTTGCTGTTTGGACAGTCAGTATTCCAAAACCGATTTTAAAAAACAAAACCGATTTTTGAGCTTTAAATCCTGAAGTGTGAACAAGGCTTAATACTCATCATAGTCAAATAATGTTTACCGATGAAAGATGGGTGGAGCCCATGCAGAGGTGCACACTGAGTGTTTGCTTTGAGGGAGCAGCAGAGTTAATGGAAAACAAAGATTTGATTGGTCAGTTGGTTGATTGATCATGTTGATTGATGGTTCCAGTGCGGATCGGGCTGCGTCACCCAGACCCGGTGGTGGAGACCAGCTCCCTGTCCAGTGTGAACCCTCCAAATGTTTGGTACAGAATGTCTATACCAGAAGAGACCGTCGACCGCGGCTGGCTGTCTGCCCTGCAGCTGGAGGCCATCACATATGCTGCCCAGGTAAAGATCCTACACCTTTACACTACTGCTCACCTGGCCAGATAAAGACCCTACTACAGCTTGGCACTGCTTTATGTACTAGTGTAGATGAGCATTCACATACTGAAATGTTTCTTGTCTCCATAGCAACATGAAACATTCCTCCCTAACGGCGACCGAGCGTCCTATCTGATAGGAGACGGGGCCGGAGTGGGGAAAGGCCGGACCATTGCTGGGATCATCTACGAGAACTACCTCCTCGGCAGAAAGAGATCACTCTGGTAAAACTATAACGAGGGTTACATGATACATCCCATCAATGAAACAAGATGAAATTACACACACATATTCACACACACATACTCACACTCATTGTCACATTTCATAAAAGCTATTCCATCTCCTTCACAGGTTCAGTGTTTCTAATGACCTGAAGTATGATGCGGAGAGGGATCTGAAAGACATAGGAGCAAAGAACATTCTGGTCCATTCACTAAACAAGGTAAGAGGATGCCCGCTGTGTGCAGATGTACTTCTCCATGCGTGTTTCTTACATGGTAATAAATTGAAGAGGATCCTTCACACTGGATATGCTTTTCATATCTGCCTTCCAAAATGACATGTTCACATGCATGTAAAGGTGTTCGCCTTCACTCAAAAACTATTTTGTCTGTCCCAGTTTAAGTATGGTAAGATCTCGTCCAAACACAACGGCAGTGTGAAGAAGGGGGTGATCTTCGCTACGTACTCCTCTCTGATAGGAGAGAGCCAGTCTGGAGGGAAGTACAAGACCCGCTTCAAACAGCTACTCCACTGGTGTGGAGAGGACTTCGACGGAGTCGTATCCTTTCACTGACCAACAGATGACTACTCTAAAAACAAATCATAGAAAGCATAATTGCCTTTGTAACACAATTAGTCCAAATTTATACTGAGTACGTAATCTGGGACTGTGTAACTGCCCTTAGAAGTAGGAGTTCTAGTAACAGGTAGATAAGTGGCAGTAGTTTAGTGGCGATAACACCACCTTTCCTTAACCCAAGCCCTTTTAGATTGTGTATGACGAGTGTCACAAAGCCAAAAATGTCTGTCCCATCGGGTCATCCAAACCCACCAAGACTGGACTGGCAGTCCTGGAGCTGCAGAACAAACTGCCCAAGGCACGGGTGGTGTACGCTAGCGCCACTGGTAAGATACTAACCACCTAGAGAGGAGGCTGCTGACATTTTCATACTTCAAATGTTGAGCAGAGTCCATATTCTATCTGAACCATCTGTCGTGTAGCTCCTACTATATGCACTATATGGAAAAGATGGTGGGAAATATAGTACAAGATATCATACCCTAAATTAACGGAAGTGTTCTCTATCTGTGTGTGTGTGGTCTTTTATTATTATTATTATTATTATTTGATGTATTATTTTTTTCAGGTGCGTCTGAGCCCCGTAACATGGCCTACATGAACCGGCTGGGCATCTGGGGAGAGGGGACACCTTTCAGAGAGTTCAGCAACTTTATCCAGGCTGTGGAGCGCAGGTGAGAGAGACAGACACACTAGTAACTCGTCATAGTGGTGCAGAGTGGACGGCCACAGAATGGAGACAGCAAGTGATCTAGAAGTTATGACTCTTGACAGATGGAATCTGTTGAGGCAGAATGTCCTCGAACTGCTACAAAACAAAAAATCTGTGTTGGTAGGAAAACTTATCCTGCAGAAGTCTTGTTATACTTCCCCTTGGCTATGCCTATTGATACTGTCTAGCATATCACAAATTACATTCTACTTGAAGAGATATCTATTCCAAATAAATATTTTCCTCCCTTGTATTGCCTTGTCCTCAGAGGTGTTGGTGCCATGGAGATAGTTGCCATGGATATGAAGCTGAGGGGCATGTACATCGCCAGGCAGCTGAGCTTCACAGGCGTCACGTTCAAAATCGAGGAGGTTCCCCTGACAACACACTACATCAAGATGTACAACAAGTCTGTACGCCTGGTAAGGATCCCAAACCTTAACACAACCATTTTCCCTGGGGTCTTTTCAGTAGGCTTGAAACAGAAACTGTGTGTGTTTTAACCTTGTCCTCTCTTTCCGTGTTTCAGTGGGTGGCTGCGCGGGAGAAGTTCCAGGCGGCTGCTAACTTGATGGAGGCAGAGCAGCGGATGAAGAAGTCCATGTGGGGTCAGTTCTGGTCAGCCCACCAGAGGTTCTTCAAGTACCTCTGCATCGCCTCCAAGGTCCGCAGGGTGGTGCAGCTCGCCAGGGAGGAGGTCAAAAACGGAAAGGTGGGTGGGATGTTTCAGAATGTAAAAAGATGAGATTGTGTCATTGCAGGAATCTTGATTTTTCTGACATCAGATTTCAGAAGATTAGGAATACTGCCACATTCATAGCATATTCTTGCATATTGGTTTTAGTGTATTGTGGTTCCTTCGGTTGGTTTGAAGAGAGGTGACTGGTGTTCTCGCATATGTTTTTCTGTGAACCCAGACTGTTTGTCTCTCTGTAGTGTGTCGTGATTGGTCTTCAGTCGACAGGAGAGGCCAGAACACTAGAGGCCCTGGAGGAAGGAGGAGGAGAGCTCAACGACTTTGTTTCCACCGCAAAGTAAGTTTTCACCCAGGCTTATGGACACTAGAGGCCCATTTATCTGATTTAAAGGCCTTTATAGGTCTTATGTTTTCAAAGGTCTTTAAAAAATTGTGAAGAAGAGGACTACAGTGTTTCCGTTATATTGTGCCGCTGTTTAATTGTTGCCTTCGCGGCACAAAAAGAAGAGAAATTGAACATTACATAATACGAGGCGCACTTTGAAGATGTTAGTGCGCTTCTGTATGTGCGTGTTCCATTATGCATTACCTGAACATGTTAGATGAAATGGCAAACCTCTTTCATGTCTTACTTTGCACTGGGGAAAAAGTCAGTCTAGAGCCCTCCAACTTAGCTAGCTACCTTCGAAATATAGCCATTTGGTACCTGATCCAATGAATGAGGGAATTATTTTATTAGACTTTTTGATTGTAGGCTAATGTTCTAATATTTACCTCCAAGAGAGCTACAGGGTGTGTAGACTTGTGTTCCAAATCCGCTCCAACACACCAGATTCTACAAATCAACCACTCAACATGACCTTGTTACGCTGACTCGGGTGTGTTTGAGCAGTGCTGGATCAAAAGCCTGCACACCCAGTGGCCTAGCCCTCCAGATGGAGAGTTAACTACATGTTTTATACAGTATATTTGACTTTAAGGCATTTTTTCAGTGGTATCATTATAGCTGGTATTGATAACTGGTCGCACGATTTCCTAGCAACAACATTAAGTCACCATCAGTCGATACTTGTACAAATGTCAATTCTGAACATGCTTACCTGTACCTATGTTTGCACAACAGCGGTGCTGAAATTCATACTTTCAATAAACTTTTATTGAATACAACCACATACCTTTTCCTCATTTGTGATGTTCACTCAGCGCTAATGCGCTTGTCAATTTAATCTGTTTATGTAGTACGTCAAGGCCGCTATGTCTCCAGTTGAGCAACACAAATTAGGAAAAAGTTGGTTGTATTCAATAAAGGTTTTCCTTAAAAGTATGCATTTCATCACCCCACGGAAGGACCGCAGTTGTACAGGACAAAGAGGTACAGGTAAGCGTTTTTAGAATTGACATTTTTACAAGTATCGACTGATGGTGACTCAATGTTGCGAGCAAACCGCGCAAGCAGTTATCAATACTCAACTCTGCCTAATATAAAAGAGAACTTGTTGAGCGTTCCTCAGCTAATTTCTGGTGGGGAATATAAGCAGGTGTGTGGTGCACGCAGACTTCATAATTTGTATTAAATTGCAGTCCATGTGCCATTAAAGGTATTAAGTTCAACTTCATGGAACCTGCAGATACCCTGTATGGAGAGAACATATTGAGAAACAACTTGGAATCTATTAGGAATATATTTAACTTTTAACATGGATTGTTATTGTGATACTTTTGTTATTGGTGACATTTAGGCTAGTATTGTACAGCTGTAATGCTAGCTAGCTACATGCCTATGCCAGGTGTATGGTAGTACTATCTATAACGAGGTGTTTGCCCTCTCCCCTCCCAGAGGCGTTCTGCAGTCCTTGATAGAGAAGCACTTCCCTGCTCCAGACAGACAAAAGCTGTTCAGCCTGCTGGGCATCGACCTGTCGGCCAAGAAGACGCCATCTCCCAGCGAGGCCGCCGCAGAGCAAAAGGGCAAGAAGAGGAAAGGTACTGTAGGGCAGGCAGTAGGGATGTAATGATTCACCGATACTCATTGGTCCCTGTTTCAAATATTTAAGGAATGAGCGCATCGGTCCGTGGGATCCCAAATCGATTCGAATGTAGCATGCATCGGTCAGAAAATGTATTCAAACGTTACGAATCGCAGGTTCACAATTTTTTTTGTACACTGCCTTCAGAAAGTATTCATACCCCTTTACTTATTCCACATTTTGTTGTTGTAGCCTGAATTCAAAATGGCTTCTCACCCATCTACACACAATACCCCATAATGACAAAGTGAAAACATGTTTTTAGAAATGTTAGCAAATTTATTGAAAATGAAATACAGACACATTGAATTTACATAAGTATACACACCCCTGAGTCAGTACTTTGTAGAAGCACCTTTGGCAGTGATTACAGCTGTGAGTCTTTCTGGGTAAGTATTTTTTAAAGAGCTTTCCACACCTGGATTGTACAGCATTTGCCCTTTTTTATTTTATTTTTTATTTTTTTAATTCTTCAAGCTCTCTGCTAGACAACCGTTTTCAGGTCTTGTCGTAGATTTTAAGTCAAAACTGTAACTCGGCCACTCAGGAACATTCCATGTCTTCTTGGTAAGCAACTGCAGTGTAGATTTGTTTTAGGTTATTTTCCTGCTGAAGGGTGAATTCATTGCACCGAGTCTGGTGGAAAGCAGACTGAACCAGGTTTTCCTCTAGGATTTTGCCTGTGCTTAGCTCCATTCCGTTTCTTTTTTTATCCTGAAAAACTCCCCAGTCCTTAACGATTACAAGCATACCCACAACATGATGTAACCACCACTGTGCTTGAAAATTCAATATCCGTTTTTATATATATATATATATATATATATATATATATATATATATATATATATATATATATATATATATATATATATATATATATATATATTTTTTTTTTTTTATCTAGCAATGGGCACCCTTCTCTCTGAGGCCTTCGAAAACCTCCCTGGTCTTTGTGATTCAATCGGTTTGAATTCACTGCTCGACTGAGGGACATTACAATTATCTGTATGTGTGGGGTACAGAGAAGGTCATTCGTAAATCCTGTTAAACACTATTAATGCACACAGTGAGTCCATGCAACTTATTATGTGACTTGTTAAGCACGTTTTTACTCCTGAACTTATTTAGGCTTGCCATAACAAAGGGGTTTAATACTTATTGACTCAAGACATTTCAGCTGTACATTTCTAAAAACATGATTCCACTTTGACATTATGGGGTATTCTGTGTAGGCCAGTGACAACAAAATCTAAATGTAAATCAATTTTAAATTCCGTCTGTAACAAAACAAAATGTGGAAAAAGTCAAGGTGTGTGAATACTTTCTGAAGGCACTGTAATTTTGTTGACAGTCAGTAATTTTGCATGCCGAACAACCCCTGGCAATGTCAGTAGCCTTGTCAAACTGTGTACAGTTTCGCGCTGACCAACAAGATGTAGGCCTATTCCTGATCTGGCACATCTGCGTGTCACCTTCAGCATTCAAATGAATCAGATATACAAGGTAAAGTTGATAATTTCATAACGAGGACAGCAATCACTTTTGCTACCAGCATTGCATGGTTGACGCGGGAGAAGAAGAGAAGCTCATTTGGAGTGTTTTCAGATCAAAAGTATGTGTGGGGTGGTAGATGCCCCGTTCCCTTATGGCTCAGCTCAGGTGCCTTCATACAGAATTTACAAACACACACACAGAAGTCAGCTCAGACTGATCCTGCTCAGAGAGCCCCAGCTCATGAGCTCCATCAGCAACAGATTTTAATTTAGAATGGAAAAATGTTAGTGTGTGGCACCGAATTGCATCGATTCATTCCTCTAATCGCACCGAATCGTTTCAAACAAAAATGTATCGTTCCTGTATCGTACAGTGGGGGGAAAAAAGTATTTAGTCAGCCACCAATTGTGCAAGTTCTCCCACTTAAAAAGATGAGGCCTGTAATTTTCATCATAGGTACATGTCAACTGTGACAGACAAAATGGGAGAAAAAAAATCCAGAAAATCACATTGTAGGATTTTTAATGAATTTATTTGCAAATTATGGTGGAAAATAAGTATTTGGTCAATAACAAAAGTTTCTCAATACTTTGTTATATACCCTTTGTTGGCAATGACACAGGTCAAACGTTTTCTGTAAGTCTTCAAGGTTTTCACACACTGTTGCTGGTATTTTGGCCCATTCCTCCATGCAGATCTCCTCTAGAGCAGTGATGTTTTGGGGTTGTCGCTGGGCAACACGGACTTTCAACTGGGGTTGAGATCTGGAGACTGGCTAGGCCACTCTAGGACCTTGAAATGCTTCTTACGAAGCCACTCCTTCGTTGCCCGGGCGGTGTGTTTGGGATCATTGTCATGCTGAAAGACCCAGCCACGTTTCATCTTCAATGCCCTTGCTGATGGAAGGAGGTTTTCACTCAAATCTCACGATACATGGCCCCATTCATTCTTCCCTTTACACGGATCAGTCGTCCTGGTCCCTTTGCAGAAAAACAGCCCCAAAGCATGATGTTTCCACCCCCATGCTTCACAGTAGGTATTGTGTTATTTGGATGCAACTCAGCATTCTTTGTCCTCCAAACATGACGAGTTGAGTTTTTACCAAAAAGTTCTATTTTGGTTTCATCTGACCATATGACATTCTCCCAAACCTCTTCTGGATCATCCAAATGCACTCTAGCAAACTTCAGACGGGCCTGGACATGTACTGGCTTAAGCAGGGGGACACGTCTGGCACTGCAGGATTTGAGTCCCTGGCGGCGTAGTGTGTTACTGATGGTAGGCTTTGTTACTTTGGTCCCAGCTCTCTGCAGGTCATTCACTAGGTCCCCCCGTGTGGTTCTGGGATTTTTGCTCACCGTTCTTGTGATCATTTTGACCCCACAGGGTGAGATCTTGCGTGGAGCCCCAGATCGAGGGAGATTATCAGTGGTCTTGTATGTCTTCCATTTCCTAATAATTGCTCCCACAGTTGATTTCTTCAAACCAAGCTGCTTACCTATTGCAGATTCAGTCTTCCCAGCCTGGTGCAGGTCTACAATTTTGTTTCTGGTGTCCTTTGACAGCTCTTTGGTCTTGGCCAAAGTGGAGTTTGGAGTGTGACTGTTGTGGACAGTTGTGGACAGGTGTCTTTTATACTGATAACAAGTTCAAACAGGTGCCATTAATACAGGTAACGAGTGGAGGACAGAGGAGCCTCTTAAAGAAGAAGTTACAGGTCTGTGAGAGCCAGAAATCTTGCTTGTTTGTAGGTGACCAAATACTTATTTTCCACCATAATTTGCAAATAAATTCATTAAAAATCCTACAATGTGATTTTCTGGGATAAATATTTTCTCAATTTGTCTGTCATAGTTGACGTGTACCTATGATGAAAATTACAGGCCTCATCTTTTTAAGTGGGAGAACTTGCACAATTGGTGGCTGACTAAATACTTTTTTTCCCCCACTGTATCTGAGCCCATGTATCTAGATATGTATTGAATCGTCTTGAAAGGGAAAGATGCCCATCCCTAGCAGGGAGCCAACCTCTGTAGGAAATGACAGTCAATGGGTCAGATGGGACAGTAAAGAGTTTGATCTTGGTTTTGTTCAGCTGGTTACTTCAGCAACAAAATCTCTACTTGCCTATCCAGTGTTCTTTTTGTGTGAACATGTGACTCATCCTAGATGTTTTATATAATGTTCTGGCTTACTGTTCCACATATGAGACGTGAATCTTTAAAAAGGCCTTTGTCTCCCACACTAATAGTGTTTTGGCTGTTTACCAATTGTAATGTTCCCTCCTCTCTCCCAGCAGGTGCTGAGATAAAGAAACCAGAGAAGCGGAAGAGAAAGTCTGGTGGTCTGTCGGGGAGCAGTTCTGACGACAGCGATTCGGAGGAGTCGGATAAGGATGATGCGGAGAGTGACAACAGCTTCAAGTCCGTCAGCTCGGGAGAAGATGATGAAGATGACTTCAATCCCTTCAAGGATGATTCCAGCGAGGATGAGGAGGATGGTGAGCGAGGGAGTTTGATGATGATGTTTAAGATGTTTGATGATTAGTACCGAACATTGTCTTACACTTTCCGCCTCTTTCAGACCCCTGGCTGTCTGGAAAGAGGAAAGAGGCGAAGAAAGGCAAGGAGAAGAAGAATAAAAAGAAGACGAAGAAGAAGAGCATTGATCCAGACTCTATCCACAGTGCCTTGTTAGCCTCTGGTCTGGGCTCCACCAGGCCTGCTTTCACCACCCCCATAGTCAAGACCTCCAGCACACCTGCCATAGGTGAGTTAGTAGCAACAACGCACCTGCCATAGGTGAGTGTCGTGTCGAACTTCTGTGCAAATGACCTTTTGCCGTCAATGTATTTTCTAAAGTCTGAGTTAGGATTGTATAACCAGTCAGGATGAGCAGATGAAGATATTCAACATTTTACACTCTCTCGCTCTCTCTCCCTCTAATCCCTCCATCAGCCAAGGTAGAAGCAGATGACAGCTGTATGACCAGTCAGGATGCTGTGGAAGATGCTCAGCAGATGAAGAGGGATCTGTTGGACCAGCTGGAGAAGCTGGCTCAGGATCTACCCCCCAACACTCTGGATGAACTCATAGACGAGCTGGGAGGACCCGATAACGTGGCTGAGGTAATGGGTTAAATTAAATATATGGATAGAATAACAATGGCTCAAACGTGGCACAGGAGCTGGACAAAATAAAATAACAATTTAAAGAAACTAAGACTCCACTCATTGTTAACTGCACATTTTTTTAGGCTAGATATGTAGCAACAACATTTGGACCTTTTGACTATCTTTTTAAATATTTTTGTTAATCCTTTGTTTTGATCCCACATTGTCTCTGCTGTATTCCAGATGACGGGTCGTAAAGGCCGGGTAGTCAGTAATGACGACGGCAGCATCTCCTACGAGTCTCGCTCTGAATTGGACGTTCCTGTGGAGATCCTCAACCTCACAGAGAAACAGAGGTTCATGGACGGAGAGAAGGTAAGGGAGGACAGGCAGATGAGGAGGAGAAACAAATGTTTTATTGTCACATACACCGGATAGGTGCAGTGAAATGTGGTGTTTAGTAGTTTGGCACCACTGTAGCAAATTAGGGTTAAGTGCCTTGCTCAAGGGCACATCAACAGATTTTTTTTTAACCTTTGGCCTTTCGGTTACTGGTGAAGAATCTGTCTGTGCCCTTGAGCAAGGCACTTAACCCTAATTTGCTCCAGGGACACCGTATTACTATGAGAGGCAGAGCCCGAGCCAGCTTCTCTGCTAGTTTACCTGAGAGAAGGACATGGGAGAAGGGAACAGTAATACACCATGATTCTGTCTTAGGCGATGGGTACAAGCACAATAACTTGAGAAATGTATGTTGTGGGGCAGTCTCCTTGTTTGAATCACGAATGTATAGAATCAGTTGAATATATTGGTCACAAACCATAGCACAGAACTATTCCAAATCTTGTTCTCCTCCCTCTCCAGAACATAGCCATCATCTCGGAGGCGGCTAGCTCCGGTATCTCCCTGCAGGCTGACCGGCGGGTGAAAAACCAGAGGAGGAGGGTCCACATGACCCTGGAGCTGCCCTGGAGCGCAGACCGAGCCATACAGCAGTTTGGTCAGTAAACTCTTTCTCTGGCTGTGGTTTCATTACCCCCATACAATCTCAAGTACTGAGACTTTTGTGAAAATGCTATAAAAATACAATCGGTCTGTCTTCACTCTAGTCTTGTGGGATTTACTTGTCTCTCGATAATGTGGCTCATTGTACTTAATTTACCTGGCATGTCTCTGGGGTTTTCCACTCTGTTACAATGGGAATAGTAGGTATGAGTTATGTGATGTATTTAGAATAATGAAATTATGGGTGTTCTGCTCAATGCTACCATTGTCTGACATCTCGTTCCCTCTCTCTCAGGGAGGACCCACAGGTCTAACCAGGTGACGGCTCCAGAGTACGTGTTCCTCATCTCTGAGCTGGCTGGGGAACAGAGGTTTGCCTCCATTGTGGCCAAGAGACTGGAGAGCCTGGTAAGAACCTGTCCTGTCAGTGGTTCAATTGAACTGACCAGTGGAAAATGTGGTTATTATCCCCCATGTTTGAGTTCTTGAAGTTTTGCAGCTGATGCTACATGTGATCTGTGTGTTCCACAGGGTGCCCTCACCCATGGAGACAGAAGAGCAACAGAGACGAGAGATCTCAGCAGGTTCAACTTCGACAACAAAGTAAGTAGATACGCCACATAGGAATACGCTGTGTGTGTAGGGTTCAGTTTCTAACTTCCTTTCTGCGCCACTCCACAGTACGGTAGAAACGCACTGGAGATCGTGATGAAGTCCATCGTCAACCTGGACTCTCCGTTAGTGAATCCTCCCTCGGACTTCGAAGGGGATTTCTACAAAGGTGAGTCTGGACTGATCTTGTAATATAGTCATCGTCCGGGCAATTCCTTGATAACAGAATGATGCTAAGACTCAGATTTTAACTTTAAAATGTATGCCAAACAAAACCAATAATTGCAAAGTTAAACAAGGCAACAGTAAAAATGCTGTCCCCAACTAATAACGCAGACTTGGGCCAATCAGAATAATTTTGTCATTGATGGATTTCTGTGGCAAGACGCATCATTCACCCAAATTTAGTCAAAATCGGGCCAGTGTTGTCTAAGATCGTGTGGGTTAGCGAGACTCATCCCTGAGCATGTGTGCCAAATTTCATCACTCTGAGTCAAACAGATCGCGACATAAACACGTGCCCGTTATAGCGCCACTGTGTGGTCGATATGAATGTTACTGCATGTGTTGAGTCTTGACAGTGTTTGCAACATGTGTACCAAATTTTGTTACAATACCAATATCCTTGACTGTTTCATATACATTTATTTGTCAGACCACACCCACGTGAATGTTTATTGGTCAATAGGTACCTAGTCTGGAGAATATTGCATTGAGAGAGACTTTTGTACATAGATGCCACATATCACGATACCAAAACGAAAATGATACCAACATTTTAGAATACCGTTTCATATGATACTACCACATTTTTCGGCCCTACCGATCTAAAGAACCGGCTTGCGCTGGTTATAAAATGTTTATAAAGTCAGTTTTGTTTATACATTTTAAGCAACAGCAACCAGTCTCTTGTATGCGCCAGTCCAATAATGTCCTTCACGTTCATGCACATCTCACGTGTAATGAGCCAGCCACATCCCCTACCAGCCGTCACTCGCTTGTTTCTCTTCGTCCGCACTTCTTGTGCCTCTATTCCTCCATCAGTTTTTAAAATAGCCCGAACTGTAAAATAAATATGACCCATATTACCGAACCTACCTTTTGTTCTTCCTGTGCGATTTCGCCCGCATTGTACAGTGGGGAGAACAAGTATTTGATACACTGCCGATTTTGCAGGTTTTCCTACTTACAAAGCATGTAGAGGTCTGTAATTTTTATCATAGGTACACTTCAACTGTGAGAGACGGAATCTAAAACAAAAATCCAGAAAATCATATTGTATGATTTTTAAGTAATTAATTTGCATTTTATTGCATGACATAAGTATTTGATCACCTACCAACCAGTAAGAATTCCGGCTCTCACAGACCTGTTAGTTTTTCTTTGAAGCCCTCCTGTTCTCCACTCATTACCTGTATTAACTGCACCTGTTTGAACTCGTTACCTATATAAAAGACACCTGTCCACACACTCAATCAAACAGACTCCAACCTCTCCACAATGGCCAAGACCAGAGAGCTGTGTAAGGACATCAGGGATAAAATTGTAGACCTGCACAAGGCTGGGATGGGCTACAGGACAATAGGCAAGCAGCTTGGTGAGAAGGCAACAACTGTTGGCACAATTATTAGAAAATGGAAGAAGTTCAAGATGACGGTCAATCACCCTCGGTCTGGGGCTCCATGCAAGATCTCACCTCGTGGGGCATCAATGATCATGAGGAAGGTGAGGGATCAGCCCAGAACTACACGGCAGGACCTGGTCAATGACCTGAAGAGAGCTGGGACCACAGTCTCAAAGAAAACCATTAGTAACACACTACGCCGTCATGGATTAAAATCCTGCAGCGCATGCAAGGTCCCCCTGCTCAAGCCAGCGCATGTCCAGGCCCGTCTGAAGTTTGCCAATGACCATCTGGATGATCCAGAGGAGGAATGGGAGAAGGTCATGTGGTCTGATGAGACAAAAATATAGGTTTTTGGTCTAAACTCCACTCGCCGTGTTTGGAGGAAGAAGAAGGATGAGTACAACCCCAAGAACACCATCCCAACTGTGAAGCATGGTTGTGGAAACATCATTGCAAACAAAGGTTTCTGTACCAAATATTAAGTTCTGCTTTTCTGATGTATCAAATACTTATGTCATGCAATAAAATGCAAATTAATTACTTAAAAATCATACAATGTGATTTTCAGGATTTTTGTTTTAGATTCCGTCTCTCACAGTTGAAGTGTACCTATGATAAAAAATTACAGACCTCTACATGCTTTGTAAGTAGGAAAACCTGCAAAATCGTCAGTGTATCAAATACTTGTTCTCCCCACTGTATATTATTTCTGAAAGTATGTTGTGGGCAGTTTTTAAACTAATCCCGGGTTGCTAATTATTGGTTTGATAAACAATTCAGTCATGTTGGCTAGCTAGCAAACAACCTGCTAACTTGACAGTATGTCTAGGTAAATTTGATTGGCACAGGAATAAAGGAAAAGGGTCTGCTAGTCATGAGATGTGCTTCAAAGGTAGGATTAGTATAGGCCTAATGTAAGCCGAAACTGTACTGACCAAAAATATAAACGCAACATGTAAAGTGTTATTTCATGAACTGAAATAAAAGATCCCAGAAATTTTCCATGTACACAAAAAGCTTATTTCTGAACTTTTGTGCACAAATTTGTTTACATCCTGTTAGTGAGGATTTCTCCTTTGCCAAGATAATCCATCCACCTGCAGGTGTGGCATGTCAAGAAGCTGATTAAACAGCACGATCATTACACAGCCGCACCTGTGCTGGTTTTGTCACACAACACAATGCCACGGATGTCTCAAGTTTTGAGGGATTTGGCATGCTGACGGCAGGAATGTTAATTTCTCTACCATAAGTCGCCTCCAACGTCGTACATCCAACCGGCTTCACAACTGCATACCACGTGTAACCACGCCAGCCCAGGACCTCCACATCTGGCTTCTTCACCTGCTGGATTTTCTGAGACCAGCCACCCGGACAGCTGATGAAACTGTGGGTTTGCACAACTAAAATAATTTCTGCACAAACTGTCAGAAACTGTCTCAGGGAAGCTCATCTGTGTGCTCGTCGTCCTTACCTGGATCTTGACCTGACTGCAGTCGTGTGGGCGAGCGGTTTGCTGATGTCAACGTTGTGAACAGAGTGCCCCATGGTGGGGTTGAGGCATAAACTACAGACAATGAACACAATTGCATTTTATTGATGGCAATTTGAATGTAAAATCGTTGAAATTGTTGCATGTTGCGTTTTTATATTTTCTTCAGTGTATATAAAATATCTATCCCTTTCTGGTGCTCCTTAAATTCTGTTTGGTTGCCTGTTTTTTACATTTGGGAGTGAGAGCCGTGTGTGTTTTGAGAGGGAGGGAGACCGAGTGTGTCTGTGTTAACTGAAGAGTAAAGAAGGGTTCATGCAGTGTTTTCCCCTTACTGCCACAATGACATGCAGATCATTATGCATGTATATTCATTCCTTCCTCCCATTCCTCTAGCCAAATCACAGGTCGGCCTTTGCAAATATGAGCAAATCAGCCATTCTATGCAGTATTCTATTATACAGTGTGAAGTTAATTATATATTTTGTGTTGAGTAGAAGTGTGAATATCAGTGACAGGATGTTGAAAAAACGGGAACAAGCATCCGGGGGATCGCTATACTACTCAGTATGGTGATACTTGGCCTGGTATCATGTCATTAGTAAAATGTTGGTATCGTGACAACACTTCTTAAAGTACATTTATTTTTGTAAAGTTTTCAGTGGAAATTGTTAAGTAGTCCTTGACTTTAAGTAGTCCTTGATGCTGAGTCTCTGCATCATTCTGTTACTGTGGAAGTGCCCATCCCTATTTTGAGCCAGTGGAAATGTCATTCTCCTGCTTGATACTGGGGATTCTTTCATAGTGTCTCTTATCCACACTTGAATGACTCAGGCCAAAAACGGAGTTAACCTATCTGGTGCGTGGCTGTGGTCTTACTTTCATCTGACGTGATCCTTTCTTCATCCTATTCTCTGGCAGAGATCCGTCATGGGTTGATCGGAGTGGGTCTGATCAATGTGGAGGACCGATCAGGGATTCTGTCTCTGGACAAAGGTGAGACTGGCTGTAACTTTAAGACTTGTCAGATTACAATTAAAAAGTATAAGATTGTACGGTTCTTTCGGTACATTACACTATCCTCTCCTTCCCAGACTACAACAACATAGGGAAGTTCCTGAACCGTATCCTGGGGATGGCAGTGCAGGAGCAGAACGCTCTGTTCCAGTACTTCTCTGACACGCTGGCAGCTGTCATACAGAACGCCAAGAAGAACGGACGCTACGACATGGGCATCCTGGGTAAGATTGGAGAGGAACCTTTTTTTGTTGTTAAATTAGATTATTGACAGCTACTGTGAATGAGGGACTATACTGTGCATGACACCTGCAGTATTAACTGATTGGAGCTGTGTTTATCTTGTCTTGTAGACCTGGGTTCTGGGGATGAGAAGGTGAAGAAGATCGAAGCCAAGAAGTTCCTGACCCCAGGCTACTCCACCTCAGGACATGTGGAGCTCTACACGGTACGGCTAACCATTTGTTTTTCCCAATAGGCGACAACAGAAACTGGTTTAACCAGGAATTCTTATCTTACGTCTCCAGTGGACTGGTAGCCATTTTCCATGTTGTAAATACTGTCTCTGTATTGTCTGTCAGGTGAGTGTGGAGAGAGGCATGTCCTGGGAGGATGCCACCCACGCCTGGGCCGAGCAGAGTGGACCAGATGATGGCTTCTATGTACAGGTACCAAAAGACCAACAAGATGTTTTCATGTCTTCTCTACTGAGTTTGGCAAACTCTACATTGTGGATCATCAACTAGATTCAGCCACGGATGGTCAGGGGGCTGGAACGTAATTAGACATTTGTAGAGCCTCCCGAGTGGCGCAGCAGTCTAAGGCACTGCATCACAGTGTTGTGGCGTCACTACAGCCTGTGGTTCGATCCCAGGCTGTGTCACAATCGGCCGTGACCGGGAGTCCCATAGGGCGGTGCACAATTGGTCCCAGCATCATCCAGGTTAGGGGAGGGTTTGGCCGGGGGGACTTTACTTGGCTCATCACGCTCTAGCGACTCCTTGTGGCGGGCCGGGCGCCTGCAGGCTGACATCGGTCATCAGTTGAACGGTGTTTCCTCCAACACATTGGTTCAGCTGGCTTTCCGGGTTAAGTGAGCGGGTGTTAAGAAGCGCAGCTTGGCGGGTCATGTTTCGGAGGACGCATGACTCGACCTTTGCCTCTCCCGAGCCCGTTGGGGAGTTGCATCGACGAGACAAGATGGAAATCCGATATTGGAGAGAGAAAAGGGGGTGAAAAATTACAATAAATAAAAATATAAAAATTGTGGACTGCAAATTGGACCAAGAAGGCCCAAACATATATAATATTTGACTAAAACATAATTTCAAACCTTGCATACGTTTGGATATTTTTGACTGCCATAACATTTCTCTAAGAACATTTTTAGTTTTACAAACTCTAGTTGTAACATTGCTGTATTTTGCTGATTCCCAGATAAGGAACAACAAGAAGACGGCCATCTTGGTGCAGGAGGTGAACAGTAAGAAGAGGCTGTTCCTGGTCTACAGACCGAACACGGGCAAACAGCTTAAACTGGAGACCTACGCTGACATCAAGAAGAAGTGTAAAAAGGTGCTGTCAGATGATGCCAAGCAGCATTGGATCGACCAGTACAAGTCTTCAGCTGAGATCTGCGCTCATGCTTACTGGTAGGTGCTGTTTCTCCTATGACTTTAAAGTTGTAGTGGTGGTTTTGGCGGAGTCATCAAGTTCACTACCAGGTCTTACTCTTTACTAGTATAGTTGTATGAACTAGTCAGGTAAGAGGTGAATCATGTGTTTATTAACCCCGTCTCCTCCCTCCCTTCAGGCGTGGTAACTGTAAGAAGATGTCTGTGGGTCTGCAGTGTGAGGTGGGTCTGCGCTGCAGGACGTACTATGTGCTGTGTGGCTCTGTGCTCAGCGTGTGGACCAAGGTGGAGGGGGTCCTGGCCTCCGTCAGCGGAACCAATGTCAAGATGCAGATCGTCCGCCTCAGGACAGAGGACGGGCAGAGGATCGTGGGTAAGTCGATGCTGGAAGAGTTTTGGGCAGAATACATTTTTCTACGCTTTTGAAAATGTTCCCTTTTAATGTATTTTACCGGAGGAGTATTCTACCAAAGTAGAAGCTGCTCCCTCTCCTCCCCAACAAGTGACATTTTAAATGAACAGTCATTGAAATTAGGTTGGACTACGTGGACGGGAGCGAATGTACTTTTTTTTCCTAACGTGGTTATTTCCTATCTCTTTCTGTCTCGTGTCCAGGCCTGATCATTCCAGCCAACTGCGTCTCTCCTCTGACCAACATCCTGTCCTCATCTGACCAGTCTCAGCAACTTGCTGTTCAGCAGCAGCAGAAGTGGCAGCAGCTGCACCCTCAGAGCCTCAGCCACATACACAACACATAGCATGGCTTCACCACCCAGTCCGACCTGATGGGCTTCGACCCCCATCTCCGCCTCCGCCCTGGGTTCTTGACCCAACCTGATGGGATACGACCATATTTCTATTTGGATCTCCACCTCTGCACCACCACCACCACCACCACCCCCCCACCCCCTTCTCCTCCCTAGCTCCCTCTCTGTTCCTCATGAGGAACCTGAGGTGCTGCGAGCTCTGAGTTGTGGTTCTCCCTGTAGCTAAACTGTGGTGGCAGTGTTAAGATTTCAGGGTTTATGTCCAAAGAAGAGACTGTCTCGCTGTTGTTACCAAGAGGAGTTGGCTTGACGACTACTATCCCTCAGATTCAGAGCTGAAGATTTAGAAGAGGCTGTGGTGATAAAGGGGGGAGAGGAGAGGACGCATGTCAGAGTGGAGAAGAGGGGCATTATTAAAATGCCTGACTGTTTTTCTGTTACCTTCTTTCCTCCCCCTCTAAGCTCTGTAAACGTGCCCTGTGCTTTCTGTTGGTGACTTGTTCCTACCACTGCCTTCTCTACTGAAAGCTGGGGGGGCGTCACCTAGGTTTTTGTTTTCTACTGGTGACAGGACAGTGCTCAGGGGTTCATTAAGCTTTACATTGACCCGTTTTTTCAAACAAACTGACATTTTATAAAATGTCTACCTGAGATGCATGACTACACACACGCCAACTGCTTTCTTTCCTCATTTTTGTTTTTACTCATGACTCAAGTCTCAGGCATGACAACTACTCTCACCATTGCTAAATCGAAAATGGCACCCTATTCCCTAGATAGTCCACTACCTTTACGTTGTGCACAATATAACTAATGGGGTGTAATTTCATTGACTAACAGAAGTGTATCAAACATGGGTGTATCCCATAAACCTACAGTTGTGTTTACAGCTTGGCTATTGAGAACTGTGACCGTGTGTGGTGTAAAATACACGTTTTATTTTCCTAAATTAATTCCTCTGCATTCAAAAGATTTTTGGAACGGGTTGTTTAATATGTGGCATCAGATTCAACATCTTGTACTATCAAACTCTACGGCAAACTACAGCAAATAACACTCCTGGAGTGGTATTATACAACTGTACTTGAAAGGTCATAGATCTTGTTTGTTGATACAAGCTGTCTAATATACCGCTACAGTAAAAGTTAGTATTCAAGAAAGTGTTTGTTGCTGAACTCCAAACTGACCCCTTGCTTCTACCTCCTGTAGGTGCTGGTGTAGATTTGATAGGTGTATCCAATGTGGTAAAGATGGCACAATGGCGGGTGAGGTGGATCTCATTAGCATATTCACTCATATCTATCTGATCCTTTAGATATCCATGAAGTACCTAGGGGTCAGGGGCCATGGGTTTTTGGGATTGGGCACTTGTTCCCTCACTGATTCTGAACGGGAACCTAACCTCCATTCTCCACCAGTCAGCAACATTACTGCTTGGCCTCTGGTAATTTTATATCTGATTTCGTTTTTTCCTTGAGACATGATGCACAGGGGCTGAATACTTTCTAAAAGCTTTTCTTGGTTTAGAGTGCTGTAAGAAGTTATGACGGGTCGGCCTGTTGAGTTTAGGATACTCCTTTGCTATACCAATGTGTATATTGTCATATCTGGAAATAAGAAACCAGTTTTTTGCTTAAATACCTGTTTGTTAAACACTTGAACAGTGTTTCATCCTTGCACGAGTTGCACTACGGACTGATTTGTTGTACAAATAATCTGTATTAAATGATTTAACTGAGTGCAAGATTTCTACCTCTTGCATATGACCAATAAATCCCAAGGAGAAAGTTTGAATCCAGTTTCACTGTTTAAAAATGTAATTCCTGATTTATATTTTATGTATACTTTGCATTGTTATACTTTTTCTTTTATGTGCTATTAATGAAAGAAGCATCTTTATAAATGCCCAAGAAGACATGTTTGTAAAAACATCACGTCCCCACTACTTTTTTATGTGTTTAGATCTCAGGCCATCACTTGGGGGTCAGTACTTTCGCACCATGTCCTATGGGTAATGACGCTGAAAGCTATGATTGGGGCATAGAACGTGGCCGCTGCCGGTCCACCAATGGTCAAGAGACTGACCGCGACCTCTCGAATTGGAGAGGGGTTACATCGTATCAGCATGGGCCCAATAACAGCTTTGGCAAGAGGACGGGAGAACGTTCAGAAGACAGGCTTCCAGTGCACGTGCCTTGTAGTGGAGATTTCTGCTGTTAATATTTAGAGCAGAGGGACATTCTGGGAGGGGAAAGTGTGAACAATTGCGCAACAATGGATGCGTCTCCCAGTCCCCAGACAAAGACGGGTAATCTTAAATGTTTTGTTTTCTGTTCAATTTCCTCTTCCGTTCTGCTATGGTGGTCTACTACAAAGAAGTGTTGCCGAGCAAAAGCAATACTGTTGCATGAGTCACCATCTGAGTAACAGTGTAACTGGATGGGTCTATAGGCTAGATTTTACACACACTAGTATCACATGTAGGAGCTTTTATAGGCAAATTACATTGTTTTAAACTTTTATTTGGTTTTTCTGAGTAATGGAATTGAGACGAATTAATAAATGTTCAAGAAGTTAATTAAATAGTTGCATTACGCTTGAAATTCGACCAAAATGTAAGTTCCACGTGGTCCAGAGATATGGCAACAAAGTGTCCCATGTGTTCTGTGGTGCCGTAGGATTTACCATGTATTTCAATAAAAAGAGGGGGGGTTCAAACGTGAATTAATACTTTATGTAATTTAACTATAAAACTTAAGTATATTTTAAAGTATTGAAATCTGTGTTTTGAAGCATTTTCGGTCATAATATCCCAAATTGACTATTGAGGTGATAGAATATATGCATTGTGGGTGTCAATATAAAGTGACGGCCATATTTGCCGGGTGCCGTTGCTGTAAACAAAAAGTGAGAGACAGACGCTTCACCGAATTTCGGGTCAAATTTATTTCTTTAATTTACAATGTCTCTGGGAATGTCTTACAAACCCAATGTCCACCAGCACATTCCAGGAACTTCCGGGAACCAGGGTAAGGGAAAAATATCGGTTAAAATCCAACCATCCATCCGTTAAATCGAGTGTTAAAATCAGGGTTTCGGAGAATACCTGCAGAAAGACTGTCTGTAGTTTTTGTCCAGTTACATATATAGGGTCAGATCCTGAGAGCTAGGCTAATTCATATCCGCCATTATTACTAATGTAAAAAAGCTCCATCCTCAACTGCATCGGCTAAACAAGGGCAGAGGTGCGGAATTCCATATGTTCCGAAAAATAATCCCCGTTGTTCTGTGTCCTATTCCATCCTGGAGGGTATCGTTACGTTGTGACAAAAAAATGTATCACTTTGGCTTCTTAAGTCAGCCCTTTTCCGCTTCCTCCATGATATTCTCTCGCGGAGCTGTTGATTGATCTGCCAGGGTATTCTTTTATGACCCTTCGAGGACATCTAGTGTTTGACGACGCTTATTGCATTGGAAAAAACATGCCCACTACAACTGTGGGCATTGTTGGCAATGTGAACATGCAATATCTAGAATGTAGAATTTGTACTAACTTATTTTCATCCTCTTTTATACTATCTGCTTAACTGTAATATCATATTTGACCCTAGATATGTTTGTATTTGTCTCCTAACAGTTGGAAACATCCAGGGAAACATCCAGTCTCCGTCAGCAGCCAACTTGGCCACTTTGCAGTCCTACAGGCCGCTGGTGAATGACGTTTACGCACCACCCTCCTTGGGCTTCTCACAGGTACAGGAATTCACAAAACGATAGACAGAAAGAATGACAGACGGACACCCACATTGCGTCTGCTACTTCTACAATGCAGGAAAAAAATTGACATGTTATTAGAAATGCATTGTTAAATCATATGTATCTCCTTTGGTAAAGTGTCTCTTTCCTGTCCCTGTGTGTGCAGGGATCCAGCGGCAGCCAGGTGCCCCAGAGTAAGTATTCAGAGCTGCTGGCCATCATTGAGGAGCTCGGAAAGGAGATCCGGCCCACCTACGCCGGCAGCAAGAGCGCCATGGAAAGACTAAAACGAGGTAATGTGGAAACCTCTGTAGTAATACAATACTTCTATTGTGTGTTGAAACGAACTCCATATTCTAGACTAGACTACACAATAGTCCTCTTCCTAACTTGGTTAGAGAGTTATCAGTCAGTGAATGACAGTTCATTTTGGTGTGTCCTCTTCCCCAAAGGTATCATCCATGCCAGGGGACTGGTGCGGGAGTGCTTGGCAGAGACTGAGAGAAATGCCAGGTCCTAGCTACAGAAGCATTACCCTCTCCTGCAGAAGAACCAACACCCTCTCTCACTCACTCACCATGTAAAAGACTGTTGCATGGCACATCCTCTAAAAAGAGGAATAAAAAAAAACCAAGGGATGGTTAAAAAGGTCAAGAAAATGTTTCTGACAGGTTAAGATTTGAGAAAGGGAGGGAGAGGGGACACCAGAATACAATTCAGAATTAGAAGGATTTGGTTTTTCTTCATGCCCCATTTTGGGGTCATAGTTTCCGGTCTTCATATTTATAACAAATAGTGATTTTAGCATGCAAACGTACGGGTCCACCATGGCCTTTGGTTAATTGTAGACATTGCATGGCTTGTACAGGGTTAGACTAGGAGATTCTCTTTTTGATAGACGTTGGTCTGAATTCCAGACCCTTTTAACACACATGGGTGAGCAAGTGAAGGACAGAAAAGTGCCAAATACATTGGTTCATTCATGTTGAGGTTCTTTTTTGATATTAATGATGAAAATGCTCTTGTGTAACGGAGTTAAGAACATACCGTAAACTCACTCCACAGCTAGCTGGAAATGTCGCCGATGGAGCCATCCAAGGGGTACCTTTTGTATGGCTCAATAGGTTTGCACGTTTACAAGGAGGGCAGTCAGGTGCGTTTGCGAAGCAGAGGATCACTGGTTCTAGCCCAGTATGGGGTAGTCGGACAGTGGAGGAAGCTAAGCTGTTAGCAGCACACTGACCCCTGTAACACTTGCATCTTTGTATGTATTTATTACTCAGTGTAATAAAATGTATTTTCAATACAAATGTCATTGTTTGGAAAAGAATGTGAAAATGTGTTAAAATAATCCAAGTGGTCTCATAATCCATATTTTCCTCCTGAGGAGCAAGGTTATATGTTCCCGACTTGAATAGATTAGAGGGTCAATATTGAGATATTAGACAGTCAGTGTAAGGTCAAAGTTTGTCTTGGTTGAATAGAGGGAATAGGATGGAGATATCTGGGCAATAGTAGTACAGCAGAACCATTGACCATTAATCTTCATCTTGTTCAGGAAGTGGAGGGCCAGATCGCTCAGAGCATCTCTGAGGATGGACTTCTGGATGAGCAGGACGTTGCAGCCCGCCTTCTTGATCTGTTTGACAAGGTTTATGATGTAGGGGAAAATAGTGATTAATTCCTTGAACATTGCATAACCCCTACAGCAAGACTAAAACAACAAGCACTATTTGAACTGGTGACGAACAGAATACATGATGTAGTCTAGGGTAATGAATGAACCGGGTCAGAGAGACATTTAATATTTACCATAAAAATATGGGATTTAACTAGGTAAGGCACATTCAGTAGAAGTAGCTATCAATGTTACAATCGCAGACCGGGTTGGGGAGTAACTGATTACATGTAATTTTATTTTTTACGAACTAATCTGTTTCGTTACTAGCAAAAATATTGTACTCACATTACAGATACTTTTGAAAAACTAGATTACTTCTTGGAATACTTTTAAATTCAGAAAGGATGTTTGAGGAAAAAAATACATTATGACACCTTTCTGTTTTCTCAATGACATTCAATTCATCATTGAAAAAAAAGCCAAGTTTATGTTTGTTCCATCTGAGCAGGTCTATGACCACAAGTCAGAGACCACTATGATGACACACCAAATGCGTTTGATGAATCCTTTTTGTCTTCTAATGCCTCTTAAAAAATATTTTTGGATTGTGTTATATCATATTGCACAACAGCTGATGAAACTAACACTGTAAAAGCGTGAAAATTGATCAGTGTTATTTCCAGATAATACGGGGAAATACAATCTACACAGGACCTTGTAATCAGCTGGTTTGCATGGGTGGGAGTTTTGGCTTTCCATGGTGACACCACTGTGCAGTAAATTGGTTAATTGACCAATAACAAAGAGAGTTCCAAACTTAAACCAATAACAACTAGTTTTCCAAATTCTTGCTTGAGAAATCGTTTTTTGCTAAAAAGTTATTTTTGCCCATTTTAATGGAAATGTATTACACTAAGGTACTTAATTGTTACCCAGAAATGATATAAAGACAGCTGCATTGGGCCTTTGGGTGATCTCTGTAGCAGAAGTGAGTAGGACTTTCTATGCGTGTTAACCCTTGCAAGGCTACCGGCCCGGACAGGATACCAAGCCAAGTCCTCAGTGCATACACAGACCAGCTGTCTGGGGTGTTTACGGACATATTCAACCTCTCCTTATCCCAGTCTGTTGTCCCTACTTGCTTCAAGATGTCCATCATTTTTCCTGTACCCAAGCAAGCTAAGGTAACGGAACTAAATGGCGTCTGCTAAATGGCATATTATTATTATTATATTATTATAAATGACTCGCCCCGTAGGACTCATCTCTGTCATCATAAAGTGCTTTGAGAGGGTAGTCAAGGACCATATTACCTCCACCTTGCCCAACACCAAAGACCTACTACAATTTACATACCTTACCAACAGATCCACGGACGACGCAATCGCTGTTGCACTGCACACCACCCTATCCCACCTGGACAAAAGGAATACCTATGTGAGAATGCTTGCTCCCTGTGCAACTGAGTCCTAGATTTCCTGAAGGCCAAACCCAGGGGTTGAGAGTAGGAAACAACACATCTACCACGCTGATCCTCAACAAGTGGGCCACCCAGGGGTGTATGCTCAGCCCTCTCCTGTACTCCCTGTTCACCCATGAATGCGTGGCTACGCACGACACCAACTCAATCATCAAGTTTGCTGATAGCCTGATTACCAATAACGATGAGACAGCCTACAGGGAGGAGGTTATAGCCCTGGCGGACTGGTGCCAGGAAAATAACCTCTCACTCAACCTAAAAAAAAAAAAAGGAGCTGATAGTGGACTACAGGGGACAGAAGAGGGAGCATGCCCCCACCCACATTAACGGGCACAGAGGAGAGGGTCAAAAGTTTCAAGTTCCTTGGCGTGCACATCACTGATGACCTGAAATGGTCCCACCACACCGACACTGTGGTGAAGAAGGCGCAACCGCGCCACTTCAACCTCAGGTGGTTGAAGAAATTTGGCATGGCCCCTAAGACCCTAACAAACTTCTACAGATGCACCATTGAGAGCATTCTGTTGGGGTGCATCAACGCCTGGTAAGGAAACTGCACCGTCCTCAACCACATGGCTCTCCAGAGGGTGATGCGGTCAGCCCAACACATCACAGGTGGCACGCTGCCTGCCCTCCAGGACATTTACAGCACTCTGTGTCAAAGGAAGGCCAAGAAGATCATCAAGAACCTCAGCCATGAGCCACTGTCTGTTCACTCTGCTACCATCTAGCAGACAGAGACGGTACAGGTGCATCAGAGCTGGGACAGATAGACTTGAGAAACAGTTTATTTTCTATCTCCAGGCCGTCACTGTTGAACAGCCATCACTAGCCGGCTACTTGCCCGGTACTCTGCCCTGTAACATATTTGAACAATGTCAAAGTAACTAGTGGAGATATGAAACAGTTGTTTATATTGTAGCTAAAACTTAGCTTTTATATTCGTTTATTTAGCTATACAAGCAAGATAAAACTGCACACCTCTGAGAGCCAGCCATCTAGACCAGCTGACAGCTAACTATGCTAGCTAGCTAAATCAAGGGGAAGGGAAACAACAGTATATAAACAGCCTATGAGGTCACGTTCAATGACTTACATATTGGGCATTAGTCTAAACGTGCGGGTACGTGTCATGTAAAAATCTTCCCAGCGTGAAATAGTTCCCAATCGTTCTGTAATTTAGATTTGCTCACACTGTGAAAATGTTCAGGAATTGCACGTGCGTTTCTAAAGTGGATGCCTCTCTCTCACACCCTCCTTACTGTGTATGTATCTGTATTCTCGAAATAGCTAATATACCTACTACTGTACATACCATTTTCTTTCCTAATTATATACTGTCTGTACACACCACGTATTTATATTCGGACACATGCTCACTCATATCTACTCTGGATTGTTCATTGGACTCGTTCTCTCATTTCTATATTTTTTTGTTTCGATTTTGGGATTATTTGTGTATTTGTATTGTGTTTACGTGACATTCTACTGCACTGTTGGATCTAGTAACATATATATTTCACGAGTTTGGATAATCCAAAAAGTATGTTACGGATTAACATTTAGACAGGTAACTAACTAGTAACTGTAACGGATTACATTTAGAAAGTAACCTACCCAACCCCGATTGCAGATAACAATTTAACAATCGCATATTTGTTAGATTGTAACAACAGTTTTGTATCCCGCGTGTTAAATTGAATTTCTCTACCACACTGCAGCGAATGTATAATTTCCTATAAATTCTACCAATCATGTCCACTGCACTGTGCATCACAGCAAATCATAAGGGATGAATGAGAGAGACAGCCAATCAGATAACTAGTTTTCGATTTCATTCGGCCAATTAGACATTGCGTAATGTTTTGCCGTTGAACGTTGTGCTGCTGCACTGCTAGCTAGCTAGCTAACGTTAACTGCAGTAGACTAGCTAGCTAGCTAGCTAGTATTGTTGAAGATAAAATATGGGTGAAGTTACGTTACAAGTTAACTGGTAAGTTAAAGCTAGCTTTATTCAAATTCTTATTAATCTACTTTACATATTAACTATGAATCGATTATGTGCTTATTGAGCCTAACGAAGGCGCTAGTTTCAATCATTTTCAAGATGTAACGTTACTGTTAGCTAGCTAATCGTAAACGTTGATGCTTGCAAACCTGTCAGTTAGGCTAGCATGTTTAATGCTGGTTAATGCCCATGTCAGCTATATCTTGCAAGGCTTCTGCTCTAATCTGATCCAGCAAGTGTATGCAAGTTATTCTTTGAATGAAACTGCCACAGTTAAATTGAAAGTTTGATTATGATCACCAAAGGGCCTAGCCACTCACATCACAGCCCTGGTCAATATATTTAATGTCTGTACTCTGTATGGAGTTTAAAGGGACAGTTCACCCTGAAACAGTTGGTCAATTGTAACTTCAGACCTTTCCCCTCTTATCTCCTGCAAGTATTAACCCTGTAGGTTAAGGGAGAACTGTCTCCCTCCTTCCACTTATTGATTGTCCCCCTCTATCTCCCCTGTAGGTATCAGACTCTCCCCCAGGTTGCGGGCCCATAAGCATGTCCACAGATGACAGTATCTCTGAGGATGTGTCCAGCCTGGGGGCCCTGAGCCACTGCCATGCCGATGCCAACGGGGAAGGGGGTAAGGAGAGTGAGTCCTCAGAGGGCACCTCAGCAGCCTCTGGCCTGGGGCTGGGACTTGAACTTGGGTTGGGGCTGGCCAGGACAGAGGAACGCAACACCACCTCCAAGACTGCAGGGGGAACCGTAGATGGGAGAGCTGAAGACATCACACCAGCATGCAGTCTCCCCAACAAGATCAGGTGTGTGAAGACTGTGGACTCTGACTAGAGGTGTCAGTGTAGGAGGTTTCGAAATAAGTGTGCTACATTGAGTAATCCAACCTAGTCCCTTTTCCTGACTCCTGTGTACTGTGTTCCCTAGGAGCCTGTGTCTGAGTACGGAGGAGGCCTTTGGGCCTGGCAAGAGCCTCCCCTTCATCAACCCCTCCTCCCTGGAGACCCTCAGAGCCTTGGTCCAGGAGATCCAGAGTAGTGGGGAGACTGACCCGGAGATGTGGAAGGACTGTGAGGTAGGAATGTGTCTGTGTTCTTGTGTAACTGCAAGGGTAGGATGGACAACAGACAAATCAATATATAGGATACTATATATTTAGTGTGGAAGGGCTGCCAAGTAGTAATACAGCCACTGATAGAGAAATGTCTGTGGCAGTTAGTATGTCAGAGAAGTTTGTGTGATTGTGTGTGTGTGTGTGTTCTCTGAACTACTCCCTGCGAAGGGTGATGCTGGGGTTAGCTGGTGTGGTCATTATTCTCCTGCAGCACGTTGGGCAGCCGGCAGTCTCATCCCTCCTCTGTCGCTTCTGCTGTCCCTGTGGATCTCAGCTGACAGCACACACACACTTGGTCCCCAGACTGCACACAACACACAACTGCAGCTGATCTCTTCAGACAGGACATGATTTGTGGGGAATAGACAACGGTGAGGCTGGCAGCAGTGCCACCTCATCTCACACAGAAGAAAACACACTGGAGAGAATGTACTGTATTCCCCAGCTTTAAATACAGGGATCTAAATCAGGGCGATATGGACAAAAATCCATACCGTGATAAATTACCTGAACTGATCCGATAACAATAAATAGAACGATAAGTTTATAACATTAATGTGCACCACTTTTATTTATGTATTACCCTTTAAACTACTACTACTAGTTTGATTGTTGTAGCCATCAATTGTTCCATTAACAATCACCAATATTAGCACATTTATTTCATTTCCAACTTCACATTTCACTTGTATAGGCTACTTGTCGTAATGATCGATATCAGCAAAATGCCTGCATCCCAGCTCTACAGGGATCTTTCCCAATTACCTTAATAACCTCCTGCCCTCTTTTCTCATTCATCTTTCCTGATCTGAAAACACAGGCTAGATTACTTTTGAGATGCAACCCATACCCAAATCTGTTACTGTGCCCAGAAAAGATGAACATTTAACCTATATATGAATATGTGCAAACAGCTGAGTCTCATAAAAAGGGAATCGGTGAGTTTCTTATGGGCTGTAATATCAGCTCCCTGGGTGCTTGGCATAGTACAACTTCTTCACCTTTCTCACATCATAACTGGAGCACCTCCCCCCCCCCACACACACAGACCCCTGCTGCGAGCCTAACTCACAGCTGTGACACTTCTTCCCTCCAATCAGAACATTTTACTGTTTTCCATATTCACATTCACACTGGAAATGTGCCCAAAACTCGTAAGAGGAAATCTTTTCAAATGCTTTCTGGATTTCACTGTACTATACAGACCTTATGTTGAAGATGTGTATGTGTCTTTGTTCAACAGGGCCGATGGCTGCATCTGTTCCAGCTAGTAGAGAAACAGTACCAAGAACAGATCCTGGCTCAGCAAGAACAGTACCAGTGCCAAATACAGGTCTGTATTACTATTTGAGTGTGTGTGACTAGTGCCAAATACAGCTCTGAACTATACTTCAAGAATCCCTGAAAATACATGTTATGATGCCTGTTTACACTGTGATTATTTTCCTCCTCCAGCTGATTCAGGATGAGATCAAAGCCTTGGTTCAGCTCCAGAACCGCCAGACCAGCACACAGATGCACCACGATTACCCATATACCCCTACTGCTACCACTAACACACAGACACATCACAATTACCCATCTACTCTGTCTACTGTCACACAGACACACCCAGACTACACCTCTTCCGCTGTTGTTACTACCAACCACCCTTCACCCTCCACGGACCTTCCCAATGGGAACTCGCCTCTCTCTGCTCCCCCCACCTCCCTCTCTGCCCCACAACCCGTTCTGAGCCTCACCTTCCCTCTACCCCCATCCCCTCGGCCAGGGCCGGTCACCCCAAGAGAGAGGTGGGCTGAGGGGGCAGGGACGGTGCTGAGCAGTGGGTACGGGACCCTGTCAGCCTGGGGGTCATGGCTGGAGGGGACAAAGACTCCGGGGGGAGTAGAGGAGAGAGGCCGGGGTATAGAGGAGCCTGGCTGGTCCCTTCACCTCCAGGACTACACAGAGACCATTCTGATTGGCCAGGAGGGTCAGCAGAGGAGTGCCTCGGCCAATGAGGTGGCTCCTAGAGACAATCCTAGTACACCACCTGAGCAGCAGAGAACCTCCAGCCAACCGCTGACCACTTGGGCTCAAAGACAGAGACGCAGCAAACCCAAGAAGAGCAGGGTGGGGCAGGCCCAACCTCCCCTGGCCTCCCCCTCACCCCTCCAGGCCCCGTCCCCGGGCCAGAGCGGCCCTCAGACCTCTTCCTCCCAGGAGCAGCAGCCCTGCCCCAGGCAGAGCCCTAGAGACAGCCCCCTGGAGAACACTGACCTCCAGGACCAGGTACACCTAACACCAGACAACACACACCTGCCAGTTCCGTTTTAATTTATAGTAGCTGGATAAAATGATGTAAAACTCTTTGGATTACTAGACTCAGTATAGTGCTCTGGCATTTTGTTTCATCACCTTGTATTTTGTCTGTGTGTGTCACTGTGTTTGTCCGGCTTTATATGGGTCACAGTCAGTTGAAACAGGATTCCTTGTGGGGAAGCATTTTGAAAAGGATAAGAGTAAAGACTGGAGTAAGCTTTGGGTCTCATTCTCTCTCCTCTCCTCTGTTCATGTCTCTTCGCTCTGCTTTCAGCATGGGTCGGCTGCTACCTTCAATAACTCCTTCCCTCTGAAGAGAAGTGACAGCCTCATGTCCGAGGCCTCAGGTAACGACACACACACACAGACACAGGCCTCTTTGTATTCGCTTTAAACATTGGCCTACATGCTGAGAGCTCTTGTCACCTTGTTGAATAACACTGTTGCCTTTGCTTGAGCAGCAGTTCTGAAATGCGGTCAAAGCAATAATGCTAAGTGCTTGTAGTAACGTAGTTATAAAGCAGAATAGTATTTAGGTATTTTATCAGGATCCCCATTACATTTTACATTTACGTCATTTAGCAGACGCTCTTATCCAGAGCTTTTGCAAAAGTAGCAGTTACTCTTCCTAGGATCCACACAAAACATGAAACATGACATAATACAGAATATTACTAGACAAGAACAGCTCAAGGACAGAACTACATAAAACATTTTAAAGGTTGTTATAATGTAGTAATACGTGTCTGCTTCTTGTCCTTCAGGTCTGACGTACTGGCGCCTGGATGAAAGTGAGCTCTACCGCCCCCTACCTGACAGCTTCGACAGTGGAGCCTACCTCCTGCTGCAGGAGGCATCTATCAGTCTGGTAGGTGAAGGACAAAAAGACAACCCAAACTTGTTCCATCTAAATACAGTGTTTGTTTTCATTGTGCTGAAAAAGTTAGTCTCTTCAGCATCTACATTAGGGGAATCCCACAAATGTGCAGACCTCAATCCCAAGTAAATAAAAACAAATTGGACCACCTCCCTCCATTGTATTAGTTTGTTGTGTGTCTCTCTCTGTGTCTCCCAGACCTCTCCAGAGGACCAGAAGCTGTCTCTCAGAGAGATCTACCACAACAAGCAGAGAACTACTGAATCTAAACATTGGGACCGCTCTCTCACCTGCAGCCCCACGTCACCACAGGTATACACATACACACACCGGGGTTGGGCGGTATCCAGATTTTCATACCGTTTCTGTACCATACCAGGGTATAAGGTATTACCATAAGTGCACACAAGGGGTGCTATAAAAAAAGAATCAAGCTATCTAGTTACAGTGCCTTCGGAAAGTATTCAGACCCCTTGACTTTTTCCACATTTTGTTACATTACAGCCTTATTCTAAAATGGATGAAATAAAACAATTTCCTCATCAATCTACACAGAATACCCCATAATGACAAAGCGAAAATAGGTTTTTAGATTGTTTTGCAAATTTATTAAAAACAAAAAACAGAAATACCTTATTTACATAAGTATTCAGACCCTTTGCTATGAGACTCGAAAAATGAGCTCAGGTGCACCCTGTTTCCATTGATCATCCTTGAGCTGTTTCTACAACTTGATTGGAGTCCACCTGTGGTAAATGTAATTTTAAATGATTTGGAAAGGCACACACCTGTCTATATCAGGTCCCACAGTTGACAGTGCATGTCAGAGCAAAAACCAAGCCATGAGGTCGAAGGAATTGTCCGTAGAGCTCCGAGACAGGATTGTGTCGAGGCACAGATCTGGGGAAGGGTACCAAAACATTTCTGCAGCATTGAAGGTCCACAAGAACACAGTGGCCTCCATCATTCTTAAATGGAAGAAGTTTGGAACCACCAAGACTCTTCCTAGAGCTGGTCGCCTGGCCAAACTGAACAATCGGGGGTGAACAAGAACCAAAGGCTCATTATTGGGTATTGTGTGTAGATTGAGGACATATCTTTTCTTAAAAATCCATTTAGAATAAGGCTGTAACATAACAAAATGTGGAAAAAGTAAAGGGGTCTGAATACTTTCCAAATGCACTGTACATCTACAGTGGGGAGAACAAGTATTTGATACACTGCCGATTTTGCAGGTTTTCCTACTTACAAAGCATGTAGAGGTCTGTCATTTTTATCATAGGTACACTTCAACTGTGAGAGACGGAATCTAAAACAAAAATCCAGAAAATCACATTGTATTATTAAGTAAGTAATAATTTGCATTTTATTGCATGACATAAGTATTTGATCACCTACCAACCAGTAAGAATTCCAGCTCTCACAGACCTGTTAGTTTTTCTTTAAGAAGCCCTCCTGTTCTCCACTCATTACCTGTATTAACTGCACCTGTTTGAACTCGTTACCTGTATAAAAGACACCTGTCCACACACTCAATCAAACAGACTCCAACCTCTCCACAATGGCCAAGACCAGAGAGCTGTGTAAGGACATCAGGGATAAAATTGTAGACCTGCACAAGGCTGGGATGGGCTACAGGACAATAGGCAAGCAGCTTGGTGAGAAGGCAACAACTGTTGGCGCAATTATTAGAAAATGGAAGAAGTTCAAGATGACGGTCAATCACCCTCGGTCTGGGGCTCCATGCAAGATCTCACCTCGTGGGGCATCAATGATCATGAGGAAGGTGAGGGATCAGCCCAGAACTACACGGCAGGAACCGGTCAATGACCTGACGAGAGCTGGGACCACAGTCTCAAAGAAAACCATTAGTAACACACTACGCCGTCATGGATTAAAATCCTGCAGCGCACGCAAGGTCCCCCTGCTCAAGCCAGCGCATGTCCAGGCCCGTCTGAAGTTTGCCAATGACCATCTGGATGATCCAGAGGAGGAATGAGAGAAGGTCATGTGGTCTGATGAGACAAAAATAGAGCTTTTTGGTCTAAACTCCACTCGCCGTGTTTGGAGGAAGAAGAAGGATGAGTACAACCCCAAGAACACCATCCCAACCGTGAAGCATGGCGGTGGAAACATCATTCTTTGGGGATGCTTTTCTGCAAAGGGGACAGGACGACTGCACTGTATTGAGGGGAGGATGGATGGGGCCATGTATCGCGAGATCTTGGCCAACAACCTCCTTCCCTCAGTAAGAGCATTGAAGATGGGTCGTGGCTGGGTCTTCCAGCATGACAACGACCTGAAAACACACAGCCAGGGCAACTAAGGAGTGGCTCCGTAAGAAGCATCTCAAGGTCCTGGAGTGGCCTAGCCAGTCTCCAGACCTGAACCCAATAGAACGTCTTTGGAGGGAGCTGAAAGTCCGTATTGCCCAGCGACAGCCCCGAAACCTGAAGGATCTGGAGAAGGTCTGTATGGAGGAGTGGGCCAAAATCCCTGCTGCAGTGTGTGCAAACCTGGTCAAGACCTACAGGAAACGTATGATCTCTGTAATTGCAAACAAAGGTTTCTGTACCAAATATTAAGTTCTGCTTTTCTGATGTATCAAATACTTATGTCATGCAATAAAATGCAAATTAATTACTTAAAAATCATACAATGTGATTTTCTGGATTTTTGTTTTAGATTCCGTCTCTCACAGTTGAAGTGTACCTATGATAAAAATTACAGACCTCTACATGCTTTGTAAGTAGGAAAACCTGCAAAATCGGCAGTGTATCAAATACTTGTTCTCCCCACTGTATATACAGTACCAGTCAAAAGGTTGGACACACCTACTCATTCCAGGGTTTTTCTTTATTTTTTACTATTTTCTACATTGTAGAATAATAGTGAAGACATCAAAGCTATGAAATAACACATATGGAATCATGTAATAACCAAAAAACTATTAAACAAATCAAAATATATTTGAGATTCTTCAAATAGCCACCCTTTGCCTTGATGACAGCTTTGCACACTCTTGTCATTCTCTCAACCAGCTGCATGTGGTAGTCACCTGGAATGCATTTCAATTAACAGGTGTGCCTTCTTAAAAGTTAATTTGTGGGATTTCTTTCCTCCTTAATGCGTTTGAGCCAATCAGTTGTGTTGTGACAAGGTAGGGGTGGTATACAGAAGACAGCCCTATTTGGTAAAAGACCAAGTCCATATTATGGCAAGAACAGCTCAAATAAGCAAAGAGAAACAACAGTCCATCATTACTTTAAGACATGAAGGTCATTCAATCCGGAACATTTCATGAACTTTGAAAGTTTCTTCAAGTGCAGTCGCAAAACCATCAAGCGCTATGATGAAACTGGCTCTCATGAGGACCGCCACAGGAATGGAAGACCCAGAGTTACCTCTGCTGCAGAGGATAAGTTCATTAGAGTTACCAGCCTCAGAAATTGCAGCCCAAATAAATGCTTCACAGAGTTCAAGTAACAGACACATCTCAACATCAACTGTTCAGAGGGGACTGTGTGAGTCAGGCCTTCATGGTCGAATTGCTGCAAAGAAACCACTACTAAAGGACACCAATAAGAAGAAGACTGGCTTGGGCCAAGAAACACGAGCAATGGACATTAGACCAGTGGAAATTTGTCTTTTGGTCTGGAGTCCAAATTGGAGATTTTTGGTTCCAACCGCTGTGTCTTTGTAAGACGCGGTGTGGGTGAACGGATGATCTCCGCATGTGTAGTTCCCACTGTAAAGCATGGAGGAGGAGGTGTTATATGTGGGGTTGCTTTGCTGGTGACACTGTCTGTGATTTATTTAGAATTCAAGGCACACTTAACCAGCATGGCTACCACAGCATTCTACAGCGATACGCCATCCCATCTGGTTTGGGCTTAGTGGGACTATCATTTGATTTTAAACAGGACAATGACCCAACACACCTCCAGGCTGTGTAAGGGCGATTTTACCAAGAAGGAGAGTGATGGAGTGCTGCATCAGATGACCTGGCCTCCACACGCGTAAAAAGGATGGGGTGGGGGGGCAGTGCAAATATTCCGGGTAGCCATGATTAGCTGTTCAGGAGTCTTATGGCTTGGGGGTAGAAGCTGTTGAGAAGTATTTTGGACCTAGACTTGGCACTCCGGTACCGCTTGCCGTGCGGTAGCAGAGAGAACAGTCTATGACTAGGGTGGCTGGAGTCTTTGACAATTTTGAGGGCCTTCCTCTGACACCGCCTGGTATAGAGGTCCTGGATGGCAGGGAGCTTTGCCCCAGTGATGTACTGGGCCGTACGCACTACCCTCTGTAGTGCCTTGCGGTCAGAGGCCAAGCAGTTGCCATACCAGGCGGTGATGCAACCAGTCAGGATGCTCTCGATGGTGCAGCTGTAGAATTTTTTGAGGATCTGAGGACCCATGCCAAATCTTTTTAGTCTCCTGAGGGGGAATAGGCTTTGTCGTGCCCTCTTCACGACTGTCTTGGTGTGTTTGGACCATGATAGTTCGTTGGTGATGTGGACACCAAGGAACTTGAAGCTCTCAATCCCCTGACCTCAACCCAATTGATATGGTTTGGTATGAGTTGGACCGCAGAGTGAAGGAAAAGCAGCCAACAAGTGCTCAGCATATGAGGGAACTACTTCAAGACTGTTGGAAAAGCATTGCAGGTGAAGCTGGTTGAGAGAATGCCAAGAGTTTGCAAAGCTGTCATCAAGGCAAAGGGTGGCTATTTGAAGAATCTCAAATATAAAATATATTTTGATTTGTTTAACACTTTTTTGTTTACTACATGATTCCATATGTGTTATTTAATAGTTTGGATGTCTTCACTATTATTCTACAATGTAAAAAATAGTAAAACATTTTTTAAATCCTGGAATGAGTAGGTGTGTCCAAACCTTTGACTGGTAGTGTATATATATACTTGTTTTTTGTTGTTTCTCAAAACAATTTGGGCAACAGGGATCTTTATCCAGGAGGGGATTGAATGTCTCTGCTGTACCCAAGAAGGTTGATCTTGACATCCATCCACTAGCAAGTTAGCAAACTAATTCATAGCTGGAGCCCTGAACTGGATGTAATTTATTTGACAGATCTTCAATTTCTTTTAGTTATACTTAACTTATAGTTATAAACAGTGGCGTAGCACACGCCCTCACAGCCACCACGAGGCGGGGGTGTCCCCAACCCACAGTTTTGAAAATCCTACTGTCGGTATTTCAAAATACCCCGGTATATGATATAAACGTGATATAGCCTAACACACACACACACACACACACACTTAACCCTTCTCTCTGCTCCTCTCTCTGTTCTAGGTGTTAACTCTAGATCCCAGCATTCAGCTCCGTCAATCAGATCGAACCTCCGGTTTCACCTCGCCCTCCCACTTCAGCAGCCCCTCTTACCCCACCCAGCCGCACCTCTACCCCCGCGTTGACACCTCCGTCAGCCCAGACAGCATGGCCGAGGGCAGTGCCAACCCCGGGGACACAGACTGCACCTCCAACGCCTCCAGCCTCTCTGCGGTCGCACCTAACCTATCCAGAGTGGCCTCTGCTCGGATAAAACTGGCCCTGTCGTCCCCCTCAACCTCCAAGCCCAGCAGCCAGCAACGTAAGGCCTTAGCCACTCAGGCCAGCGAGGAGGAGGGGAGCCGCACACACACCAGCACCCTGAAGCAACTGTCTGGGAGGCAGACGCACTCACACACACTCTCCCAGGGCAGCCCTCGTATGGAGAAAGCGGCGTCACTGGAAGACCCTGTGGTTGTCTCTCTGTGAGTGTCCAGAGGGCTGGTTATGTTTTTATATTTTGGCTCACACGGGTGTCATGCACCCAAAACATATGAGGGGCACAAAGTCCCTGAGGATAGCTGGGGGGGTGGAGAAGTTGCAATCAAGAGCCATAACCATGCTTAATTTTATGTAAAAAAATATGTTTATTTTTCTGCATATCTAAGCATACCTCTTGAGCTGTGTGTATCCTCCTGACTGGTGGTTATTTTTTTAAAGAAACTAAATTGTGAACCTATCTGGGCTAGCTATAGCCAACTTCCATAAAATTGCTATATGGCTAGTAGTATTACAGAGAATCAACAAATTAAACCCTTTAAAAAGAAACAATTTTATTCGGCAAATCAGAGGGGGCACGTCGCCTCTGGGGCCACACTAATATTATTCTAAAATTGATTAAATAAATAAAAATTCTCAGCAATCTACACACAATACCCCATAATGACAAATCAAAACAGGTTTTTAGAAATGTTTGCAAATTTCTAAAAAATTAAAAACAGAAATACCCTATTTACATAAGTATTCAGACTCTTCACTATGAGACTCAATTGAGCTCAGGTGCATCCTGTTTCCATTGATCATCCTTGAGATGTTTCTACAACTTGATTGGAGTCCACCTGTGGTAATTTCAATTGATTGGACATGATTTGGAATGGCACACACCTGTCTATATAAGGTTGACTGCATGTCAGAGCAAAAACCAAGCCATGAGGTCGAAGGATCTGGGGAAGGGCACCAAAAAATTTCTGCAGCATTGAAGGTCCCCAAGAATACAGTGGCCTCCATCATTCTTAAATGGAAGAAGTTTGTAACCACCAAGACTCTTCCTAGAGCTGGCCACCTGGCCAAACTGAGCAATCGGGGGAGAAGGGCCTTGGTCAGGGAGGTGACCAAGAACCCAATGGTCACTCTGACAGAGCTCTAGAGTTCCTCTGTGGAGATGGGAGAACATTCCAGAAGGACAACCATCTCTGCAGCACTCCACCAATCAAGCCTTTATGGTAGAGTGGCCAGATGGAATTAACTCCTCAGTAAAAGGCATATGACAGCCCGCTTGGAGTTTGCCAAAAGGCACTTAAAGACTCAGACCATGAGAAATAAGATTCTCTGGTCTAACGAAACCAAGATTGGACTCTTTGGCCTGAATGCCAAGCGTCACGTCTGGAGGAAACCTGGCACCATTTCTACGGTGAAGCATGGTGGTGGCAGCATCATGCTGTGGGGATGTTTTTCAGCGGCAGGGACTGGGAGACTAGTCAGGATCGAGGCAAAGATTAATGGAGCAAAGTGCAGTCGTGGTCAAAAGTTTTGATAATGACACACAAATACAAAACTTATTTTCACAAAGTCTGCTGCTCATGTTAATTATGGCTAATTTTGCATATACTCCGAGAATGTTATGAAGAGTGATCAGATGAATTCCAATTAATTGCATAGTCCCCTCTTTTTGCCATGAAAAATTGAACTTAATTCCCCAAAAACATTTCCCTGCAATTTCAAGCCCTTCCACAAAAGGACCAGCTGACATCATGCATTCAGTGATTGTCTCGTTAACCACTTTGAGAGTGTTGAGAAGGACAAGCTGGAGATCACTCTGTCCATGCTGATTGAGTTAGAATAACAGACGGGAAGCTTTAAAAGGAGGGTGGTGCTTGCAAATCATTGTTCTTCCTTCTGTTTAAGAGGCGGGTGGACCAACAAAACACCACAAATTCTGACAAACTCCAAGCATTGATTATACAAGAATGGGTTGTCATCAGTCAGGATGTGGCCCAGAAGTTAATTGACAGCATGCCAGGGCGGATTGCAGAGGTCTTGAAAAAGAAGGGTCAACACTGCAAATATTGACTCTTTGCATAAACTTAATGTAATTGTCAATAAAAGCCTTTGACACTTATGGAATGCTTGTAATTATACTTCAGTATACCATATTAACATCTGACAAACATATCTGAAAACACTGAAGCAGCAAACTTTGTGAAGACCAATACTTGTGTCATTCTCAAAACTTTTGACCACGACTTTCCAGAGTTCCTTGATGAAAACCTACTCCAGAGCGCTCAGGACCTCAGACTGGGGCAAAGGTTCACCTTACAACAGGACAACGACCCTAAGCACACAGCCAATACAATGCAGGAGTGGCTTCGGGACAAATCTCTGAATGTCCTTGAGTGGCCCAGCCAGAGCCTGGACTTGAACCCGATCTAACATCTCTGGAGAGACCTGAAAATAGCTGTGCAACAACGCTCCCCATCCAACCTGACAGAGATTGAGAGGATCTGCAGAGAAGAATGTTAGAATCTCCCCAAATGCACATGTGCCAAGCTTGTAGCGTAATTCCCAAGATGACTCGATGCTGTAATCGCTGCCAAAGGTGCTTCAACAAAGTACTGATTAAATGGTCTAAATACTTATGTAAATGTGATATTTCCGTTTTTGCTTTGTCATTATGGGGTATTGTGTGTAGGTTGATGAGGGAATAAAACCATTTAATCAATTTTAGAATGAGGCTAAAACATAACAAAGTGGAAAAAGTCAAGGGGTCTGAATACTTTCCGAAGGCGCTGTATATCAGAGGAACTAGTAGTAGAATAACCCATGTAATTGATACATACTGAGTACTACTAATCTCCTTTCTCCTCCTCCCATTCACATCTTCCTCCTCTTTTTCCCTTCTTTCTATCCTCCCCTCTTTCTCCAGGCTGAGAGAGAAGCTGAGGGAGAAACACTCTCGTCATGTAGCCGATCTGAAGGCTTACTATGAGGCAGAGATCAAAGTCCTCCGGGACAAACTGGACCTGAGAGACCTGCCTCACGACCTGGAGCAGAGCAACAACACACTCAGACAGAGGTAGTGGTGGAGAGTGTGGGTGGGTGGGTGTGTTTGGGTGAAGGTTGGTGTGTGTGTGTGTGTGATCTAAGTCGTGGTTGTTGTATTACCAGGTGTGCTCAGCTAGAGCGAGCTCTGTCTGAAGCCAGCAGCCGTATCCAGGAGCTGGAGAACAAGAACACCATCCTGGAGAAACAACTGGTAGGATACTGTTATACCCTTAGGTGTGTGTGTGTGTGTGTGTGTGTGTGTGTGTGTGAGACAAGCTCTGCTGTCTCTTTCAGGCTGACTGGCCGGAGCGCTACGATACAGCCTGCTCCACGGCAACGTCCCTGCAGCAGCGATTGGACGAGAGCAGGCAGTCAGGCAGGGAGAAGGACTCCTCGGCCGGCCGCCTCAGGACCCGTGTCCGGCAGCTAGAGGAGGCCTTGGAGAACGCCTGCAGAGAAACACAAGAGAAGGAGGCCAGGAGGGAGAGGGAGTACAAGATGCTGCAGGACGTGAGTTCTGACGTTATACTAGACTAGCTAAGGAAACCAACCGAAGTCTCTGGTCTCTGACCCTCTGGGAAAGACTCCTTTCTGGGTGTTGTAGTTTGGGTAATGTCCTGCAGAACATCTGGAGAACTGTACCTCTACGTCTCCTACACCAGTCTTTTTTTTTAGCAACTCTTTTAGTACCTGCTGATTGTGGAAGGGACCTGGTAATAGGCTATTTGGCTGTAGCTCAAGGGTTTAATAGATACACTCAGGTGTGTGTGTGTGGTCATGATGACTCGGGTTGTGTGTGTTTTTGTCTTCCTAGCTTCTGGGAGAGTATGACTCTCTGAAGAAAGACCACGAGGGGGTTAAGGTAACTGATCTATTCTATTCTATTAGTATAATCTATTCTCCTTTTCTGTGTTATTCCACCTCAAGAATAACAGATGACACGTTGTACTGGGACTAATATTCTAAAGTTTTTTCTCTATCAACAGGACAACCTGGTGTCTACAGAGAACAAGCTGTGTAATGCTAATGAGCAGATTTCTGAACTAAAAAGGTAACATCAAGCATCCAACACCAAGACCGGAAAACCAACATCTACAGGATAGATATTCTAGATGAATCATGAACAGACCTGGGTTCAAAAACAGGCGTATTTTAAGTATTTTGAAATAATGTGGCCGAAATCAACTAGTTCTATTGGAAGTATTTGAAGGTATTTTCAAAGAATGTCCTGAAAATATAAGCGTCTGTGTATTTCCAAATACATTCCAATATTCAACTACTTGTATTTTCAAAGAAGAAATATCCAAATACCTAACCTGTTAAGAGTTACCAGCAGGGGTTTTGATAATAGAAAAATGCAGTGAGTCAGTGGTTCCTCCTCCAGAAGCAATTGCTTTGGAGTTGTTAAAATAATGTTTTGATATTTCTATATGATCACTCCATAAATAATCTAGACCTACACGCTTTTCAAAATGATTTCACATGTGGCCTATTTTATATGATATGCCTAAATACTTATAACCACTAGGCTAATAAATAAACATGTTTTTCTTTTGATTATTTAATTACCTACAGAAACTATTCGTACCCCTTGACTTATTCCATATTTTGTTGTTACAGCCTGAATTCAAAAAGTGTTTAAATTTTTTTGCCCACCCATCTACACACGATACCCCATAATGACAAAGTGAAAACATGTTTTTTGAAATTTTAGCAAATGTATTGAAAATGCACTGTCTTAAAATTATCCTAAAACCTACTCTGAGCAGGGAGTTTTTGTTGTTGTCTTAAAACAAGTTTTAACATGATTCCTATGACCTTTTCTAAGATGCTTTGTTGATACGGGCACAGAGTGACAGATTGAAGAATCCCTTTTGACTGAGAGAATAGTTATTCTCTTCTCTTGTTATGACCGTCTATTTTGGCAAACAAAGAATAGATGTATCGTGTGCCAGCTTTTCTTTATCAGTGTGTTTTGTCCCAGCACCGGTGGAGATACTGTATTTGGCATGTGTCTATCACCCACACACTCTTCCCTGTATCTGTCTGTGGCCCTCTCCTCCTCAGGGTGATATGTAAGCTGGAGAGCCAGGTGAATCAGCTTGAGCATGAGAACCAGGCCAGGAATCGCCAGGCTGTCCACAACCACACACAGCCCTCTGGAGCCGGGTAACGGTCTCCTCTCCTCCACATATGCATCCATGTTGTGCTGATATTAGGTCCCAAAGCAGGTCTGACAGTAGCTGTTGTTACTGTTAACCCTCTCCTGTCTGTCTGACTGTAGCTGCTGTTACTGTTGTTAACCCTCTCCTGTCTGACTGTAGCTGCTGTTACTGTTGTTAGCCCTCTCCTGTCTGTAGCTGTTGTTACTGTTGTTAACCCTCTGCTGTCTGACTGTAGCTGCTGTTACTGTTGTTAACCCTCTGCTGACTGTAGCTGTTGTTACTGTTGTTAACCCTCTGCTGTCTGACTGTAGCTGCTGTTACTGTTGTTAATCCTCTCCTGTCTGTCTGACTGTAGCTGTTGTTACTGTTGTTAACCCTCTCCTGTCTGACTGTAGCTGCTGTTACTGTTGTTAACCCTCTGCTGTCTGACTGTAGCTGCTGTTACTGTTGTTAACCCTCTGCTGTCTGACTGTAGCTGCTGTTACTGTTGTTAACCCTCTCCTGTCTGTCTGACTGTAGCTGTTGTTACTGTTGTTAACCCTCTCCTGTCTGACTGTAGCTGCTGTTACTGTTGTTAACCCTCTCCTGTCTGACTGTAGATGTTGTTACTGTTGTTAACCCTCTCCTGTCTGTCGGTCTGTCTGACTGTTGCTGTTGTTACTGTTGTTAACCCTCTCCTGACTGTCAGACTGACTGTAGCTGCTGTTACTGTTGTTAACCCTCTGCTGTCTGACTGTAGCTGCTGTTCTGTTGTTAACCCTCTGCTGACTGTAGCTGTTGTTATGTTTAACCCTCTGCTGTCTGACTGTAGCTGCTGTTACTGTTGTTAATCCTCTCCTGTCTGTCGACTGTAGCTGCTGTTACTGTTGTTAACCCTCTCCAGTCTGTCTGACTGTAGCTGCTGTTACGTTGTAACCCTCTGCTGTCTGACTGTAGCTGCTGTTACTGTTGTTAACCCTCTCCTGTCTGTCTGACTGTAGCGTTGTTACTGTGTTAACCCTCTCCTGTCTGACTGTAGCTGCTGTTACTGTTCTAACCCTCTCCGTCGACTGTAGATGTGTGTTACTGTTGTTAACCCTCTCCTGTCTGTCGGTCTGTCTGACTGTTGCTGTTGTTACTGTTGTTAACCCTCTCCTGACTGTCAGACTGACTGTAGCTGCTGTTACTGTTGTTAACCCTCTCCTATCTGACTGTAGCTGTTGTTACTGTTGTTAACCATCTCCTGTCTGTCTGACTGTAGCTGTTTTTTCTGTTAACCCTCTCCAGTCTGTCTGACTGTAGCTGCTGTTACTGTTATTAACCCTCTCCTGTCTGACTGTAGCTGTTGTTACTGTTATTCCCCTCCAGTCTGTACCACCATCCGGACCTGCTGCTGTCGCCCAGCAAACACCCTTGGCAACCAGAATCCTCCTATAGAATTTCTCCTTGCCCTCGAACTGACCAATCACACAGCACTAGGAAGTCTCCCTGTCCTCAAGCCGACCAATCGCAGAGTTACAGGATGTCCCCTTGCCCTCAAACTGACCAATCAGGCAGCTCGGGTCACTTTACAGACCACACTGGCAGCAGGAGGTATGATTGTGGTTGCAGTGTTAATTTTGGAATACCTCCTCTTAATCCCCTTTCCCCCTTGATTTAACCCTGATAAAAAATCTGACCAGTTTAACACTCACCCATGTCCTGTTTTGTCCTGTAGGTGTTCATCCCCTCCAGAGCGTGAACAGGACCAGGGTGAGGGTGTGAGGGAGGCTCGGGGGCCTCTGACCCCACTGATGAGGGCCCTGATAGAGCTGGATGAGAGCAGGACCACTGAGGACCAGGCCCCCTGTAAGACCAGCCACAGTACCACTGACTCACTCTCACTGGCCTCCTGTAAGACACACTCCTCATCCCACAGCAGGCCCTCCACTCACTTACTAACTCATTCTCTTCACTCCGTCCTCAGCACTGGGCTAGAACAGTGTAGCATAACTCAGTCATTGGCACCAGTCACACAGTTTCTGCTAACTTTAGCTTTTACCATGGAGGTTGTATTTCCCCTAGCCTCAGCCTTTTGGATATGTGTTTTTTAGTTAATCTGAAACCAGCATTTTAAGATTTTCTGTTTCATGAAAATTGAGTGATTTGCAAACTAACATGATCTTGGCAGTTCTAAGAAACTTTGCAGCTCTAAGCTGAAACAACGTTTTTGATTCTCTAGTCTACTCTGAAGTCTTTTGCCTGTTCGTTCGTATGTCTTTCAATGAGGTTCACTCTGAATGCAAGTGTTTTTCTCAAATGTATCGGTCATTACGTTTGCTCATGTTAGTCTGTTTTTGAGCTATATACTTTAACTTATGTGGTGATGAGATGCAAGACAGATTTCCCAAAAGGGACACAATACAGAATTATTATTAACTAGCTGTCTCTATGTATCTGTCTGTGTTGCAGGGTTGGGCAGCCGGAGGCCTATTGTTGGCTTTATAGAGAGAAACAACAGAGAACCACCAACACAGGACGGGGGCAGGGCTGTGGAGGACAGGGGCGGGACTGGACATGAGAGTGGTGCTGCCGGATCTGAAAGAGGCATGGTCTGTCTGAATAGAGGCAGGGATGGACCGCCCCAGGGTGTGGCTTCTCCTGGAAGGGCTGTGTCTGGGACATTCAGGGGTGTGTCTCTGCTAAGAGCCCAGAGAAGTCTGTCTCCAGAAGGCCACAGGTCCTCCTCTCTGCCCCCCCGCGCCCAGAGGGTCACCTTCCCCCCTACTACACCCAGTACGTCATGTCATTTATTTTCTCTTCTCTCCTTTCACTGCTATTTCCTAGTGTAGTTCATTGTGTTGTGTTATGGAACTAATCTAGTGTTATGTTGTTCTAGCTAAGAGAGAGACTCTGATGATGCCTCTGTCGGCTAAATCCAGCCCCAAACGCTGTCCTACAGAGAACTACTCCACTGCCTTTGGCAATCCACCACCACGACAACAGCAGCTACACAACAGGTACAGGTTTAGTACCCCTGGACTACAGGACCGGTCCTTAGCTGAATCTATGCACCCTTGATTTGTTTTCCTACTGTTCATTACAGGTGTGTCTTCTCCAGCTATTGTCTCATTTTCGATTCCTGACGCATTTTCCCTACAGTATTTTATATGTTTTAGACTGAGTTCAGGTTTGTGATTGTTTGTTTCAGGTTTGACGTGGCGTTAGACCAGAGACGCCACTCCTTCCACAACTCCAGCCCCAGGAAGAGACTGTTTTCAGATGGTAACATAAACAATATTGTTTTACATTCCTGACACCTGGTTAGTGTGTTCAGTTGAATAGTTCCCTAACAATACTACCCTCTTTCTCTCTCCTCCAGCCACCCAGCGGTCATCTGGTGGTTCAGTGGAGTCATCGGGAAGTGTTGAGCCCCAGGAGGGTGTGTGTGGGCTGGGCTGGGAGGAGCAGGGGGCTGGGGTGTCAGGCTCAGACCTCCAGGACCCCGGGACAGACCTACAGACCAGGCTCCACTCCCTGGCCGACGCTGAGAGGCTGTTTGACGAACTCACTATGGAGAAACAACAGGTGAGACAGACTTTTACAAGGCTCTTGTTATTAGTTTAGACACTCACAAGACCAAGCACAAAAGGCATTTTACCATGCCTTTTACCCATACCTAAACCCCTAGCCCTACCCTGAGACACCTGTAGATCTGCAAAGATTGGATGGCCATAAGCAATGTAGTGGAATTGGTCTATCAGAGCAATATTACCATATAGCTCATATCCATCCAAACCCTTTCAAATCTACTGGAAGTTCCAAGGCACTGGGGCTAGGAGTTGAGTTTTAGTAACGTTGATTCTATTATTGCACTGCACTGCTTCAAATCATATTTTATTGGTTGCATACATATATTTAGCAGATGTTATTGTGGGTGTAGTGAAATGCTTGTGTTCCTAGCTCCAACAGTACAGTAATATCTAACAATTCACAACAATACAAACAAATCTAAAATTACAAGAATGGAATTATGAAATATATAATATTAGGAAGAGGACGTTTTCTACATTGTAGAGTAATAGTGAAGACATCAAAACTATGACATAACACATATGGAATCATATAATAACCAAAAAAGTGTTAAACAAATAAAAATATATTTTAGATGTTAGATTCTTCAAAGTAACCACCCTTTGCCTTGATGACAGCTTTGCACACTCTTGGCATTCTCAACAGTCTTGAAGGAGTTCCCACATATACTGAGCACTTGTTGGCTGCTTTTCCTTCACTCTGCGGTCCGACTCATCCCAAACCATCTCAATTGGGTTGAGGTCGGGTGATTGTGGAGGCCAGGTCATCTGATGCAGCACTCCATCACTCTCCTTCTTGATCAAATAGCCCTTACACAGCCTGGAGGTGGGTTGGGTCATTGTCCTGTTGAAAAACAAATGATAGTCCCACTAAGGGCAAACCAGATGGGATGGCGTATCGCTGCAGAATGCTGTGATAGCCATGCTGGTTAAGTGTGCCTTGAATTCTAAATAAATCACAGACAGTGTCACCAGCAAAGCACCATCACACCTCCTCCTCCATGCTTCACGGTGGGTACCACACATGCGGAGATCATCCGTTCACCTACTCTGCGTCTCACAAAGACACGGCGGTTGGAACCAAAAATCTCAACTTTGGACTCATCAGACCAAAGGACAGATTTCCAACGGTCTAATGTCCATTGCTCGTGTTTCGTGGCCCAAGCCAGTCTCTTCTTCTTATTGGTGTCCTTTAGTAGTAGTCTCCTGAGTGGCGCAGTGGTCTAAGGCACTGGTCCTGGTTCGAATCCAGGCTCTGTCGCAGCCGGCCGCGACCGGGAGACTCATGGGCAGCGCACAATTGGCCCAGCGTTGTCCAGGGTAGGGGAGGGAATGGCCGGCAGGGATGTAGCTCAGTTGATAGAGCATGGCGTTTGCAACGCCAGGGTTGTGGGTTCAATTCCCCCGGGGAACCAGTATGAAAAATATATATATATATGTATTCACTAACTGTAAGTCGCTCTGGATAAGAGCGTCTGCTAAATGACTAAAATGTAAATGTAAAATGTTTCTTTGCAGCAATTCGATCATGAAGGCCTGATTCACACAGTCTCCTCTGGACAGTTGATTTTGAGATGTATCTGTAACTTGAACTCTGTGAAGCATTTATTTGGGCTGCAATCTGAGGTGCAGTTAACTCTAATGAACTTATCCTCTGCAGCAGAGGTAACTCTGGGTCTTCCTTTCCTGTGGTGCTCATCATGAGAGCCAGTTTCATCATAGCGCTTGATGGTTTTTGCGACTGCACTTCAAGAAACGTTCAAAGTTCTTGAAATCTTCCGGATTGACTGACCTTAATGTCTTAAAGTAAAGATGGACTGTCATTTATTTTTGCTTATTTGAGCTGTTCTTGCCATAATATGGACTTGGTCTTTTACCAAATAGGGCTGTCTTCTGTATACCACCCCCTATTTTGTCAAAACACAACTGATTGGCTCAAACGCATTAAGGAAAGAAATCCCACAAATTAACTTTTAAGAAGGCCACCTGTTAATTGAAATGCATTCCAGGTGACTACCTCATGAAGCTGGTTGAGAGATTGCCAATAGTGTGCAAAGCTGTCATCAAGGCAAAGGGTGGCTATTTTGAAGAATCTCAATTATAAAATATATTTTGATTTGTTTAACACTTTTTTGGTTACTACATGATTCCATATGTGTTATTTCATAGTTTTGATGTCTTTACTATAATTCTACAATGTAGAAAATAGTAAAAATTAAGAAAAACCCTGGAATGAGTAGGTGTGTCCAAACTTTTGACCGGTACTGTGTGTACAGACATTTACATTTTACATTTACATTTTAGTCATTTAGCAGACGCTCTTATCCAGAGCGACTTACAGTTAGTGAGTGCATACATTTTCATACTGGCCCCCCGTGGGAAACGAACCCACAACCCTGGCGTTGCAAGCGCCATGCTCTACCAACTGAGCTACAGACAGACAGACAGTTGAAGTCGGAAGTTTACATACATTAAGGTTGGAGTCATTAAAACTCGTTTTTCAACCGCTCCACAAATTTCTTGTTAACAAACTATAGTTTTAGCAAGTCGGTTGGGACATCTACTTTGTGCATGACACAAGTAATTTTTCCAACAATTGTTTACAGACAGATTATTTCACTTATAATTCACTGTATCACAATTCCAGTGGGTCAGAAGTTTACATACACTAAGTTGACTGTGCCTTTAAACAGCTTGGAAAATTCCAGAAAATGATTTCATGGCTTTAGAAGCTTCTGATAGGCTAATTGACATAATTTGAGTCAATTGGAGGTGTACCTGTGGACGTATTTCAAGGCCTACCTTCAAACCCAGTGCCTCTTTGCTTGACATTATGGGAAAATCAAAAGAAATCAGCCAAGACCTCAGATATTTTTTTGTTGTTGACATCCACAAGTCTGGTTCATCCTTGGGAGCAATTTCCAAACGCCTCAAGGTACCACGTTCATCTGTAAAAACAATAGTACGCAAGTATGAACACCATGGGACCATGCAGCCGTCATACTGCTCAGGAAGGAGACGCTTTCTGTCTCCTAGAGATGAACGTACTTTGGTGCGAAAAGTGCAATTCAATCCCAGAACAACAGCAAAGGACCTTGTGAAGATGCTGGAGGAAACATGTACACATGTATCTATATCCACAGTAAAACGAGTCCTATATCGACATAACCTGAAAGGCCGCTCAGCAAGGAAGAAGCCACTGCTCCAAAACCGCGATAAAAAAGCCAGACTACTGTTTGCAACTGCACATGGGGACAAAGATCGTACTTTTTGGAGAAATGTCCTCTGATCTGATGAAACAAAAATAGAACTGTTTGGCCATAATGACCATCGTTATGTTTGGAGGAAAAAGGGGGTTGCTTGCAAGCCGAAGAACACCATCCCAACCGTGAAGCACGGGGGTGGCAGCATCATGCTGTGGGGGTGCTTTGTTGCAGGAGGGACTGGTGCACTTCACAAAATATACTGCTCCAAAAAATAAAGGGAACACTTAAACAACACAATGTAACTCCAAGTCAATCACACTTCTGTGAAATCAAACTGTCCACTTAGGAAGCAACACTGATTGACAATACATTTCACATGCTGTTGTGCAAATGGAATAGACAACAGGTGGAAATTATAGGCAATTAGCAAGACACCCCCAATAAAGGAATGGTTCTGCAGGTGGTGACCACAGACCACTTCTCAGTTCCTATGCTTCCTGGCTGATGTTTTGGTCACTTTTGAATGCTGGCTGTGCTTTCACTCTAGTGGTAGCATGAGACGGAGTCTACAACCCACACAAGTGGCTCAGGTGGTGCAGCTCATCCAGGATGGCACATCAATGCGAGCTGTGGCAAGAAGGTTTGCTGTGTCTGTCAGCGTAGTGTCCAGAGCATGGAGGCGCTACCAGGAGACAGGCCAGTACATCAGGAGACGTGGAGGAGGCCTTAGGAGGGCAACAACCCAGCAGCAGGACCGCTACCTCCGCCTTTGTGCAAGGAGGAGCACTGCCAGAGCCCTGAAAAATGACCTCCAGCAGGCCACAAATGTGCATGTGTCTGCTCAAATGGTCAGAAACAGACTCAATGAGGGTGGTATGAGGGCCCAACGTCCACAGGTGGGGGTTGTGCTTACAGCCCAACACCGTGCAGGACGTTTGGCATTTGCCAGAGAATACCAAGATTGGCAAATTCGCCACTGGTGCCCTGTGCTCTTCACAGATGAAAGCAGGTTCACCCTGAGCACATGTGACAGACGTGACAGAGTCTGGAGACGCCGTGGAGAACGTTCTGCTGCCTGCAACATCCTCCAGCATGACCGGTTTGGCGGTGGGTCAGTCATGGTGTGGGGTGGCATTTCTTTAGGGGGCCGCACAGCCCTCCATGTGCTCGCCAGAGGTAGCCTGACTGCCATTAGGTACCGAGATGAGATCCTCAGACCCCTTGTGAGACCATATGCTGGTGCAGTTGGCCCTGGGTTCCTCCTAATGCTAGACCTCATGTGGCTGGAGTGTGTCAGCAGTTCCTGCAAGAGGAAGGCATTGATGCTATGGACTGGCCCGCCCGTTCCCCAGACCTGAATCCAATTGAGCACATCTGGGACATCATGTCTCGCTCCATCCACCAACGCCACGTTACACCACAGACTGTCCAGGAGTTGGCGGATGCTTTAGTCCAGGTCTGGGAGGAGATCCCTCAGGAGACCATCCGCCACCTCATCAGGAGCATGCCCAGGCGTTGTAGGGAGGTCATACAGGCACGTGGAGGCCACACACACTACTGAGCCTCATTTTGACTTGTTTTAAGGACATTACATCAAAGTTGGATCAGCCTGTAGTGTGGTTTTCTACTTTAATTTTGAGTGTGACTCCAAATCCAGACCTCCATTGGTTGAAAAATTGGATTTCCATTGATAATTTTTGTGTGATTTTGTTGTCAGCACATTCAACTATGTAAAGAAAAAAGTATTTAATAAGATTATTTCATTCATTCAGATCTAGGATGTGTTATTTTAGTGTTCCCTTTATTTTTTTGAGCAGTGTAGATGGCATCATGAGGAAGGAAAATGATGTGGATATATTGAAGCAACATCTCAAGACATCAGTCAGGAAGTTAAAGCTTGGTCGCAAATGGGTCTTCCAAATGGACAATGACCCCAAGCATACTTCCAAAGTTGTGGCAAAATGGCTTAAGGACAACAAAGTCAAGGTATCGGAGTGGCCATCACAAAGCCCTGACCTCAATCCTATTGAAATTTGTGGGCAGAACTGGAAAAGCGTGTGCGAGCAAGGAGGCCTACAAATCTGACTCAGTCACACCAGCTCTGTCAGGAGGAATGGGCCAAACTTATTCACCCAACTTATTGTGGGAAGCTTGTGGAAGGCTACCCGAAACGTTTGACCCAAGTTAAACAATTTAAAGGCAATGCTCCCAAATACTAATTGAGTGTATGTAAACTTCTGACCCACTGGGAATGTGATTTAAATAAATAAAAGCTGAAATAAATCATTCTCTCTACTATTATTCTGACATTTCACATTCTTAAGATAAAGTGGTGATCCTAACTGACCTAAGACAGGGAATTTTTACTAGGATTAAATGTCAGTAATTGTGAAAAACTGAGTTTAAATGTATTTGGCTAAGGTGTATGTAAACTTCCGACTTCAACTGTACATAGGGCAGCAGTCTGTAAGGTGATTGGTAGAGTGACCGGGTGGTAGTCGGCTAGTGACAGTGACTAAGTTCAGGGCAGGGTACTAGATGGAGGCCGGCTAGTGATGGCTATTTAACAGTCTGATGGCCTTGAGATACAGTGGGGAAAAAAAGTATTTAGTCAGCCAACAATTGTGCAAGTTCTCCCACTTAAAAAGATGAGAGAGGCCTATAATTTTCATCATAGGTACACGTCAACTATGACAGACAAATTGAGAAAAAAAATCCAGAAAATCACATTATAGGATTTTTTATGAATTTATTTGCAAATTATGGTGGAAAATAAGTATTTGGTCACCTACAAACAAGCAAGATTTCTGGCTCTCACAGACCTGTAACTTCTTCTTTAAGAGGCTCCTCTGTCCTCCACTCGTTACCTGTATTAATGGCACCTGTTTGAACTTGTTATCAGTATAAAAGACACCTGTCCACAACCTCAAACAGTCACACTCCAAACTCCACTATGGCCAAGACCAAAGAGCTGTCAAAGGACACCAGAAACAAAATTGTAGACCTGCACGAGCCTGGGAAGACTGAATCTGCAATAGGTAAGCAGCTTGGTTTGAAGAAATCAACTGTGGGAGCAATTATTAGAAAATGGAAGACATACAAGACCACTGATAATCTCCCTCGATCTGGGGCTCCACGCAAGATCTCACCCCGTGGGGTCAAAATGATCACAAGAACGGTGAGCAAAAATCCCAGAACCACACGGGGGGACCTAGTGAATGACCTGCAGAGAGCTGGGACCAAAGTAACAAAGCCTACCATCAGTAACACACTACGCCGCCAGGGACTCAAATCCTGCAGTGAAAGACGTGTCCCCCTGCTTAAGCCAGTACATGTCCAGGCCCGTCTGAAGTTTGCAAGAGTGCATTTGGATGATCCAGAAGAGGATTGGGAGAATGTCATATGGTCAGATGAAACCAAAATAGAACTTTTTGGTAAAAACTCAACTCGTCGTGTTTGGAGGACAAAGAATGCTGAAATGCATCCAAAAAACACCATACCTACTGTGAAGCATGAGGGTGGAAACATCATGCTTTGGGGCTGTTTTTCTGCAAAGGGACCAGGACGACTGATCCGTGTAAAGGAAAGAATGAATGGGGCCATGTATCGTGAGATTTTGAGTGAAAACCTCCTTCCATCAGCAAGGGCATTGGAGATGAAACGTGGCTGGGTCTTTCAGCATGACAATGATCCCAAACACACCGCCCGGGCAACGAAGGAGTGGCTTCGTAAGAAGCATTTCAAGGTCCTGGAGTGGCCTAGCCAGTCTCCAGATCTCAACCCCATAGAAAATCTTTGGAGGGAGTTGAAAGTCTGTGTTGCCCAGCGACAGCCCCAAAACATCACTGCTCTAGAGGAGATCTGCATGCAGGAATGGGCCAAAATACCAGCAACAGTGTGTGAAAACCTTGTGAAGACTTACAGAAAACGTTTGACCTGTGTCATTTCCAACAAAGGGTATATAACAAAGTATTGAGAAACTTTTGTTATTGACCAAATACTTATTTTCCACCATAATTTGCAAATAAATTCATAAAAAATCCTACAATGTGATTTTCTGGATTTTTCTTCTCATTTTGTCTGTCATAGTTGACGTGTACCTATGATGAAAATTACAGGCCTCTCTCATCTTTTTAAGTGGGAGAACTTGCACAATTGGTGGCTGACTAAATACTTTTTTTCCCCACTGTAGAAGCTGTTTTTCAATCTCTCGGTCTCAGCTTTGATGCACCTGTACTGACCTCGCCTTCTAGATGATAGCCGGGTGAACAGGCCGTGGCTCGGGTGGTTGATGTCCTTGATGATCTTTTTGGCTTTCCTGTGACATCGTGTGCTGTAGATGTCCTGGAGGGCAGGCAGTGTGCCCCCGGTGATGCGTTGGGCAGACCTTACCACCCTCTGGAGAGCCCTGCGGTTGCGGGCGGTGCAGTTGCCGTACCAGGCGGTGATACAGCCTGACAGGATGCTCTCAATGGTGCATCTGTAAAAGTTTCTGAGGGTCTTAGGGGACAAGCCACATTTCTTCAGACTCCTGAGGTTGAAGAGGCGCTGTTGCGCCTTCACCACGCTGTCTGTGTGGGTGGACCATTTCAGATTGTCAGGGATGTGTACACCGAGGAACTTGAAGCTTTTCACCTTCTCCACTGCGGCCCTGTCAATGTGGATGGCCCAAGGCCCCGAGCTTAATGATGAGCTTGGACGGTACCATGGTGTTGAAGGCTGAGCTGTAGTCGATGATGTAGTCATATTTTATTGATGGTGTATATCTATCAACGACAGAGGCAGTCCTTTGACATCACACCTCACTAATCTCTATTGGATCTGTTATACAGTATTACCTGGCTTTATGATTTTACAACCACTCCTCTCTCAATTACTTCTATTTATAGCTGGGTTCATACAGTGGGGAAAAAAAGTATTTAGTCAGCCACCAATTGTGCAAGTTCTCCCACTTAAAAAGATGAGAGAGGCCTGTAATTGTCATCATCTGTACACGTCAACTATGACAGACAAAATGAGATTTTTTTTCTCCAGAAAATCACATTGTAGGATTTTTAATGAATTTATTTGCAAATTATGGTGGAAAATAAGTATTTGGTCAATAACAAAGGTTTCTCAATACTTTGTTATATACCCTTTGTTGGCAATGACACAGGTCAAACATTTTCTGTAAGTCTTCACAAGGTTTTCATACACTGTTGCTGGTATTTTGGCCCATTCCTCCATGCAGATCTCCTCTAGAGCAGTGATGTTTTGGGGCTGTCGCTGGGCAACACGGACTTTCAACTCCCTCCAAAGATTTTCTATGGGGTTGAGATCTGGAGACTGGCTAGGCCACTCCAGGACCTTGAAATGCTTCTTACGAAGCCACTCCTTCGTTGCCCGGGCGGTGTGTTTGGGATCATTGTCATGCTGAAAGACCCAGCCACGTTTCATCTTCAATGCCCTTGCTGATGGAAGGAGGTTTTCACTCAAAATCTCACGATACATGGCCCCATTCATTCTTTGCTTTACACAGATCAGTCGTCCTGGTCCCTTTGCAGAAAAACAGCCCCAAAGCATGATGTTTCCACCCCCATGCTTCACAGTAGGTATGGTGTTCTTTGGATGCAACTCAGCATTCTTTGTCCTCCAAACACGACGAGTTGAGTTTTTACCAAAAAGTTCTATTTTGGTTTCATCTGACCATATGACATTCTCCCAATCCTCTTCTGGATCATCCAAATGCACTCTAGCAAACTTCAGACGGGCCTGGACATGTACTGGCTTAAGCAGGGGGACACGTCTGGCACTGCAGGATTTGAGTCCCTGGCGGCGTGGTAAGCTTTGTTACTTTGGTCCCAGCTCTCTGCAGGTCATTCACTAGGTCCCCCTGTGTGGTTCTGGGATTTTTGCTCACCGTTCTTGTGATCATTTTGACCCCACGGGGTGAGATCTTGCGTGGAGCCCCAGATCGAGGGAGATTATCAGTGGTCTTGTATGTCTTCCATTTCCTAATAATTGCTCCCACAGTTGATTTCTTCAAACCAAGCTGCTTACCTATTGCAGATTCAGTCTTCCCATTCTGGTGCAGGTCTACAATTTTGTTTCTGGTGTCCTTTGACAGCTCTTTGGTCTTGACCATAGTGGAGTTTGGAGTGTGACTGTTTGAGGTTGTGGACAGGTGTCTTTTATACTGATAACAAGTTCAAACAGGTGCCATTAATACAGGTAACGAGTGGAGGACAGAGGAGCCTCTTAAAGAAGAAGTTACAGGTCTGTGAGAGCCAGAAATCTTGCTTGTTTGTAGGTGACCAAAAACTTATTTTCCACCATAATTTGCAAATAAATTCATAAAAAATCCTACAATGTGATTTTCAGGATTTTTTTTTCTCAATTTGTCTGTCATAGTTGACGTGTACCTATGATGAAAATTACAGGCCTCTCTCATCTTTTTAAGTGGGTGAACTTGCACAATTGGTGGCTGACTAAATACTTTTTTTCCCCACTGTATATTCCCCCTCTTCTTTCCTGTCCTACTCTGTCCCGCTCTGCTCTGTCCTGTCCTCTCCTGCTCTGTTATGACTGAAGGGTGCTATCTTCTTTCTCCGCCCCTTTACCCTTCAAAAGCCTTAAATATACTCCCGCCTCTGCCTTGCGCAACACATACACACACAACTCAGCGCCTGCTTGGTTAATCTGAGTGCTGTGAAATTGTTTGTGCGTTGGTTAGTTAATATATTTATTTATTGTTGTTATTAATTAATTAATTCATTTGGGTGTGTTTTGTGCAGATTGAGTCAGCGTTGAGCCGGATGCCTGGATCTGGTGGGAGGGTGAGCCTGCAGACCAGGTTAGATGAGGTAAGGTCACAGTCACAGTCACACCAAACCTGCAAGGCCTCATTACATATTAGTGAAGCGCGATTGGGTCTAAATGTCATCTTTTTGTTGTTATGAACGTGTTTGTTTGATAAAGTGGACTCTTGTGAGGTAATTGAATAGTATTTTCAATCGAACACAACGTAGATGGGATCTTTGTGTACAGTATGTGTGAATGTTTATGCTATTCCAGCTAAATGACTGTTCCTCTACTCCCAGGTGGCCTTAGAGAACCGTCTAGAGAGTGTAAATCGTGACCTGGGTTCCATCCGCATGGCCCTGAAGAGGTTCCACGTTCTACGCTCCTCTGCCAACATATAGCAATGTTTTTATTAGATGACATCATAGGTAGGGTCTAGGGTTTTTCCTGGTCAGATTGCATGGTCAGGAAAAGCTCCTGTTCCTAGTTATAGATGAATAAATGTCACAGTTTTCTGTGAAGTAGTTTGATAAAGAACCCTGATTGTCCTCTCTTAATTCGCAGGTTGGCATTTATTGAGATGACTCATGTACTCGAGCAGCTCTGCAGAGTGGTCACACTAGCTGGCACATCCACAATGTCATAAAATCTGATTTAAAACCTAACCTTAACCACACTGCTAACCCTAATGTCTAACCTTAAAGGGACATTTCAAAAAATTTTGCTAACCCAACATCAACATATGTGAAAATTGCGCGTTTCTATGTTTTGTAGTAAAAAAGAGAGGAAGATAAGTGTTTCCAATGACATCATCGGTGTGCATCGTGGGATTATAACCAATTGTGAGTAGGTGTTGCCTACTAATTGTGTACTATTGGTTGATGATGTCATTGGAAACACTTATCTTCCCCTATCTTTTTTTATACAAAACATAGAAACGCGCAATTTTCACATATGTTGATGTTGGGGTGGTGCTGGAGATGATGAATATGAAGTTCAAATTAAGACCAAAAAGCTATTTTTTGTTTTCATACATTTTTACGATATAGCTAATTTTGACTTTGCAGCTGGCCCATCTAGCGGAAACCGTTCTGTTCTGCCTCCAGGGCAAAACTCATGACAATAAACGTCAACCTGCCCTTAAACTCTCTCTGTATCATAGATCACTTGTACATGACCCACAGAGTCTTTTCTACACATATAACTCTGGGATATTTTTCTATATGTTTGGAAGAGCTCACAATTTGTGGAGTATATTTTTAGAAATGCACAGATTTGTAAAGTCGTTTACTTTTTTAGATGTTATAAAAAGAGATGATATGCTTTACTTGCCATATTCAGGTAAATTATTTAGATTTTTTTTATCAGCTATCAATGGATCAATATGAATGGCAGAACATCCTAATATCCAGCAGAGACATTTAATCATCTGGAATGTACCACTGCCATCTCCGTCTAGGTCTACATTTTCATGCATCGTTTTGACATGTTTTTATTCCTCGTACACTTCATCAAATTGTATTTATTAAATTTTATTTTTATGTGTTCATTACAATGTTTATTCCTGGTGCATTAAAAAAAAAAATTGATAGCCTGCAACGTTCAATTGTAAAAAAAAATGTTTGACCAAGCCATTGTTTTTCCCATTTCCATCATTACTTTAAAATCTTTTACAAAAACCTTGTAAAAGTTGCTTGCCTTTTTCCATTTTTTAATTTTTTTTTAAAATCTCCTTTGAACAGTCCATTGTTTTGTGTTAATTCCATGTTGTGAAGGGAAGGATTCTACCAGTACCCAACCCCCCTCTCTTCGTAGTATACTATGGACCTCCTGCAAAAATGAAACCAGCACACATTTGAAATATTACACACACAAGTACACTGCTCCACAAATGGACATTGCTTGAAGCAAAGTCTTATTGTAATGCATGGAATTTATACAGTATTTGCACTGTTTCTATTTCTTTGGCCATGTAGTGTTTTTTTGCAGTTGGCAATGAATGACTTGACATGAACCTCACTGGAACTAAAATGTACTGTTGTTCTCTCAATAAATACTGCTTACATTATTACAACACCTGGGTCTCTGTGGGTTATCATGAAAATCAGAGTCCTCATCTATATACAATAAATAGTTTGTTACACATCATTCATTCAAAGATTGTATTTGGCCTTCAGTGTCCAAAACTGGGTGCATGACTACTTTGTTGATTCGGCACAGAAGTAGTCTGTACTGTAGGCCTACATGTTTTATAAACCACCTTGTACAGTTACAGTGCCTTTAGAAAGTATTCATACCCCTTGACTTGTTCCACATGTTGTTGTGTTACAGCCTGCATTCACCCATCTACACACAATAACCTATAATGATATTGAAAACAGGTTTTTAGAAATGTTTATTGAAAATGAGTATACACACCCATTATACATTTACGTCATTTAGCAGACGCTCTTATCCAGAGCGACTTACAAATTGGTGCATTCACCTTATAGCCAGTGGGATAACCACTTTACAATGTTTTTTTTTGTTTTTTTTTGGTGGGGAAAGTGGGGGGTAGTAGGATTACTTTATCCTATCCCAGGTATTCCTTAAAGAGGTGGGGTTTCAAATGTCTCCGGAAGGTGGTGAGTGACTCCGCTGTCCTGGTGTCGTGAGGGAGCTTGTTCCACCATTGGGGTGCCAGAGCAGCGAACAGTTTTGACTGGGCTGAGCGGAAACTGTGCTTCTGCAGAGGTAGGGGGGCCAGCAGGCCAGAGGTAGATGAACGCAATGCCCTCGTTTGGGTGTAGGGACTGATCAGAGCCTGAAGGTACGGAGGTGCCGTTCCCCTCACAGCTCCGTAGGCAAGCACCATGGTCTTGTAGCAGATGCAAGCTTCAACTGGAAGCCAGTGGAGTGTGCGGAGGAGCGGGTTGACGTGACAGAACTTGGGAAGGTTGAACACCAGACGGGCTGCGGCATTCTGGATGAGTTGTAGGGGTGTAATGGCACAGGCAGGGAGCCCAGCCAACAGCAAGTTGCAGTAATCCAGACGGGAGATGACAAGTGCCTGGATTAGGACCTGTGCCGCTTCCTGTGTAAGGCAGGGTCGTACTCTCCGAATGTTGTAGAGCATGAACCTACAGGATCGGGTCACCGCCTTGATGTTAGCGGAGAACGACAGGGTGTTGTCCAGGGTCACGCCAAGGCTCTTCGCACTCTGGGAGGAGGACACAACGGAGTTGTCAACCGTGATGGCGAGATCATGGAACGGGCAGTCCTTCCCCGGGAGGAAGAGCAGCTCCGTCTTGCCAAGGTTCAGCTTGAGGTGGTGATCCGTCATCCATAATGATATGTCTGCCAGACATGCAGAGATGCGATTCGCCACCTGGTTATCAGAAGGGGGAAAGGAGAAGATTAGTTGTGTGTCGTCTGCGTAGCAATGATAGGAGAGGCCATGTGAGGATATGACAGAGCCAAGTGACTTGGTGTATAGCGAGAATAGGAGAGGGCCTAGAACTGAGCCCTGGGGGACACCAGTGGTGAGAGCACGTGGTGCGGAGACAGCTTCTCGCCACGGCACTTGGTAGGAGCGACCGGTCAGGTAGGACGCAATCCAAGAGTGAGCCGTGCCGGAGATGCCCAGCTCGGAGAGGGTGGAGAGGAGGATCTGATGGTTCACAGTATCAAAGGCAGCAGACAGGTCTAGAAGGACAAGAGCAGAGGAGAGAGAGTTAGCTTTAGCAGTGCGGAGAGCCTCCGTGACACAGAGAAGAGCAGTCTCAGTTGAATGACCAGTCTTGAAACCTGACTGGTTTGGATCAAGAAGGTCATTCTGAGAGAGATAGCAAGAGAGTTAGCTAAAGACGGCACGCTCAATAGTTTTGGAGAGAAAAGAAAGAAGGGATACTGGTCTGTAGTTGTTGACATCAGAGGGATCGAGTGTTGGTTTTTTGAGAAGGGGTGCAACTCTCACTCTCTTGAAGACGGAAGGGACATAGCGGTCAAGGATGAGTTGATCAGCGAGGTGAGGTAAGGGAGAAGGTCACCGGAAATGGTCTGGAGAAGAGAGGATGGGATAGGGTCAAGCGGGCAGGTTGTTGGGCGGCCGGCCGTCACAAGTCGCAAGAATTTATCTGGAGAGAGAGGGGAGAAAGAAGTCAAAGCATAGGGTAGGGCAGTGTGAGCAGGACCAGCAGTGTCATTTGACTTAACAAACGAGGATCGGATGTCGTCAACCTTCTTTTCAAAATGGTTGACGAAGTCATCCACAGAGAGGGAGGAGGGGGGGGGAGGGGGAGGAGGATTCAGCAGGGAGGAGAAGGTGGCAAAGAGCTTCCTAGGGTTAGAGGCAGATGCTTGGAATTTAGAGTGGTAGAAAGTGGCCTTAGCAGCAGAAACAGATGAAGAAAATGTAGAGAGGAGGGAGTGAAAAGATTCCAGGTCCACAGGGCGTCTAGTTTTCATCCATTTCCGCTCGGCTGCCCGGAGCCCTGTTCTGTGAGCTCGCAATGAGTCATCAAGCCACGGAGCTGGAGGGGAGGACCGAGCCGGCCGGGAGGATAGGGGACATAGAGAGTCAAAGGATGCAGAAAGGGAGGAGAGGAGGGTTGAGGAGGCAGAATCAGGAGATTGGAGGGAGAAGGATTGAGCAGAGGGAAGAGATGATAGGATGGAAGAGGAGAGAGTAGCGGGAGAGAGAGAGCGAAGGTTGCGATGGTGCATTACCATTTGAGTAGGGGCAGAGTGAGTAGTGTTGGAGGAGAGCGAGAGAGAAAAGGATACAAAGTAGTGGTCGGAGACATGGAGGGGAGTTGCAGTGAGATTAGTAGAAGAACAGCATCTAGTAAAGATGAGGTCAAGCATATTGCCTGCCTTGTGAGTAGGGGGGGATGGTGAGAGGGTGAGGTCAAAAGAGGAGAGGAGTGGAAAGAAGGAGGCAGAGAGAAATGAGTCAAAGGTAGACGTAGGGAGGTTGAAGTCCCCCAGAACTGTGAGGGGTGAGCCATCCTCAGGAAAGGAACTTATCAAGGCATCAAGCTCATTGATGAACTCTCCAAGGGAACCTGGAGGGCGATAAATGACAACGATATTAAGCTTAAATGGGCTAGTGACTGTGACAGCATGGAATTCAAATGAGGAGATAGACAGATGGGTCAGGGGAAAAATAGAGAATGTCCACTTGGGAGAGATGAGGATTCCTGTGCCACCACCCCTCTGACCAGATTCTCTCGGGGTATGCGAGAACACATGGTCAGACGAGGAGAGAGCAGTAGGAGTAGCAGTGTTTTCAGTGGTAATCCATGTTTCCGTCAGCGCCAAGAAGTCGAGGGACTGGAGGGTAGCATAGGCTGAGATGAACTCTGCCTTGTTGGCAGCAGAACGGCAGTTCCAGAGGCTGCCTGAGACCTGGAACTCCACG